ATATCATTCTGTGTTACAATGGTGTTCAACAGAAATTCATTGAGATAAATATTGTTTCGAAATCAACGTCCGCAGTTCCGCTCTTATTTCCGCAATAGGTACATTTTCCAGTTTCCCATTCTCATAATAATATTTCCAGTAAGTATTTTCCAGCTATAAGCCATGATTAAGATTAAGACAGTTAATTAATTGGCTTTGCCACTATAAATTTTCATAATAACTACGCGAGTTTTTCACAAGAGTAATTAAGCATATGAAATTGAAACTGTAAAGGGAACAAAATGGAAATATTCCATATATTCGCTTATGAAAGTGGTTCCAGGAAATAAATTTAATTTGAAATTTCAGGCCATCATGGCTGCCGCTGCTGGCAGTGACTGACGAGCGGGTGAAAAATACGAGCAATAAAAGTGGTCTGGACCGAGCCAGGGTATGATTTCCGAGGGCTCCGTCGATTTAAATTGCTTTTATAAAAAAACATTTTTTACAAATAAAAATACATATATCTTTCTTAAGAGAGGTAGGTTCTAGATTTTTGAGTTATCAATCTGTTATGGAATTATGTTGTACCTACCTACTTAGTAGACAATAAAATTTTGTGTCTGTAGGTAGAGTGACTTGGTATGAATGGTATGTAATATGATTATAACAGGTGCAATTTAGTAATGCTTCTTAGGAATTAAAAAATCCCGATAAGTACTATGAAGATTCCTTATTTGACTACAGGACCTTGTACTTGTACGATATACTCGCGCAAAAATTTCCTGAAATGAATGTCAATAAAAATCAATCATCACTGTAGCCATAATATTTTAACGACATTTTCGTGGCCATTTTCTGTCCACATTTCTGTCATTGAATGCGCCAACTTTCACGAAGCGTGTTTCATTTTCCAGCGCGTTCGGTGCAGACTTGCGATCTCACGCGTAAACCCATTGAGCACCGCGAGGGGCGTGTCGCGTCGCGCGGCCGCCGCGTGTCGTGTCGCGCCGCTTGCCCGCGCCAAATCAATTACAGGGTCGCGGCGGGCTGCACTTCCGAACGAGAATTAGCGCCAAATTATAGCGAACGAAATTACTTGTTTATAGAGGGTGACTAGCTAATTTATAGACATGACAAATTCGAGTACGCGAATACTTAATAGCAGGCGTAGGGTCTGTTCACACGGTCGCTGTTGACAACATGAACTAGCCATGACGAAATGATAATGTCAAAGCACATTAATTGTTAATCGCCTTTGAACTTCGTTTCCATTGAAATTGTTATTTTAGGTACGCTTTTCAATCTCTCCTACTTAGCACCACAAGTGCAAGAAGAGTCTTGTATTTTCCTGAAACTAATTCATGCCTTCGCATTTATGTCTGCTTATCGGGTACGATATGTACAGTCACGGAATGAAAAGGTTCGTCAGTTTTCAAATTGATTCCTTCAACGAATCGCGAGCACATATTACCTTTTGAAACTATGTTACAGAATAATCTCGAGTTAGAGAAAATAATCTTTAACTGTTTCTAAGTAAAGTTCAAAATTATTCTGATCAAAGTTGTTTGACAATTTATCTTGTCAAGAAGATTATCATGATTGATAAACTAAAACCTTCTTGTTGGTTCAACCTGCCATTATTATGTCTATTAAATAAAAAAAACTATTGTCAATTGGTCAATGTCATCACTGCATTGCACAGTGGGTCTAGTCAAAATGCCATCCCAAACCAATAGGAAGTTTTCACTAATGTCAGTCGCCGCGTCACCAGTAATTCGATTCGATCGGAAAATGGCAGCCAAAATGCACATTGAACCACCAACGACGCGGCGATATAAAAGTTCATTCAAAATCGAATAAAAGTTAAAAAATGTCTATGACTTTGCGATTGTTTTTATTTTTTTTTTTAATTTGTTTCTTCCTTCTTTCTGCTCTCTGTTTACGTCTATGCTTTGCCGTCAAACTAACTGTCAAAACGACATCGCGATACGGATTTGTCAAAACAGATTTAGGGTGGGTTGCACCATCTTAGTTTAATTTTGACAAACGTCTAAAATCTGTCAAACTCCATACAAAAAACACCAGTTAACGTCATAGTTACGGTCAAAGTTAGGTGGTGCAACTCACCCTATTGGTTTTCGATCGAATCGAAGCTTATCACCGGGGTTTTAGTAATCGCAATGAAAATGGCGGGTGTTGCGATTCGATTCGATTTTGATTGAGTCTTAAATGCATGTTGGCTAAGCCTTTGTATGGGAAATTTCAATCCAGTCTTTCGATTATCGATAGGTAGGGCTTTGCGATTCGATTTTTTGCCGTTTGACTAAGCCTTTTTTGTTATCGACCTCTTTTGCGATTTGTTTATTTGTTTGCGACTGGTTTGCGATGGGTTTGCGATTTTAAAGTGCGTTTTGACTAGACCCGCTGATGGGATTAAATAAACAAGCAAAACCTTATTCGTTAGCAAACGTCATATTTATTTAAATGTTAGCAGTACTGTTTCTTGCACTGTAATGTTGGCAGGTTTGACTCTTACAGTACCCAGTGCAAGCGAAAACCGACACTAAGGTGACGAACCTTTTCATTCCGCGACTGTACATTTTCAAGATTTTAATTTGTTAAAATGTACTCTTCCATTTATGAAATAGTGGTGTAATAATCAGAAAAGAAACAAGGAAACACCGATGCTTTTCAGGAGTTCATCAAAAGTATTTTACCCAATTACAACTGAACATAAATCCGTTTCATATTAAGCTTAATATCTGTGAACTCTAGATTTTTGCCAAAATGTAACATCCTGAATATAGCCGAAACAAAGTGAAAGGTACTAAAGCAACTTCTAAAAGACAATTAAAGCTCTTATCACCATAACTTTTTCAAACCCAGATGTAACAAAGGATCCGAGCACAGAGAATAATTAACTAACAAAGAGTAATTTTGGGGTATGGAGCCATACAAACCTAAAACAGGCATGATAGGGCCAGAGTGAATAGGCATATACTAGTGAACTGTACAACCTCATGAAAAGAAAATTTGAAAAGTGCGAGGCTCACCTGCACTTGAAGGGTTCCGTGTACCTAACGTCTAACAAAATTGAACTAGGTATCTTGGGAGAAAAACAAAAAAGCAACAACGCGTTTGTATGTTATTTCCTCTATTTTTTATTTTCAGAATTTTTATTGTTGTTTCAGTCAGCAATTTATGTGACATGATAAGTCACGAAAGGCATGTTGACGTGATCCCGTTGGCAGTAAAGGATTTCGAATCCATCCGTACCAGTTCATATCATTTGTACAGATAGAACGACTATTCCCACCTCTATTTCCCACCGCTGCAACTCCAAAAATAAAACATTAATTTGTACAGATAGCAGACAGCCCAGACTGGACTAGACTGCATTACACTTTTAACAAAACGAGATTCTGAGGTGAGCGTTTGCACTCACGAGAAGCTTTTAAATCCTTCTATTCAAAACGAAGCGGTCGATGAAAAACACTTCGTAACAGCATCAAATCGTTTACCATGTAACAGTTTGAAAGTGTTTAAATAACGAGCAGTCCAGACGATGGCCGCTTAGACGGGTTGTTATGGCGCTGTCAGCCGCAGGTCTTCACGCGCCAATGGACGAATAATTTTCCCCTCGCTGGGCAAAGCGGGTAGGCGGTGGATAAAGCTGTAACTGAAAACGTTACGTTTTTTTAATCGCGATAACATCTTAAAGCAGACTGCAGTGAATAATAATATGTTAACTGGAAAAAGAAACTTGGGAAATCATTAAATTAATGTAGCGTCAAGATTTTTGAAGCGATTTTTGTTGGAAGAACTTGTAGTCTATAGAATCACTTAGGCTGAGTTGCACTTATTTTCACTTATACAAACGTAAAAAATCTGTCAAATTCCATACAAAAAGCACCGGTTATTGTGATTGTTACGGTTAAAATAAGGTGGGGCAACTCAGCCTTAATTTTTAATGCATAATAACTTGTTAATTAAATTGTATTTTCCGTTGAAATACGAATAAACCGGTAAAATTTATCGTTAACAGACTTATTTCTGTTCTTCTTTCATTCTAACTATTCCTGTAAACTGTATTAAAATGTACCTAAGTAGGTACATATCTATAGTTTGAAATAGATAAAGATCGGATCGCATTTAAATCACAATTATATTCCTTCCAAGGTTACTGTGAGCCTCTTTAACTAAACTAGCAAGGCTCCAAACCTATGTTTAGGTACCTACAGAAATGCCATGCAATGTTACATACAAATTAGGTTACAACGGTGACCATAAATCAATCGAAGTAGCATCTTGGTATTGCGGCTGACATTGATGCATTAGTTGTCTGGAATTAGAACTTGGGATTAAGACACCTAACTGAAAATATAGAAGTAAAGGTTAACTGTCTCCTGGGAACTGTCTAAAATAACCAGTGAAAATGTTATTGCCTGAGCAAGCTGGCTTTTTCTATGTAAGTAGGTACATGGTGATAACCCTGTTTGAATAGAAATAAGAGACAGAGATAGGTACCTACATATTAAGTAAACTATATTTAATAATATTTAAAAACTAGAAGATAATTTCTAGAGAGAGAAAGAAATGCAGATAGGCATGTCAAATTCATCATGTTACCTACCTATTATATTTAAAATCTTTATACCTAGTCATTTATAGGCGAAACGGTTAGAGATTATGCCATACTTTGATGGTCGTTAAAAAAATATTAGGGGAAAATCCATTTTCACAGTTTTCCCCGAGACTCGTCAAGCCCCGCCCACTTTGCTCTCTGTCCCCACGAAGCGCCTCCCATTCCACAGGGGTTGGCTCGCACACAGGCACAAGACCCATCATGATTCTCACCCCAAATCGAACTTTATTCTGAGCTTGTTATAGCTCAAATTATTGGTCAATGTGACAGTTTGTGACCGTAACAGAAGCCCCTGGCAGAGACAAAATGGCCACCCTTAGGGGTATAAAAATACTTTACAAGTTGCCTCGTGGCTCAGTTGAGTTGCAATAATCAGTGATCGTGACAATCCGCAGTGCCAACTAGTGTTAGTCAAGTTAAACTAAGATGTCAGGGGCCAGAACCCAGCTGGCAGACTCATCTACCTCTCCGCCTCTTACGTAAGTTTTATTGATATAGTTAAAGAAAAACAACAAAGCCATTAATCTTCTCCAGTAATTATTAACACTTATTTTGTATGGTGTTTCTAAATTTTTAAATTGCCTGAAGACTTTACTAATCGTGTTTCTAATGTGAATATTACTTACAATAGGCGTAAGCTCAAATAAATTGAGATATTATAATACGGAGTTCTTTCAGGCTTCTTATTTATTGGTTCTTCCCAATTTTGAACAAAATTAGAAAATAGTCAAGTGCCAAAACGACGGCAAACTTTATGCAGCCTCGGAAGGCAAAGCTTATTATACTGTGTAAAATTATAGGAACCAAATCTAGTGGCTGTCTAGACTGGTGAGTAGCCTACATAGATACTTTGGCTGTGCGTAAAACTCAGATCATAGAAGGGAATATGATCTGAGGCGTAAAAACATCCATATATTTTTTATGGTAGGGTTATAGTTTCTTCTCTTGCTTGGCGAATACGTATAACTTACTTCTAAATCGATCGGTTGCAAAATCAAACGATCGAATGATATACATTTATGGATTAATTGCTTTGTCTGTTTATTGATTTAAGTAAGTAATTGCATTTTTTTATCCACAACGAGGAAGCTCTTATATAATTAATTAATATGTAATTAATTAATAAATAAGTAATTAATTAATTAAATGTAAGTACCTACGTAGGTCGATAATCCAATCACTGCCGTCACAAACTAAAATTAAAGAAAACTTCATATTTAAAAACGAAGTGTAAAAATAACACTGATTTTAAGTCGCTTAACTTAAAATACAGTGTGTGTTTATCAAACAATAAATTACTGAAAATATGAGGTAATAATTCTCTCACTTTTAATATAAACTCGCTGAATTTTCCGAGAATTTCCCGACGTGTAGGTACTAATTGCATCATCCGTGATTACACCGTGCTTTATCGATACGGGTCTACTCGTATTCTATCTACGGAACAGATTACCTTTCATTCTGCATTTTCCATTTCCCGATACAATAAAAGTATGCGATAGCCTAGTTAATTACTTTGCTATAGTAAAACTGTTTATTGGTTCACTTTTTAAAACAACTTTCGTAAAATGTAGTAAGTTTATTACCGCTTTCTATGCTTTTGTTAGAGAAAAAGTTTCCAGTTTAGATGGTTCGTGCCGGTAAATTGTTATGACAACTGCGTCGGAATAAAATTGACAATTTCTGTGCGGTCTTGCAAGTAAGTAGTGTAAGATTTTTAAAGTCAGTCCAGTAGTTTCGGAGCGTATTCAATTCAAACAAATACTTAATCAAATCTTTTTTTTTAAATAAATTAGTGCACAAAACTTATTAGGTACTTAGATAATCATCTGTTCTTTTATATTAACAAAGAAATCTTGCAATTCCACGCAAATGTCTTATTAAAAACAAAAGATAATTAATTATGGTAGCAGCCTCCGAAATAAAACTATACATATCCTCCTATTTAATTGAAAAGTACTTACTCATAGAAAATCAGAACAAATTATAGGTAAAGGTAATGGTATAATTTGGCGGAGATATCAAACTTAACTGAATAATCCCAGTGTGAGAGCCCCTTTGTAGTCCACATATTGAGCCGCGCCGCCGTAATCTCCGTGTAAATGACTTCACAGTGGACTATCGTCACAGAATAAGTAATAGTACAGGTACAGAAGGACTACTCCGCAAGACGATTTAAATAAATGCGAGTCTTGCTACGACGCGATACAGTGGAATTCAGCTCGCACAGCTCGCTCTTTCTATCGCGTGCCTCTGAACTCTTCTTACGCTGTTAGGGTTGCTGTCTAGTGAAAAAATAATTAATCTACTTATGTATATGTAATGTGTAAGTAAGTACGCATTCATTATGGAAAACCTTGGGAAAGGCCTTTGTCCAGCAGTGGACGTCATTTGGCTGAAACGAACGAACGCATTCTGAGCAGTAGTCATGGTAGGTTAGGTTCCTATACTATCCTAAGAATTATTGATTACCTACATGGCAAACATACCTTTCAGCATCTTTGGGAAGCGAAAAAAAAGATAAATCCGGTAGATTTCTTTTCGAATTTAAACACCTGAACGCCGCACAATATTTCTTTCTCTTTATGTCCATTTTTAAATAATACTTCGATCATAGAATTAGGTACCTTTTTTTTTTTGCGGGGAAAAAATGCGTTGAATCGCATACCTACCCTGCGGGGACAGGGTAGGTTATGTGGGGCTCACCAAGTCAGGAGGACGAGGCATACCCACTAAAAAGACCCCGGTGCTCCGTCACTCGCCATAAGTGGGGGGAAACTGTGGGTTTCCGGACAAAGCCTTCTCTACCACAGCCCCTCCCGGCGATTGCCCGCCTACACGGCGGGCCCTACAAGCCCCCCAGGACGGGGGGAGAATTAGGTACCTACTACAACGCACGCCAGCGTCCTGACATGCGCGCGCGTGACACTCGACTGATCAGTGTTGCCAGTCGGGTCTAGTCAGAAATTACCAGAAATATAAAAAAAAGTAACCTTTTTGAATAAAAAGTAACCTTCATACGGGGGGGGGGGGTTGTGCGGAGCGATGATTGTGTAAGGTTGTTCATGGATGGAAAATGAATACAATTGATCATCTAAATACGAAAAGTGACCAGTCGTGTAAAAACGTTTCATGGATTTGCGTTTTATTATCGAAACCATTAAACATCATCATCGCTAAAACTCATTTTTCACAAATAATAAATCAAATTCGAGTTTTAATTCACTATATGACACAATTTTTAAATTGTCACTATTAATATTTTTTACTGAATAACCTGTAAAGTTATTTCTACAATTTCTCAAAAATCACCTAAAAGTAACCTTTTCATTAGTGTAACCTAAAAGTAACCACAGCAGTACAAAAGTAACCAAAAAGGTTACAAAAGTAACCTTCTGGCAACACTGCGACTGATATAATACCCGCCGGCGGGGCGCTTCGCTGTAGGTAATTATCGGATGTACCGCGCGGAGTGAGCCAGGCCAGGCCTGCTATCGTCCATCTTTGGACGATGCATGACGTCAATAAGCCACGGCGCGATAGTGATGGGAGGCTAAATCGACCTGCATTGAGCTCGAACAATTTTCAATTTCGCCTCTATGACTTTGCCACTCAATGTGAACGAGTCTTCTATCGTGTGACCTGTAACAAGTGACGGACTTTATGCACAACTTTAGAGGGTCGTTTAAAAATATTTTCACGGACAGATTGCTTGGCCTGCGATTTTTATCGACATTGATAAAAGTCTACAATATCTGGCAAATATGAGACCACACGGGGATTTTTGCAGCATGGTGCTCTATAAGCTAATAGAAGAATACTTTCTGTATCTATTGGTCCTCGAATGAACGTGGTTAAATGTTTGTTTGAAATAGTGTGTAAAAAGCTGCCCCGTGCACACTTTAACAACGCAACGTTAAAATATCTTTAAGCGAGTCGGGAAGTCTCATACAGGTTTAATTCTCAGGGAAATCGGTTCAAAATTACCTAACCTGCAAATCGGTGAACATGTTCCATATAAAACCGTGTGGATCATTTAACCTCCTTCTTTTTTCAAAAATTGTACATTAAATCTGTGTTTATAGCCTTTCTTCCCGGATTAATTTTGCGGTATGACCGAAGGGCGTTTGATATGTACAGCGAATGCCGTCGCGTGGACTACCCGGGGCTGAAGTTCTCGTACGGGGACGGCTCGGATGACGAGGGTGCTTCGCTGGCGGCCGAGCTGCCGTCGTGCGTGTACGCAGCCGCCCGGGGAAGACTGCAGCTGCCTCTGGCGGCGTACGTGCATCAACACAGCCGGCAGCTGCATACAGGTACGTGATGGTAGATATATTTTAAATTTAGATATCTTAGCTCTTACGGCGGCGACTCGGCGGTTTTTATTGACTCCATAATCAAGCGCGTCGTGGGGCATCCACTCACCACTGGATAGATGACCTTAAAAAGGGTGCATAAAAACGCGGGATGCAAGCCACTTCTAACCAATCTGGAAATCGTTGGGGGAGGCCTATTAAATGGTGATGCTGATGTAAACAAAATTGCAAAAACTGCGGCGTCTCAAAATGAAAGCTGGCAGAGAGCACCGAGCTGAGTAGGTTAAAGCTAGATAGTAAACAATATAAAGCTTGTAAAAAAGAAATAGGTAGCAACATATTAAAACTACTTTACTAAAGTGGTGGTGTACCAACAGAAGCGCTGCTGGAAGCGAACGCCGAGCCGGAGTACCAATGCGGGGGCTCCCCGTACCGCGTGCAGCGAGCCGCGGCCAACGTGCGCGAGCGCCGCCGCATGCTGAGGTCCGGCCCCAATGGGTACCCTTCATTTGCACACGCTATTGTAGCACTGCTTTTTTATAGATTTGCACGGCGACTATATCACAGCCAAAAACCCTCAGAGCCGTTCAGCACGATGCGGTGCGGCTCCGGCGCGGCGCCTAAATGGTACGCTGAACCTCGTATCAAGGCCGGTGTGCGTATAGTATCAGAGCTAACGTGCCATGTGATATTAAAAAAAAAATTATAACGGTACCGCATCCTGTAGAACGGTTCATAATGGGTACATTTGCATACGTTGTCCACTGTCCACGCGCAACTAAATAGCACTGCTTAGCTTTTTTTAGAAAATGATAATAAAATCCAGCAGTAATTCAACCTTGTGGTAGGTATCGCCCGCGTCATGCCGAATCTCATCAAAATCCGTTCAGTAGTTCTTGCGTGAAGGAGTAAGATACTTTTTCCATCCTCAAAACTTTTCACAGTTCATAAAGAGAATAAAAGTATTCCACAAGGAGATAGGAATTTGACGGTCGTAATAACGCAATGCAGATTTCTCCCTGTTTCTTTGCGAAATTGCCGGATTTAATTATCATGATTTTATGTGTTGTTTTTGTGTTACGCTTATCACCCAGTACTGTAGGTACACTACTGATCCAAAAAATACTATCCTCAAGTTGTTACATACACATTACACGTGCATAAAAATCCTACCCCCGCTGTTTTTTCCTTTTACCACGAAAATCTCAATACGTAGGTAGAGAAATGTTAAATCCGTGTATTCACCCACGGCTTGTGGCCAGTTTTACCGGTTGGCAGGTACATGATAAAGTTTCAGTTAGTCTTACACAGGTTTACCGCCATCTAAGAAATGAAAATTGGTAATATTCAATTGAGTATCTTTTTCCCATAGACGTCTCAATGTTAGCCGTTTTTTTGTATTTATCTGACATAACTTTCTTACAGGCGATCAAAGATTTTTTCAGCAATTACTTAATGAAACAGCCAGTTACTTACTGAGTTGCCAGCCACAGGTTGCCCTTTAATAAGCTGTTATTGGCAAACAATAGACACAGATTGCAGTTATAGATCTATACTACTTAGTACCTAGCTCTTGGTATCAATTACTAATCACGAGGTGTTGCATCGAAGTAATTAGAAATGATCGTTTATGATAGCGCTAAATAATTGGCTGCTAACTAAGTAGGTTAGGTTCTATATACTTAGGGACGATGGCAATTACCTACAGTGCTTGTGTTTCTCTTCCGATGACAGTAGACTTTTTGCGATGTCTTTTACATTTGAAAGCACATAAGTAAGTACCTAAGTAAGTTTAATGTCGTTAAACTTCTTTAACGTGAATGTCAGTTTATTTTTAAATCTGCGTTAATTTTCGAAAGCTCTACAACTGAACCTTCACGTTTGCCACCTACATAATTAACAACGTACCAAATGTAGGTAGGTGCCGCTGAAACTTATACAACATAATTAGGTACCTACCTATCTACCGAACGTCTTCACACATCCCTTACTTACCTACATTGTTTTGGTCCGACTTTTGCCCTATGCTCGTTCGTTCGTTCGTTTCAGCTAAATGACGTCCACTGCTGGACAAAGGCCATCTCAAGGTTTTCCACAATGAACGGTCCTGCGCTGCCCGCATCCAGGCTCTTCCCGCGGCTTTTTTTGCGCTACACTTGACGGTTTTATCGTCGCGGATCTTCCGCGAAGAAAGTTTTTGTGTAAATGGGAGCGACACTTGTACTCGTATGAATTGGTGGAAGATTCACGTAAGGATTCTTGTCAAGCGTGGCAAAGGCCTTTAGCCAGCCTATGGGCGACGTCACACGGACTGCACCACAACAACCGCACGCAGTCGCTATATTCAACTGCATGTAGATGTCTGCTGACTTTGTCAAAGAGACAAGGTTCAAAATATAAATACTATCATGAACTTTGTATGGGAGGTCCAAATATTTGTCATATTTCGACGCACTTTTTTTTAAACAAGTTGTTTAGTATCACAGTTTGAAGCTCTTAAGTCCTGCAAAATATTGCTCATAGTTGTTTTTACACCATGTATAAGTAAAAATTAAAAGTTGTTATACAATTTTTAGTTGTAAACTAACCAATTGCATTTTTTTTGGTATCATTGATTCGCATACGCACTAAGCCCAATCATCATTGCGCTTTATTTTGATACTATATTCTTGAGTTTTATAGTTCCAAATGCTGACTTTACCTTTTATTAAAGAAATGAAGAAGTCGGTGTCGAAATCCATTTTTTAAACGCAACTGACGCGCGTTCGGCTCCAAGACTAATTGCAGACTATAGTCTTTTTCACGTAAGATGATCCGTATGACACTTCAAGGTTATCCATATTACGCATAATACATATATATGCAGAATATTTTTGAAAAAATATTTGTATTTTATTAGCAATATAATAAAAAAAATTAACTACTTGTCTTGAAATATGTAGTAAAATCTGAGTCTATTGATTATATTTTAATTAAATACGATGTAAAAATATTTTTTATTTAATGTACCCAATGTGTGAAACGGAATAGATTTAGTGCTGGGGTATTTCTTGTATAATAAAATCGATTATTTCCGCGGTTCATTAATCGATTGCAGTGAATACTTAGTTATTAAAAACATCACAAAAATCAACTATATTTTTCGATTATTGTAAAGTCAATAAACGCATTGAAAATAAATTAATAGTTTTTAATTTAAAGAAACAGAACCAGTACTTTTTAGGAATCGTTTTTTTGAACACGAACCATTAAATTTGAATATTATCAATGAAAAATTGTTACAATAATATTTGTAATTAAAAAACATGTTTTTTGTTAAATAACACCTTTACAAAATATTTCTCTAAAAGTAGGTTTTACTAATTCTTCGAAAAAAATCGATAGATAAATCGCTATGGTTTAGTTATGTGACATCTCTAAATCTTTCAAACTCGAAACGTCATACGGATCATCTTAGGTGAAAAAGACTATAACTGCATGCGAATGGCGCTGGACAGCATGCGGTGACACTACACAACTAACTATAGCGACCGCGCGAAGTTGAAGGCACGACTAGGGTTGCCAGGCGTCCGGCTTTAGCCGGACATGTTTGGCTTTTTACGGGTTTGTCCGGCCAAATATTGTCTTGTCCGGCCTGTCCGGCTTTTGTTAAGCTTTTTATTTGGCCTGCTGCGCCAGGTGAAAGTCGAGCTACAGAATAATATGAAGCGCACGCAGCAGGATGTTATGTTGGGCAACCGATGATACTATGACAGTACACACTCGTGAGCTATGACACTAATTGCACAATCCGGCTTTAGGGTAAAATGTCCGGCCAAATTAAGCACTGAGTCCGGCTTTTGTGTTTTTGGACCTGGCAACCCTAGGCACGACTGCATACAGTTCACATTGACTTCACTCAACTGTAGCCGACCGCGTGCAGTTGATATCATGATTGCACGAAGTCGAACGTCCAACTGCATGCAGTTAAATATACCGACCGCGCGCAGTAGCTGCGATGCAGTTCGTGTGATGTCCCCCTATACCCAGAGGCGGCGTAAGGCGTAGGCGACGTGGGCCACCGCCTACGGCCTCGCGGTACAAGGGGCCTCGCGCATCAAAAATTTTGAAAAATTGGTGGAGATGACAATATCACAATACGAACATTGACTATTAAATATAAATTCTTGATAGCTAAACAATGTAGTTAAAAATAAAAATATATTTTTTTCCAAACAAATTCAGCCATAATCAGACACAAAATTAAGCAACAACACGGTTTTAAGTGACGAACATTATTCTTTGGCGCAATATTCCTTTAAAAATAGTAACTGAATCAAGAAATCAGAAACTGTCAATGTATGGGTCATTCCATAAAAATCTGTATATTTTCGACGTCATTTTGTCCGTAACTTTTTTAAGATGCTTTTGAATACTTTATTAGTGTAAATTATTGTTTATTAATTAATTATGTTATGTCTAAAAGGGCCAGTCACTTTATGCTTTATTTTAGGAGAAATTATAATTTTCAATTTTTTCATACTACATTACTCCTATATGACTTCTAATAAAGTATAAAACTTTTAACCTTAACATTTATAGATAAGTTAATATGCATAATGTAGTTGTTTTGTTATTATCACTATATAAAAAACATCATTCCCTAACTAGTAATTTAGTCCCAAGTGCCGTTTAAAGCTAGGGCCTGACGCTCTAGGGACTGACGATTTGGAGTAAAACTTAACACAAATGCAGATTAACTTTATATTATAAGATGCTTAATACGATGTGCCGAAAATAGCCAAAAAACCACACGTAAATACTATTAAATTATATACAATTTCCTATTATAATCAATAAAGCTACTCAACTAGGGACTGACGAAGTGACTGGATTAACACATGTTTCGGTAACAACTGGCACGTTTGCACTAATTCAAAAAACGGCTACCGCAAAGCCAGTATGGTCTGAGGATAACTTCGTATCGTACTTTAAACTCAACTAAATGTCATTCACTCTAAATACATATTAAAGCGCAAAATTATAAAATCAGTGCGTGGCGAGGGAATGACGCTAAAAACTGTAGACTCTTTTTCAACTAAAGAAAATCAAATTATTGTTTATTGAAACCGCAAAATATTAATAGAATTTGTTGTAATATACATTTAAATAGATTATTCGTTAATTAGAACAAAGGATAAAGTTGATGTTTTTATAAATGTGGGTCCCAAAACACAAACTTTTGGAGTACGGACATGCCTAGGGAATGACGTTTTGGGTCATTCAAAAGGAATTTAAGAGGTTTTAAAAATAGTTTCAAAAAATATAAATGGGTGATGAATAAAGCACATTGCGAGCTGTTATTTAACAATTTTGGAATAAAATATTAACAAATATTTCATGTGAAATGTGGCGCGGACTAAGAGTTGACATATTTTTGTGAAATGACCCGTATAGACCTTTGACCCTTTTTTTTATTATTTCATAAAATCCGTCTTCAGGTCGCCACAGAACAAGGCCTCGCGAAATCTGTCTTGCCCACATCAAATTTAGGTCTTGCCCCGCCTCTGCCTATACCTCAGCTTTGGGCAAGCTCCACCCATCAAACATATTTCTTATCGTGCAGATTATCTGTCCTGTGGACCACACTAGTCACAGTTGCTAAGACAACCACCATCCCTTTATGACCTTTTGTCTGTGAGATAAACTATAACGTGTGCGTGCGTTCCGACTTTAGCAGTATAAACTCGGCGTTCGATGAGCTGCGGGTGCACGTGCCAACGTTCCCCTACGAAAAGCGGCTCAGCAAGATCGACACGCTGCGTCTAGCCATCGCCTACATCGCCCTGCTCAGGGAGGTGAGTGTCATTTACTTAGAATAGGGTCTCCTATAAACACTATACGCGAAGTCGTCCGACGCTAGTGTCACAAGTTCTTATCGCGTCTAAACGCCGACGTTAACGTCTGAAGGAACGCGGCCTACGGCGTCTCTAGGAGACCTCATTACCAGAGATGTGCATGATGTGATGTTACAAAGTTGTTAAATGGTGCGTAGGTGAGCGGTGCGAGGATGGTGTATCGGGCGAAAGAACGGGGTGAGGTAGGTACATGCCATAGCCCACATTCTTCTCTTGTTTTTTATGCCGTTTCCAGCAGAGCTCTGCTGACCGGGGCAAGGTAAAAGAACGAGGTTCTTTACAGACACACCTTTGGTACGTATCCTCGCACCTCTGTGGTGGACACGCAGCCTTAGTCTCCACTCTTACGACCTTCTACAATTTACCAGAGGAAAATGGACGGGTTGGGGAGACCAGATGTTAGCATAATTCTCCCTTGCTTGGTTGCATCTTGCAGACTGTAAACATGTCTAAATTGCTAAATTGAAAGTGTATTTTGCTTGTAGGTGTTAGACGCGGACTACGACCCACTGACGTATGTGGAAAAATGCCTCCGTGGGGAGATAAAAGCTGACCGTGCGCACTGGAATACTAGTGGTAACTGCCTTTTTAATTAACTACCTGTATTTTAAAAATACTAGCCATAAATAAAATATTCCCACTCGGAAGAACTTTCCCTCCATGTAGCCCTTATAAACATACGGGCTACTATCTCATCTTCTTTCAAAAGTAGAGAGGGGTAAATCTTAATCAAATAACTGTATCTCCTTTTTGATTTCCGGGTAAAAGTCATGAGAACCAGCCACCAACATGAACATGGAAAAGGATAATGTTCTACCAACCATATCGATAAGGGACAAATTGTATTCTAATCCTCTTTATACTATTTTAAGGTGGTTGAACTTAAGTTCGTAGAAGCATATTTTTTAACTATTCCCAGATCTGACAGCTCGCTTGTCCTGGATCAACTGGGAGAACCTGGGGGTGAACCCGCAACGCCGCAGCGTGCTCACGTCTCTCGCATTGAGTTCAGACAACCTGCAGTTTGCGCACAACTAGGCGCAACACGCCTACACTCGACCACTCAGACCTCAGCGTAACGTAGTTTAAGAAGGAATATTTTTTCACAGTACGCCATATACCGACATTACACAGCGAATAGTTAGACTTCCATAGATCGTAAGTACTTATATGCCTACGCGATTAAACTAGTGTTTTACAGTGCTTTAGAGCTCATATACACAATAGGAGTGTTATCATAATTGTTTTTAAAGGATGATGGCTCTGGTGATAGCTGTATTAATTGATGAATAGAATCGACATACAAGGAGAATCTACACAATAATTAAGAAGCCTGGAGATCCTGGAATATGTCCAGTTAATCATATATGCTGGATGCCTGTCACTTCCAACTGGTCAGGAGAAAGGTCCGTGTTCATCAGTGAACGTCCCATCATGGCTGAAATGATAATGGTGACGAGGTAATCATTGAATTTATGCTTGAGTGAGGCCGCGAGGGACATTGAATTTTGCTAGAGTAGGAGCTGCGTTTGGGCATCAGATTTTTGACAATCAAAAACAATGCTCGTGCAGGAAACTGCCATAGTGTTTGAATGCTTACAATTTTTAAATTTAAAATGTATCTGAGTAGTTTGCAAATGTATCTGAGTTTAGGTATATGATTACTCATATTAACTAAGAATAAACAAAATTAACTAAGAGTACAAGGTGCTAGAAAGAGTACACAAATGCGAAATCCATATCAATCGACATCTATCCCTTCTTTCACCTTAACACAAATAGTTTATTACATTTAGTTACTTAATGCACAGAGAACGGCACATCAAGGTAAACTGAGGCACATCATACAGTTGTAATACGAACGATTTCTGAACATTTATGTAGTAGTACAACCTGATAGTTAACTACGCACCTTTCGGCCGTTTGGTGTAGTGGTTCAGAACGGACTACTATGCCGAGAGGTCCCGGGTTCGATTCCCGGCCGGGCAGAAATTGAAATGGTGAATTTTAATTTCTGTGACGGGTCTGGATGTTACTATGTATAATATGTATGTATTTAAAAAAAAAAGTATATAAGTAGTATATCCGTTAAGCTAGCACCCATAACACAAGCATATTAATTGCTTACTTTGGGGCTAGATGGCGCTGTGTGAGATTGTCCAAAGATATTTAATTTAATTTAATTTAATTAATACCTCGCAGCCGTGACGTCACATCGATAGTGAGGTGCGAGTTAGCTCGATCGGGTTGTATACTCTGATGTGCTGCCGACTGTGCTTACATAGTATAGAGTATAGACGAATATACCAAGGAACTTTATTTTATGCCAAACCGCCTCTTTATTTAAAGCTATTTTTCACGTCTCATTTGGTCATGTCATAATACTTTTGAAGCTAGTCAAATCGTGATCTCATTACAAATTAAGAAATAGTTGATAAGAAAATATGTAGTCATTTAATTGTAATTCTTAATATAATTTATTTATAAGATATTCATGCCTAAACGTCATATCCTGGAAGTTGTATGCCAAATGTTTACTTAGCTTTGGTAATTAATACATATATTGGTAAAATTATATTCTTAAGATACATAAATATCTAGCAGTTTTTTAGCTTTACATAATATCAATAATATTGATAAATTCTTACTCCTTATCTTACATTTTATAGTCATTCCTGAAAGATATATCTTTCAGGAATGCAATATCAAGATCACCCATACATCTTGCCAAAAGGTGAGACGAGTGCAAGTGCACCTAACAATTTTATAATGAAACCACTTAGGCCGGGTTCCCACTATGCCGGACCGGCAGATCTCCCGGTCCGGTAAAATCGCCGGAAGGCCTAGCGGCGGTACAAATTGTATAAAGCTGTTCACATTATCCCGGATCCGGCTTTTTCGCCGAGCCCGGCATTTTTACCGAGCGTTTTGTCACAGTATATGTGGTTTTGTCGCTACAAAATTCCGGCAAAATCACCGGACCGGAGTAATGTGAACGAGTTGCGGCCCACCCCGCCGCGCCCGTGCTTCCCGCCCCGCCCCGCCCGTGCTCCCCGCACTTTATTCGGCTCGGATTTCGGATCCGGTGATCCGGTCTAATGTGAACACCCTTGTCCGGTGTCCGGTTTCCGGCAGAAATGCCGGTCCGGCATAGTGGGAACCCGGCCTTAGGTTACCTAATAGGTAGGTACGTTAGGTTTTTTATTTAATATGATTTTTCTTCCGACTGTAATTGAATTCATTTTAAGCAATAGGTCCTTTAACACACCAAAGGGGGGCCCAGTTGGTGGAAGAAAAAATATTTTAAGTCTATATCTGTAGACGCACTTGTGACTTGTCCATTGGTTGCTTACCCATTACAAAGAGAGACAAATGGAATTCTTAGTGTGAGCTAGTTGTTGTTTTAAATATTATTGAGTATTTTTATTAAGTAGGTATTTATTGTAATTATTTAAAATGTTGTGGAAGTAATTTGAATCAATTAAACAGAAGTAAGAAGCTGCCGATAACAGTCTTGTCAAAATGGTGCAATATAGTTTGTAAGTTTAGTACGAGTTTAGGACTTTAACTGCAATGAAAGTACTAATAACCAGAATAATAAAGTAACCGTAGTGATTGAGTACTATAAAATATTTTCATCGATTGTTTACTTACATATCGTAGGATACAGAATCAACTGCCGTTAAATATTTTGGTATGGTGCAATGAATAAATTATCAACAACGATATTATTGTTTCATTTTGTTCAGTGTGTGCAAATTTTTGGTTACCTGCCCTCACGTCACGCCATATGCACATCAGTTTATTTTCTTGTTGTAGAGGCTTTATCTAGCAAGTTAGAGGTTCGCGTGTCGGACTACAGATGGTTGGAAACCGCATCTCGCTAGTGTAATCGGTAATATTTAGCCTAGGCGCAAACCACAGACTTTTTTTAGTTGGCCGATACCAAATCGGTGTAATGTGCGTACTTCCATACACGCCTATACTGATTATTAACTACCCGACTGAACTATCGGCCGACGAAAATCGGTTGGTTGAGCGTAGGCTTATGGTACACATTTATATATTTGTAAGCTGTTTGTTTTCTGAATAAAACAAAATAAAATAAAATAAAAATTAATGAACAAGACTTGCAAATGTTGGAGTTAGTGTCGGAGACGGAAACACGGTCTTCAACCATGGCGACACACCGCGCCAGCGCCACCTGTCGGAGATGTAAATTAAAACACGGTCGTCAACAAGATGGCGGCACGCCAGCCAGCGTCATCTGTCGAGACGAAAGTCAAAACAGTCATCAAGATGGCGGCACGCTAGCGCCACCTAGCGGCGGAATACAGAATCTACGAGAATAGCGAGAAATCGGAGCGCGGGAACTTCAATTCGAACTCAATGGGATATTATTTTTTTCTACCGTGGACCCGGGAAGAACGTCCAAGAAACTATCGCGCGGGAAAAAGCAAGTCTAATGTTATAAAGTTAACGTAACTAATTTACCAATAATATTAATAATTGTTTCCTGCTCCCTTATAAACTATAATTTTATATTGTTGAAAGGGAGTCATTGAACAAAAATTTTCATGTGTAACCCTAATTCCCTACCTTTGCCTTCTTTAGCAATCAACAGAAACGCCGTCTTACGTGCATATGCGATAAATAGGCAATTCATATACAGAAAAAATAAATTACAGCCGTAAAAATATTCTTAAAAGTTTTATTTCATCTAATATAAACAAAGTTCCAAGAAATAACATTGAATGTACTAAATATACAAATTATTCTTATATTATTAGCTTAACATTATATCAGTAAATTGACTAGTAGACTCCTACGAGCTCGAAGGACGATTAGACCTCACTAATTTGTAAGTATTTATCATCGATATTAGTAATAAGTAATTGCATTATTAACTATGATTAATATATGGGTCATTCCATAAAATCTGTATATTTTCGACGTCATTTTGTCCGTAACTTTTTTAAGATGCTTTTGAATACTTTATTAGTGTAAATTATAGTTTATTAATTAATTATGTTATGTCTAAAAGGGCCAGTCACTTTATGCTTTATTTTAGGAGAAATTATAATTTTTAATTCTTTCATACTACATTACTCCTATATGACTTCTAATAAAGTATAAAACATATAACCTTAACATTTATAGATAAGTTAATATGCATAATGTAGTTGTTTTGTTATTATCACTATATAAAAAACATCATTCCCTAACTAGTAATTTAGTCCCAAGTGCCGTTTAAAGCTAGGGCCTGACGCTCTAGGGACTGACAATTTGGAGTAAAACTTAACATAAATGCAGATTAACTTTATATTATAAGATGCTTAATACGATGTGCCGAAAATAGCCAGAAAAACCACACGTAAATACTATTAAATTATATACAATTTCCTATTGTAATCAATAAAGCTACTCAACTAGGGACTGACGAAGTGACTGGATTAACACATGTTTCCGCAACAACTGGTACGTTTGCACTAATTCAAAAAACGGCTACCGCAAAGCCAGTATGGTCTGAGGATAACTTCGTATCGTACTTTTAACTCAACTAAATGTCATTCACTCTAAATACATATTAAAGCGCAAAATTATAAAATCAGTGCGTGGCGAGGGAATGACTCTAAAAGCTGTAGACTCTTTTTCAACTAAAGAAAATCAAATTGTTGTTTATTGAAACCGCAAAACATTAATAGAATTTGGTGTAATATACATTTAAATAGATTATTCGTTAATTAAAACAAAGGATAAAGTTGATGTTTTTATAAATGTGGGTCCCAAAACACAAACTTTTGGAGTACGGACATGCCTAGGGAATGACGTTTTGGGTCGTTCAAAAGTAATTTAAGATGTTTTAAAAATAGTTTCAAAAAATATAAATGGGTGATGAATAATGCACATTGCGAGCTGTTATTTAACAATTTTGGAATAAAATATTAACAAATATTTCATGTGAAATGTGGCGCGGACTAAGAGTTGACATATTTTTGTGGAATGACCCATATGCATGAATAATATTTTAGTCAATACATGAAACATAACGTAGGTGATTGACATAAACAAAACAACATTATGTCAATATAAACTTAGATATTCCAATTTAAACATAATTTTCATTTTCGATTTGTACGAGTATTACTAAGGTTAAATTATAACGTAAAATAAACGCACCGATAAAAGGAATGGACATAGTAAATGCGTATATTTGAAAATAATCTAATATCAAAATAGTAATTAATTAACGACATTAATGGTAGTGAAAGAGACCCCTTTCTAGTTTTTTATGAGTCAATTTTCCAACTCAAACTGACTTAACAAATCAATACTTTACAAATATAATTTTCTAGTTATTTTAAAGTTGGTTTTATGAGACGTGTTTTGAGTTTAGTATTCTATAGATAGATATTATCAAGATGATCTATTTAACAAACCAACACAGTAAATGATAGAATCATTACAATAATGTATGAAATGAGAGTATTTTTGGTGAATTACCTATTTATTCGTCAAGCAGGTACCAGTAGTCTTGATCATAATAGCAACATTCAAATTGAAATTTATTAAAAGGAATACTGAATGGATACTATGATTGAATGAAAAATTCATGATCTCACTCAATTTGATATTTTTATATTAATTATATTGTCATACCTACACTACTTTCTTAATTATGTTTTTCTTCAGTAGGTATATTTTTTGTTGATGTATAATTTGGGTTTTTTTTAAAACATGAGCCATGTCACGATAGCCGCTCATAAGTTTGACATCCTGTCACAACCAACACGAGAGGAAGAATTTAAAGCGAGTTTAATCAGTCAGACGAAAATTTCACAAATAACGAACATTGTTTGACAAGGACAACCTTCGCATTCGTTCATTCAATAATACTTTTCGCGTAAGCCGTCGGCTGAAGGTTTTTTTTATTAAATATAATGTAACACACACATCTCATTATGAATCATGAAGGTCAAAACTATCAAGTAAGAACAAGCTAGTTAGGTCTGAATGCTATGGACATAAGGTATTAATATTTTGTCACCTGCCTCACAGTATACATACACCCAGCCTTAAGACCCCATAAAAGGGATGCCCATTTACACATGAAATAAGTATGTATAATATACAGTTAATTCGCGACAACTTATGTTAAATAAATATACATAAAAATACACATTGCTTAATAACATACCTACAATCCACTAACATTTACATCAGCTATCTGCATCACTTGAAACTATGACATGGATAATATTTCTTGTACATTAACTATCCAACTAAATTCTAAGGCCAATCTTCATAGACATTGTGAACTGTGTGCCAAATTAATCCATTCCCAGTGGGTTGATGTGCCGATGGCAATAACACATGTCTCACAAACGTTCTGCCTTGCGTCAAACCAAGGAAAAGTCTCCAGTTTTTCCCTCTTCCAAAATGAAATGGATTCTTGAAAGAGCTTTGAGTCTTCCTCAACGTTGCATTTATTTGAGCTTCTACGCTTGTTTCGCCTCTACTTATGTTCCTTCCATGTACTATTACTAATGCTCCAAGTGCAAAGAATACTGACACACAGGTCACTGCCATGAAAATCACACCCTTTCTCTTCCATGGGTGGGCACAAATACGCTGGGCCTCAGTTATAGGTGGCACAGGTAAGTCATGCTCTCTAGGAAAGTTTATGGAATCATATTCAACAATGGTCTTAATAGGGATGAGTACTCCACTTTTGTTTATTTTGACCGGATGTCCAATCAGTTCTGGGTCATTGTTGGGAATGATGCCACCTGAAAATAGAAAAAAAGCATCATAAGTGGCAATCATTTATAAGAAACTAGCTGTGCCCGCGACTTTGTACGCGTGGAAATCAAATCGGAATTTTCCCATGTTTTCTCACTGTTTAAACTTCAACAATCATTTCAAAACCAAAATCAGCTAAATCGGTTCAGCCATTCTCGAGTTTTAGCGAGACTAACAAACAGCAATTAATTTTTATTGAGTGAAATTGTTGTTTAAAAATTATGTTACCTGTATCGTTGAGCCAGAGAACTTGATAGCCAAGGTCGAGCCCAGCAATTATAACGAATGTAACCCCAATCACCATATACACCATGTATAGATAGAAATATCTTGCGTTAAAATATCCGACACAGTTGTTGAGCCAGGGGCAATGGTGGTCCATGCCCAGAATGCAACGATCACACACAGAACAGTGGTGAGTCCTTGGTGGTTTTGGAGATATACATTTCTTGCAAATGCTGGACGCTTTTAAGACCTTTGGACCCTGAAAATTACATTCATATAAGTAGTTTCAAAAACCAAACACTGAGCAATGAAGAGCTGGTAACACTGTTTGACAAAATTATGCAATTGGAGATGTAAAAGTTGCTAATTACTGGTAACTGTCTATTTAAGACCTGTCAAACCCAGAGTTGTAGTATTCTAAGTTAGATAAATTCCTATCAGTCTTTCAGAAACTGCAGCAAGGTAAAGTATAAAAAATAATTGTTATGTAAATAAATACCTTTGGTGGATATCCCGGTGGCGTTGTAACTCCCATGTAATAGTGGAACAAGATATTAAGAAGTAACCAGTTTCCGAATACTACAAGAAATGCTGAAGTATACGGGTCCCGCTCCCACCAGTACGGCAGGCCAACCCAGTACGCTATTACAACTACAGCTGCTGTTAAAAAAGTCACCAAGATGACGAATACCTGAAATGTTTAGGTAATTCTGTATTAAATATCAAATACTTCTTAACACTTTCCCGGACAGTAACCCAGACACAATAGAAGTTAAATTGTTATGACTGCTATAGTAGTTCACTGTCCAGGAAAGTGTTAAAGACGCAATAAAGAACAATGTTAAACAAAAAACAATATTTTAAAAGATAAACAACTCAGTGGATTAACCAATCACAAGTGTTACAAAATAATATGCCTATGTAATAATATCACTATAGTATTCATTTAAAATGATTTATTGTTACCTCCCTGACAATTTTCAGCTAAATCGGTTCAGCCGTTCTTGAGTTATAAGTGGAGTAACTAACACGACTTTCTTTTATATAATAGATAAGGTCTGTACAGTTTATTTTAAATATTTCAATTCAAATCATTACCTTCCCTAAAGTAGCTGCAAAGTTGTCCACGAACCAGAAGATGGGTTCTAACAAGCAATCCACTACATAACTATGACCCATGTGCTCATTATAAGTGAGGGACCTTGCCGTCAATATTGCCTGTGTGAATTTCCACACTATATACCCCCTGTAAGAGAAAAAATTTAAATAAGAACAATTATTGACATAATATTATAAATAAACTGAGTACATCATAGCATCTTTTTACTACACATTTTATTTGAGTACAAACACGAGCAAGATTTACTTACTTTATTTCCCAGCAAATCCGTCGCCATTGGAATCTCCATTGTATGACCGGCATTTTAATTTTTTTTATTAACCTGAAAAGAAATGTTAATTTTTTTTAAATCTTACAAGCACCTACTTACTTCACTGTTTACAAGTGGTGTACATTTGTAGGTGAGGTCAGTGAACTTTAGTTCTAATTTATTATGCAAACCAGCCGGCTTAGGCTTACTTCAAAAACATTACTACACGAAAGGGTGTAAGAAGGAGTCTGTAAGTAAAACCAAGAGCCCTAACTCAGGAATACATAGAAATATTGACCTAAAATCAATAAATTTAAATATTGTTGAAGATGACGCTGATGGCTATTTGGGGCCTCATCTAATTGGTTTTTCTATTCAGCATTTAGTTATGTTTCAGAAATGTAACAAAATCAATACTTGTAAAACATTGTCTTTAAAATATGAGAAACATGACGTGAATTTGCTGTGTATAGTTAAAATACTTTTACATACGGGTATTATTACCATTGGGCATTTAATTAATAATCTACAGGAGCTAGGTTAAGAAAAATTATAGTATTAATTGTATACTTATTAAAGATTATTCTAAGATTGTATACTAGGAACTTCTTACTGATTTAAGAGGTACTTACGCTTACAAGGAAATGCTTACTTAACAATTAAACGGGTTTGAACTAATAAACTATACTCTCACATGATTACACCGCATAATAATTAATTGGTAGCAATTGTAGCAAAGTAAATTCACAAAATAAAACGATAGCCGATGCCGCCATCAACAACAAGGCAGGCAGGCAAAACAACGATGAATGTCAGATCTGTCAAAATGACGTTTTTAGTTTTCTCAAAATAGTTCGGGCATTGCCATTGCACCGTTTGTTAAAAAAGTTTAAAAGTTTAAAGCATTTCCGGCGAGAAAGCTGAAAACTGAAATAAAAGCACTCAAAATGGAAACATTGAATAAAATGAAATAGTTCCAGTTTATTTTGTAACTTATTATTAGTACCGTTTGAAAGAGCTCGTGAAACACTTTCAGGATCAGTAATCAGTATTTCGATATCTTGTATAGTTTAGAAATAATCGAGTGAGATAACTTATCGTTTCCACCCTGTATACAGTAGGCCACAGTTCCAGTTATTTCTGATTTTTCTCTCGCTCTCAGCAAAATAATGGTGATTCTTTGCGATAAAACTAGACGGATGACCGGAAAGGGGTAGCTGAAGAAACTGTGGCCGATTAATAGTGATAGTAGGGCCTCCTTAGTATAGGCAGGCCTCCGCACTATGGAGCGAAATTGAGATTTATGGACATAGCGATTTTTTTCACAATTTCTATTTGAAAAAAATACCTATCGATAGGTTACGTTATTCTGATGAATAAATGCTGCACAAGTTTTTCTCTAAAACCAATAGTTTGACTGGAAAAAAATATTTTCCATTTTCGTTGTATGGAATGAAACATAAAGTGGNTTAATATTTAGGAATAATAATAATTAACTGTAGTGATTTAAATAATAAAAAAAACTACACTTTTTAAATAATAAATTATTTTGAAATACTTATGACAAAAAACTATAGCAAAAAAAATATTTTAGCTAATAAAAACATTAACTTTACTTCACCGTGTCTATTTTCCGACACTTCACCTTTTAAAACTGTTTGTTTAATTTCGAATTATCGCAACACTGAAGTTTATTAATAGGTACTTTACAGATGGTGCGATTATACAAACTCCACTAGATTAAAGTTTTCTAATCGTAAATACAATAAATGCTTCTTCAAATTAAGTTTGCTCATACAACCCTGATGCTTGAGCGGTGACGTAGATCAATTCTAAACACAAAAAAATGCGCTCTTGTGAGCGTAGTAGTAAGGTGCGATTTCGAATGCACCATGTGCGTTGGATATTTTGCATTATTATTATTACCGTTAAAATGTCGGCATCTGATCCTACACAAAGGAGTGCAATTTCTGTTGCTACTATTATGTATTCTGTGGTATAGGTAAGTTATCAAATTGGGTATAATTCGAAAGGTCATGTCTAAAATAATACAACAAGTTTATCATAGCTTTATTACTGAAGCTCTGCCACGTGGTAAGGTATGCATGTGGTGAATTGATGAAAATTTTGCATAGTATTATTAGGCGGTTTCAGGCAGGTTTTTAGGCATTCCTTACGGGTTTCAAAATTATTTTGATTGCCACCACAACCAGAGTAAAGTCGACGCTTGCATGTTCTGTAAATTACGAAATAAATTGTTATTCCGGATGTTTTAAGTTTTCTTTTGCTTATTGTTGTTTTTCTTTTCTATAAATACCTAAGTTATGTTTAAGATACAAAAGACAATGCCGGAAATTGGCGTCTTTTTTTTTTCGCGCGGCCATCGACCAAACCTTGTTTTTGATTACAAAATAGTGTAATAAACCAAACTTACTATGACATATATGTATACCCCTAAACTCAGTCTGAACTGAGTTACGAGCATTAGAAGTTTGATGATTTTACATACTAAAAAAGTTTTGTAAGAAATTGTAACAAAATAGTGACATTGTATGTGAAAACAAACAATACCATCCATTAAAGGCTCCAGACATCAGTATGCAGCAGAATCAGCGCAATAAAAAATAGCGCAAAATTTTGTTGCAATTTCTTACAAAACTTGCGCGGAAAAAGCAAATCTAGTATGAAAATCATCAAACTTCTAATGCTCGTAACTCAGTTCACACTGAGTTTAGAGGTATACATGCCATAGTAGCTAAGTTTGGTTTATTACACTATTTTGTAATCAAAAAACAAAGTTTGGTCGATGGCCGCGCGAAAAAAAAAAGACGCCACCTTCCATACAAAATCTGGCATTGCCATTTTTGTAAGAACTTACATTCTTATGAAATACTTACTTGGCAAATCTATCCCAATACCAGCGGTTATAATGACCAAAACAATTGCCAAAGTCGAACGACAGCGAANGCTCGTAACTCAGTTCACACTGAGTTTAGAGGTATACATGCCATAGTAGCTAAGTTTGGTTTATTACACTATTTTGTAATCAAAAAACAAAGTTTGGTCGATGGCCGCGCGAAAAAAAAAAGACGCCACCTTCCATACAAAATCTGGCATTGCCATTTTTGTAAGAACTTACATTCTTATGAAATACTTACTTGGCAAATCTATCCCAATACCAGCGGTTATAATGACCAAAACAATTGCCAAAGTCGAACGACAGCGAACAGAAGTATGGTATTCGACCTAAAAGAAATAAATGCTCATGTAAATTAGAGTAGGCTTAATCTTAAAAATTAGGTAACTTGTTGCTGTTTAATCTAACCTGTTTGTGCAGTAGTATTAAGATGGCAATAGTCCAAACAATCCTCTTTACTTTCGAATCTATTCCCATTTCCCTGACAGCCCCCCCAAAAGAACTGGTAGCATTTTCTTTGTTTCACATCGAAATACCACTGGAGAATGTCCGCGCGACAAGGCCCGGTGTCAGGTCTGAGGAAACAGGACTTGTGTTTTGCTGCAATTCAAGATAATTCAGAATCTATGAGAAAATAAGATTAGGCTCAATCTATTTTTAAACTCTACTCTACTAATTACTCTGATCATCCATTTTCGTGCTTTTGCACGAAGAGGATGATGTTTAAAACGACATTCTGGTGCTTCTGCTGGTGCAGGTCCTAATTCCTTTTACTCATTGCTCAAGCGTAGAGCAAAGCATGAGGAAACCTAATGAGTGTAAACGGGAGGTTTCATGTAGTGGTAATCGGCTAAGGAATCTCACATGGCCAGCTTAAATGCCCCCTTTGTAGCAGGTATGTATTCACATTTACTCTGCGTAAAAAGGACAATCTGACTAAACAGATCATTTTGATTCAATCACTGTAAATAGCTACTAGTTTAGTGGAAAAAGTATACAAGTTACCTCGAAGAGTTTCATCTAATTGCATACATATTGTTTTAGTGTATGGGTCTGGCGTTTCAGTTGTTCTGTGTTTTCCATAGTATTTGTGTTTTTTTCTCTTTTTTCTGCAGTCAGATAGGCATATCAACAATATCAACGCTACCAACAGTATTCTACAGTTTACACCAAGCTTAAATCTCCACCATACTTGCATGGCCGCGGAAAACCCTCATACTACGTATTTTATTTGAAATAAATTTTATAGTGATCGTGCCATAAAATGGAAATTTTATCGCTTACAATAAATAGATTTACTGATATAAAATCAACCACCAATCTTACAAATCGCATTCAAACAAATAATGATTTTTTTTTATTTATAGGCTCTACGATTTAGGATGCCTTTGCTTCATTAACTTTTATAAAATGTCATTTCAAACCGCCAAAATTTGATTTTACCAACGACTTCAAACGTAAAAACAAAAAAGTTATGCAAAAACTTTTTGTCAAGTAAGTAAGTAAATGAACTGAATTGCAGTTTCTAATGAGAAACTTGTGCAATCCAAATAAAATGATCGATAATTACTTTGAATTGTAATTACAATGTTAGTTAAAAAATCCAGTTCATAACGAAGTTGCTTAAACTAAGTAATTAGGCAACTACAAGAAATCGCGTAAAATAGGTACAAATTATTTTTTATGAGAACAACTTAACTAATACGTCAATTTATAGTTATAACTCGATAATCTACTGATTGTTGATTTAAAATGGCCAACACCGGTTTCGTCACTAATGGCACGTCATTATTCGTCGAGTAGCGAACGAAACGAATGCTAAGCGGTGGGCGGGGTGCGAGACGCGCGTGCGCTTTTTGCTCGTGGCTCAGCGGCCGGCGCAGGCACCGCACCGGGATCGATCCTTATTGTATTTTATTCTGTTCTTTGCGCTCGCTCTCGGCGATCGTCTCTCCGACACAACACTCATTTTTTCTAACGAGCCCGTTACATCTCCGTTTTTAAGCTATGCCAATATGATAACTCTACACCATAGCCCTCCGGCGAAGTTTTTTGATGTTTTGTTTTGTTCTGTGAACGTGTGTTTGAATAAATAGTTTTATTTACATAATTTATTGAATAATAAGTTACGGAAACCGGCAAACATTATGCATATCGATTATTTTGTGATTTTTATTTTTCTTTTCAATTTTATTTATCTTGCCAATGGAGCTGCGCCCGATTTAAAGGTAATAAGTTTTATGTTTACGCATGCAGTTATTGCTTTATAATTTGATATAAAAAGTCCCAATTTATTTTATGGGTTTGTGATTATTTCCAGCATTATACAATAAACTAATTTCGTATTAGTATAATGAAGACGTTAAGCATTTACTCTACGTCATAATGATACTCAAGGGGTTAAATACAATAAACATAAGTCTAACTACCTGTACCTGTCTAATGGTTCGAAGGCAATAATTTTTTTTTAATTTATTTTATACATAATCAATTATTATTGTGTTTCATTTTTATTTTTTTATCAAAATATTTTTTATCTAAGCAATTACAAACAAAAATTAGTTGATTATGTTTATGTTGTAGAAAGTTACATAAATAATATCTAATGTCTATTTTTTAATGCACCGAGTTTACCCAGTTTGACCAATTTTAAATATGAAGCATGTACTTAAGTACTCGCAGTTACCCAGTGTTACGGAAAACATACCAAATTAAAATTCAAATAAAAATCCGATATTTTTTATTTTTTTACTGATTTATAAAAAAGGCTTTGTCCAGAAGGACAACTAGCTAGTAGAAACTTAAGCTATTTATTTTTCTACTTCTTTTTCTTCTATACGTTATCTCCTTCAGTTCCTACAGTCTAATTTTTTAGAAATCAGCAGAAATGTCATCAAATATGGCCAACTGACATAAAAATATTTTTAGTCTGTGAACTAGTGATGCGACAAAACCTCTCGTTAATCGCGAAGTGAAATGTTGTAGTACTTGCGTATCATCGCCGGGTGATCGTCAAAATACTAAAAATATGCAACAAAGTCGCAACATTGAATGTGAACTGATTATGAAATTTTCGAGAACAGGAAACAAACTGTATGCACAGATGTAATCAAAAAGCACACTGGACAGTAAAACAATCAATGATATCCGTAAAGTTATTAAACTTCTGTTGCTTGCTGCGTGATTGGTGGATTTTGACATATCTGTCAATGTCATGTCAAAAATAACCAATCATGCAGCATTTGGACCTCGCGTCTACGTATTGCCATCTGGCGGATTTTTCAATCGCGAAAACCCTCATTGAAAGAAGTTTTTTATTTTCTTAAAAATAAACAATGGAACAATACGTAAGCATAATTGCATAAAAAAGTAAAATAATTTCGTTTAAATAAAACCGACTAAAAATTAAACTGACTCCGAAAAAGTAAACACTAAAAGTAGAAAAATAAATTTACGTTATCTCCAATATTGTCGAAGTTATCGCTGGAAAACTAAGCAAAGTATCGTATATTTTTTATTTAAAATTAATCAGTAATCGGAATAAGTGAATACTTAAAATAATATCGATTAAATTTACAGATTATTGTCTATGACTCACAGGTTACGGCACTGATGTGTCAGAGACAAGTCATAGACAATATGGAGATAACACATGATTTTAAACGTCAAGTCAATTTGACAATGTCACAAATTTTCATCGTCCACGTATTTTGCTAAAATAATTTGTTTCAAAGATTGATTTCAAACTTGTATAAACGTGAAAATAAAGTTGGTTTCATGGGCTTGTTAAATAGTGTGTATGATATTATGAACACGTAAGTGATTATGGTGTAATTGTGTATGAAAGTGTTTGTTTACATCTCTGCTGGATTCTAAAAAATCAAGGTATAGTCGAGGAGGAATTTAGCAATAAGTATACCTTCCCCGATCAAAATCTAGCGTTAAGATAAGAGCTAGATTTTTTGAAAAAGTAAGAACTCACATTTTGAAAAAAGTTTACTCCTAACTATTTTAATGGTCCTACTTCTGGCTGCGCGAATTTGTACACTCTAGGCTACTATACCTATTATTTTGTATTAATTACAATTAATGACAAATTACTTACACAATACTTAAGGTGGCTTGTAACTTACCTATTATGTATCTACCACTAACTGAATACATACTCGTACATAAAAAGCACTAATCTAACAAAATAGTATCAATGAAATATCATCATTTATCCAAACAGGTTTGCTCCCGCTAAAATCAAACTTATCGATAATATCGTGATATTATTTATACTTAAGCCGGTAACCAACTAACCAAGAGGTAGTACCTACTTAAAGTTTGCAATAAATTGAAAACATACAAATTCCTGAATCTTCCCTACATTACCGCCTTTCCAATTTTATCTCGAAAACCGTCCTCTCCCTGACTTATCTGGAAAAGATCGCTTCTTAGCAATAAGTCTGCCTAAATTGACCCATTTTAATTTTGTACTTATTTCTTTAGAGTACCTACCTACCTACCTATCTACTTAACTACTATCAACCTAATCTACATAGTACCAACAAGCGAAATCTCGTTTACATACCTACCTACTGCCCAGTGTCCGTGCCCATGATACTTGTCTTTAAAACCGAACTCCGGCAATTTCAGTCGAATTTTTTTTTTCCTTTTCTATTCTGCTACTTGGCAATCTGTTTCCGTAAAACACCCAATCATCTGTCTGATTTCAATCCGGTTCTTAAATCGTTCAGTAAAAGACTAGTCCAGAGAATCATGTCTTCTTTCACTGCGTATCTTTTCGCTACGTTTTGAATACTATGTCTCTTCAGTCTAGAAAAGTGAAGACTGCCAGTTTCAGCCGGAGATTAAAATAAAACTTATGTCTTAATATTATTGAATTTATGCCAGCCATGGACAAAAAATACCAACATCTACCCGTAGGTAATGCATGTGGCAGCGTCCCCAACAAGTCTCTGGAAATGCTGGAAAATGGCAACAACAGTACCTACGTGTGCATTATCGGAAAGGTATTAATAAATAATTATGCCTTGTTCAAGTACTTACCAAAAGGACATTGTCAGAAACCGCCTAAAAAACCGCCCAAAAACATTAACCCATCATAATTATTTTCTAATTTTTTTAATACATTAAGCACCCTTTCATTCTAATGGACACTTAAGCATTGAAAAATTAAATAAATAAGTATTTTAACGTTTATTCTATAATACTATTACAACTTCCGGACGTTTTGGTGCGTGGCATGGTCTAAAACCTATCAAGTTCCNGGTAGTAATATGTCAAAATTGTTGGTTCTTAGGCGAACAATGTATGGAGAACGAACATTGTCCTTTGGCTACATATTGGTCATTTAAAAAACTGGTCTGGATATAGGAGGATATAAAGGCTAATTTGAATATTTTAATATCGTTCTACAGTATTTCATTGGCAATGCAAGCGGAACTTTAAGTATACTAACATTATCAAAGACTTGGTATTATCTATTTGATTTATTGATCAAACAACTTCGGGTTAGTCATTTGGTGCTTATCCTCTGACGTCTGATACAACAATTTACCATTCCAATATTGATCCAACCTTTAAATATTGTGAATAATTTTATCTTCGCTTTTATTTTGATTTTATGCCTGCCACTCTCAAGTGATTATCGCGTTTTCCAGAGGATATGAAGATTTATCATACCAATCATGCATATAGGTACAATGCTTTAATTATAAAATAATTTATCATAATATAGAAATATTCATTTCACTAAGAGAAAACTTGCATCTAACGACAGGCAATGCATAGGCTCTCGATCGGCTACGAATTGAATTTAAATGCATTACTCGTATTAAAATACAATCGAGCTCGTTTATAAGGGAAAATAATCATAAGCAAAGGATTTAAAGTCTCCTCAAGTGCATAAAACGCCTTTTGAATAGTTCAAGGTATCTGGATAAAAGCTATTTTGCAATTTCTGCCATTTACATAGCTTCGACACTAAACCACCTGACTTTATTAAACACCGTTAAGCTTCAAAATCATTAATTATTTTCAATAAAACCTAGCGCTAGTTTAATTACCTAGAATTCTAGATGAATACATTTAAACACATGGACACCATAAAAAACCACTCCGCACATGCCGCATGACTTGGCCGCATCTGTTTGTAATTAAGACAAATCAAAGGACTAAAATGCAGATTTATGGATTTGCTTTTAATAGAGTGATACTTGATAGAGTCAAAAGATCTTGCTACTTTTTGACGTGATTGAGAATCGAATTGATGTTCATTTCGAAGGCCGGCTGTGGTTAGACTTCAGACTCCTGATTACAATGCTGATAAAATGGCACTACTTTATTCTTCTGCCACTTCTTCTCAATGGCAGGGCATAATAATATGATGTCCCGAAAACCTCTTCCTTCCTAGGTTGCCCTACCTCCTGGTAGGGCAACCTATTTTTGGAACCTGACTAAAGTGCCATAGAGGCCTGGGCTGCGATGCGAGCCGCGATGAGCTTTTATCGATTTTACGCGATAAGTCAATTTGTCATCTAAAATCATTGATACGATTTTGTCACGGCGCGCATCCTAGCTCGGCTGAAAAGGGCCTACATACAAAGGTTTTTTACATTTTAATTAAAAATGTTGTGTTGAACAGGCCACCTCACAAAACAATGGGACGTGCTACATCCGCGTGTCGACCTGCGAAGCCAATGTGGCCAGCAACAAGAGGCCGGTCTGCGGGACTGACGGCAGAACGTACGCCTCGCGATGTGCGCTGCTGAAGGTGCAGTGCGCGGGCGAACCCGTGACGATCGCGCACAAAGGGGCTTGTGTTGGTAAGTGCTATACAGGCTGTTGATATCAATCCTCGCCATATTTATTTAGGTGATCTATTATGACTTCTATAAACGCATTTTCCACAAAAAAAAAATTACAAACGAAAGTGGAATTTTTAGCAAATATTTTCTGTGGCTGCAATACGTTTACACTGCGGCACCATAGTGTTACGCGAATCCTTGCTTATCATATCGGATAGCCTACTGAAGGAAGCCACGTAAAGTAGTTAGTGTAAATAGGTATTTTTCTTTGACTAACTAAAGTTAAAGTTAGTTTTAAATTTTTTTCGAAGTAATTTTTTTTACTGATTTGTGATCAGAATAAGCTATACTTTTTTAAACAACTTCCTAAATATGGTGAGGATTGAAATCAACACCCTGTATTATCGGGTACGGATCGTATTTGCCATGAAAATAGTTGACTAGCTAATAAGAAGAAAGATAGCCGGTTCCTCTGTGGTTGAGGATTCCTGGTAAAGTTCCCTTCCCTTAGGCCTGATCATCACTTTCCATCGGGTAATACAGGCCAGGAGCTTCCTCGTTGTGGATAAAAAAAAAGAACAACAAAATTAAATGGGGTCTTACAAGTGTTTTATAATTGGGAAAGCTCGTGCACATCGGATTTAAAAAAGGCCTGCATTAAACCAGGAATGATTAATTAATTGACTACGAGTATCATTATGGGATAATTTTAATATGTGTAGGTACAGTTGCAATTACACATAATAATAAGGAATTCTCGTAGGTAACTATAACAAACTTATTAAACTGTTGACATCTTCTAATTGGTTTCAACGGAAAACACCACTGAACTGTCATCTTAGATATTATCGTAAAGTACAGCGAAGATATCTCGACAAGGAAATGTAGCGATGACTTACACAATGAAATACTGTTCCAGAAGACTGGTGTTAATAATGAAACACATCTTTGTCCATGCGTAGCTTTGTGATCGGCGAATCCACATGTCTGCAGCTACTTTGCCCTTAGTAACAAGTGCGAGTTATTTACGAGATAGATCTATTTGATTGGCCATTCTTTGATTTCCATTCATTGACGTTTTATTGAGTCTATTGCCCTATGCAGCCAAGCCGGCAACTAGGTAACTACGTACATTTATACTTACTCTACCCCTTTCTTCCATTTTATTTATAGGAACTTAGCCTAAAGCACTTTTCACGATTAAATTATGCGAATTATAAGCATTCCATTTATCTCCCATAACAAGAATAATAGCTTCTTCCGACATTCTAAAGGGCCTACTACCTAATCTTCGCTCATATTTATTCGTGCTGCTACGCAAAAACAACTCTGGTGGTCCGTTATTATGAGTGATATAAATGACTCCGTGACTAATTTTATAAATGCAGTCGACAAAACTAGCTTTGTATCATAAATACTTGTGACACTGATGAATGATTTATGGCCTTCTGGTCAATTGACGTGCATGATTGCGCCGCTCTCAACGCCTGGATGGGTTGGCTCTGGCTTCCCTGTATAATGAAACAAAATAAAAACTATTAAAAAGTACTCATTAAAATTAAGCTCCTCTAATTATATTTGATACAAGTCTACGATTAAATTCGTAGCGGATCCAACGACAGTTCAAATTTGCCCGAGGGACTTTAATTTTACTGATTGGATTTTTTGTGGTTAACGCTATGGATCCTGGCTACAGCGATATAAAAAGACTGGCCCTCCCCTTTTCTCTCTTTAAACTAATACTTTTTGACGAGCTGGTAAAAAGCCTTGGGGGGATTTCCACAAGACCGGTCCAACGCAGCCCGCATCCAGGCGTTTTCTGTACCCTAATCAGGTCATTGATCTATCGAACTTTTAGTTACATTTGCTTCCGATTCTCAACATTGACAACGAAAGGAAGTAAACTCTTAGTTACATTCACTTCTGACAACATTGACAAGTAACTTGGAACTCTTCGTCACCAGAAGGCCCATCCTCGTGTGTCTTCGCGTTGCGTTACGCGTTGAACGCACCAGCCGATCGGCGAGCACCCTTCGTGCCCAGGTGTCGGGCTGACGGCACCTACGCGGCGGTGCAGTGCGCCCCCGCCGGCGCTGCAGCCGGCTGCTGGTGCGTCTCCCCTGATGGGAAACCCCTTCCGTACACCGTCGTCAGGAATGGCAGGCCGGACTGCACTAGAACGGGTAAGAAAACACACCTGCCTACTTTTAGTTTACGACGCCAGATGTAAATATCTGCTGCGTATCCATGAATGGTCAGTAACTTCAGGATGTGAAGGTATCTCGGGTGGGTGTTCCAAGAAGTTTATCTAAAACTGAATGAGAAAAGACAGAGCTGTCAACAATAAAGCTCGTATCCATCTCTGTGCTGGATTCCTGCTGGAGTGGTTAATTCCAACTACGAGTAGTAGCGTAGATAATATTTATCTACTTACTCTAAATTGCCTTTTGCATTTGACTTGCTATTCACATAAAGGGTGGGCAAATAATGATGATGATGTCCTGTTGATTCTAGAATGTTTTCTGGTTTGCAAGTTCGCTTAATGTTCCTGCTTAGTTCAACGCTTCACACTTATGGGAATGATACGAACATAAACAGCATCCCGAAACCTATTAATTCAGAATGTTCAAATATTATACTATATTCCCCGAAGTTTACATGCTTGTTTACAATTTAGGTCAGTTTATTTACAAACAGAATGGTTGCATTGACACGAATATTTGTTTTGCTGTTTTGCTATAAGCTGCGACTTTTACGCAAGGGCGAACATTATGCTGTACTTCTTGTGTCAGAATAAAGCGTACATCATCCTAAAGGAAGATTTTAGAATACAAATACAACAAAAACAGCCATAAGTGAGTCATTATGCGCAATACTTTATTATAATGTTTTTAAAAAGCGGGTGCTTCATCTTTCGCACCCGGATTCGAACATCTGCTTTACCTAACTCGAGGTGTAAATAACTGAAAATACTTTAGACTTCGTTTGTAAACAGTGGTACCAGATGAAATCTGATGTTTACGTTTAACCTAGAGGCGCCCAATGAGCATCGTTACTCAGAGCAGAAGTACTTACATAGATATATAATTGAGTACCTCGCACATGCTAGCGAAATTTTACGATGCAACGTCTTCATCCAGCCAAAAGTAGGTACCCACGTTTCTCGTGCCTTAAAATACTGTGAACATTTAAAAAGATCTAGAAGATTCCTATTCACTCGTATCTTGAAGACTCAAAGATTTAAGAAATCATTTAATAAGTTACGTTTAAAGAATAACTAATATGTACATACTATCTCACCAACTCTACAGTTTGAAAGTCCATAAAACGCAGCTAATGAATACCGAGGAAATCCCGGGGCAAAGTTAAACTGTCATTGGACCTTCAATGTGATTAATCTTACACTGATATAAAGCCACATGGCTCTCGACTCTCGAGTGAGTCATAATGTTAGACAAGTAGATAGTAAATCATTTGCTTTGTATAGGTACTCCTAAGATAGAGCAATAGGTTATTTATAATGTTATGGTCCTAGGCTTTCAGATAAATCACTACGTTTTACGAATACACACTTGTTTTTTTTTATTAAAAACAAGAATTTCGAAAAATAGGCAACGGGTACAAATAAAAGTTTCTCTACCACATTCGACAAATTACTGGAAACCAGGCTCGTACACTTTTGGGGCTTGCGCGAAAAATGTTTACTAAATTTGTTTACGCAAATCATCAGAAGCAGAGCTTTTGGTGAGAGAGTGTGTGTGTAAAGTACTAACTCTCGTTTGTCTTCAACGAGTAGTCCTAAAGTAATTAATTTACATAACTACTTACATTCAATTAACAATACTGTAGTACTATCTGGTTTGGCAATATGATGTACTTCGGCGAATCATCTTAGCCCATGACTAATCCACAAACCTGTCGCACATAATAAGGAAAATTATCCTGATCATTACTCAATTAAATTAAAAATAGACAATAATTCAAGACAAAAAAATGCACACCACAGTCTGCAAGCTAACGGTAAAAAAATATCGAAAGTAATAGAAGAAATATCGTTTTCAGGATACTTGTTTGGCCCAGCCAGCTGCTTAAATAGTACTTATAACAGAAAGGGAACTATGAGTTTGTTTAGCTATCACCGTATTTTTCCTCCTTTTCCTCTGCTAGCTCTTACTCGTATGTTTCCTATATTGGACTCTTAGATTGACTTCCATGGGCTTATTAAGGTGGAATAAGTTCACCTGGTGATATCCCGCATCGCTAGTGCACGTCACCACTAGGAACTAGGAACGGGGTCCCAATCTGTTCCCGTATGCGCAATGCATGTAAACAAGAGGGTCAGGGGCCCGCGGAGGCGGAAGGCGGCAATCTAACCTGTTTACTAGACAGGTGCCTATTATCGAATCAGACGACATTGATGCCAGCATGCTCCAATAGCTTTGGTCCCGAATGTCCTGATCTAAAGTAACAGGGAATATTGAAGGGAAAGCAAACAGGTGTGATTTATAAACCGAGTAAGCGATTGTTTTCAGATTAAAATACTACAAAAAGATTAAATTGAAAAGTAGAGTTTCATTATTCAGGTTTAGTAAAATATTTGCACATGACAGACTTAGTAAGATGCCATCAATTTAATCTCCCTTCTGCAGAGTTCCTTTGAAATTATTTATGTTTCAGTAACATTATCGCCTGAAGTTGTGTATTTTCACAGTGTAAATAAGTAGGTACAGCTCTTCAATAAAGCAAGATGCAATATCGTAGTGTAGTGTAACGACAGTCTTACCTGTCTAACGATACGACCACCATCGTAAGTTTTGGTAACAAAGACCTTATCAGCAATTCTACGGCTTTCCTCGCGACCATAATGTGGGTCAATGCAGCCATTTGTACAGTGGATGTTTCTACTTGGTAACAATACTATGCCTGTTGCACTGCATCGGTTCCGTTACCGCCATTGTTCTGGAGCGCGGACCAGGTCACCCTGCAGACGAAGGGTCGACCTACGCAGGGCGTTGCCCTGGCCTAATCATGTGCTTCCTCAAAACCACGCTACTTCATCTCCACTAACACTCCATTTATTTGGGTTATCGTTCATCAGATCAATTGGAACTTTTAACTTCCACAATTTCAGACTCATCAAACATTAAACACCCAGACCGCTTTAATGTATTTTTGCGCAAGTGTTTACTATAGTTTTTCTTTGCAGTAGCACTGCGAGTTAAACATCGTCATGATGAATCATCGTGTTCTTAAAACTCTATCTAAATAAAGTCTAGACGCAGGAAATTCTTGCCTGATTAATACTGCAAAAATTTCGATAGACTCGTTCGAATTTTTCGATCGTAGCATGAATCAGTTCGAAATAGGGTGTTTGCTTAGTAAGGACGAGGTTTTGTTTATAAAAATAAACCCAGGTAGGCTGACTGAAAGTCATTGAGTTTTTTGGTCCTTGACCCTGCATTTAAATATGTCAAACGAAGTTAATTAAAAATGATTTATGTTAAGTGCAACATGAGTATTTTGATTTGAATCTTAGGTAAATGGGGCCTATTATTTTAAACCTAAATGTGCATAAATTATATTTTTAATTATCAATATTATGACCTGCGGTTGCGAATGCAAATATAAATGTTTAAAATAAAATATTGCCGAGTATAGGAACACGCATCGACTTCACATTGCACCGGTAGAGTTTAGAATGTCGCTCTATATTACAAGCCTTTAATTATATAGTTTCTGGTTCTACTGTCTGTCTGCTGGTAATCAAATCTTGCATTTGAACCGTAGCTCGTACGTAACTTGAACGACAACGCAATAAGTATCTTGGTGACAAAGTGGTCGTTTAAAAGAGTCCAAAGTTAAACAAGTTAAGTTTTAAGTCAAGTTAAGATTATTGTGGCTTTTTGAAGCATGTTTTACCATGCTTTAAAAAGCCACAATAATCTTAACTTTTAAAGCATGTTTTACCATGCTTTAAAAAGCCACAATAATCTTAACTTGACTTAAAACTTAACTTGTTTAACTTTGATAAAGTCATTTTTTGTATTTGCAAAAGCATAACAAATGAAATCACAAATTGACATCGAACCAAGAATAGCCTAACCATATTCACTTAGCATTCCAGTTGGGTGCCCACATCGTCCGTCGCATTGGTAATGTACCTACAAATGTAGGTAGGTACCGTAACTGGGAATATGAAATGGCGCCATTGAACTAACCTTCTTGGAATAAGCTAGTTACTTTTTAATATTGACTTTATAGGCATGCACCTGATCCTTGCATTGTATGGCGATTGTTTCAACTCTCCAATGACTCAGATTCAATAGAGTTTGAGTAACTTTCATTAACGATGTTTGTTGGGTCGGAATACGAAAAAGGATATTGAATAAATGGGCCAATTATATCCTAAAGGTAAATCTAAGAAAAATAATTTTTTTAGAAAATCTGAAATACTTTGACTATTCGAGTTTTTGAAGCATTTACATTATCAGCAGTGAATTAACAAGCTTTGCAACGACCAAGAGGAAGCTTTTAAAAATTTATCTTCCATACAGAAAATTAAGCTGCCTTATCACAGGTCTATCTCCATGTAGAGCTACGGTATAAATTAGAAAAGGCTTATTATAACTTTAATTACGCTTGCACTTAACTAGCATAAATCCATTTGGTTAACATATTAAAATCAACAGACGGTAATTGAAAATCGTGTACGGCTCTCGGATATCAATAGCTAATTCATCTTGTGACACAGCCAGCTGACGCACGCACATTGCGTACCAACTTGATGGGCCAGCCCTTCATAGGCTGTGCAAAAATGCTCAGACGCAGATTTTTTTGGACAAATCATATGGTTGGTAGCCTCAGAAATTTAATGCAAAGGACTCTCAAACAAGAGCTGCCGTACACGCGACCCAGTTTCACCTGTATTCAGGACAGAACTGCCAAGCAAATAAGGCCGAAATCCCCAGAGCATATGAGGATAATAACCGGCCAATAGCTTCACACATGACTTTCCGTATTTTCCTATGCTGCGTCATGGGCCTGTATGCACACAGCCTTAGGTACTCCGGCGCCTGCGACCAATCAAGCATTTATGGCCACTCGTGGTGACCCGCTTGCATGGAATCTGCTACACTCTCTTTAATTACATTTTGACGTCTTGGCATGGTATAACTAGGGACTAATTGGACTTCCCATTTATAGACTGGACTACATAAATCTTTCAATGATATGATAATATATTAAACGAATAATCGAACTAGGTCTCGTATTGCGTAGGCACAACTACGTGTAAGTTACCCATGTTGTGGCGATCAAACACATGAAAGTCGAAAGCTATTACGACAATATTTTGTATGATCGTGTTGTTTTGCCAATGGGAATCGCATCGAGCGATTTCAATAGTGTCGGAAATAATCTATTATGTTGACGTTCACAAAATATGGATAGAGTCAGTGAATCCGAATGCTATATTCACACTTTGTCAGCCGTGGAATACGATACGAAACGAGACGATCCTTTGGGTGCGTATGAGACGGTTTCTAAGAACCAGCGGTGCGTCTCAGACTGCTCGACGCCGGAACACAATGGGCCCGTGTTTTTTTTTGTCTCTGTTAAAAGCAAAGAGAACCCGTCTCAGCCATCGGGTGATAGAAAAAACGTTCCAGACATCATCCGAGCGCTTTGTTGGCCGATCTTCCCGCGCCTTTGAAGTTTTATATTTAGCCCGTATACCTGTGCTACGGCTTTAATGAAGTCGTTAAGAAAGAGTTAAAAGAACGAGCAGCATTTGTAATCGCCTGTTTATTAGCGTTGTTACAGTTAACTTGCTGATCGCAAATTAGCCGGACAAAACAACGTGTCTTGTAGATATACTCAGCTCTACCACTGCTTACATGAATACAGAGAAGGATTAAGTTATTCAAAATGTTTATTGGAACTAGTGTATCAGACTCATATTCCTCGAAGAGATTACGGAAAGATAAGTTACGTGACATTAATGTGGTATTTTATTTAACCACTGGATATACTTCAGTAAATAATACGGTTGGTTTCTCCTGGTTCGTTTACTCCTATGAACTTTTTACCTATAATTTTCAATTAGTAAATCAAGGTTTGAGAAGTTCTTAATTGGTTATAGAAGTGCAAAAGTGTTATAATTGCAAATCACACTGCCCATTAAGGTTTCTTTAACGCGGACCATCCTGGGCAATTTCTCTTGAAAGTTCGTTCACGCTTTTAGTGCGTATCATCATAGTGAGACAGGTAACACCCTCGACAGGCGCCAAAGCGTCTGGGTACGAGTGACCAAACGTTAATCGTTTTAAAGCAAACCGAAACGAATCTTCATCTCGCCATAAAACGTTGTGTGCGTACTTAACGGCTTATTTCATTTTAAACTGGAAACTTTATTGTAATAATAATAAATATGACGGCGATATTTTTAACCTTTAATCGACTCCAGATGACTTTTTAACTGCATTCGATTAAATATTTTATTGGATAAATTAAGTGGTAATTAATGGGCATTACATTAATGGCATTAGTGATTTTATTATGCGATGTGTTTTTTTTGTTGTGGGTGACCTTGGTCGTAGTTAGGTGTTCTGTGGTGGGTTTTATCTACTGCATCGGCTAAATGGTTAGTACTAAATCGCTGCGGATACCTAGGTAGACCGCGTCGCGATCGTTACCGGTTTTTGTATCGGCTAATGGTGCTGTGTGCATCACTTTTGGACCGGTTGGGCAGACGGACGCCCGCACCCCCCGCGCCCTGCAGGACAAGAGCCATAGCGTAGCTAGTGACAGTAGTCGAAAACCCTAAAATGTAGAGCGCTAACCTAAAACATTACAATGGATGGACTTGCTAAATTCGTGAAAAAATAATTTCCTTCGCTTTCGTTACTAATTCGCATTCAGTACCTATAGCTCAAAGGCTCGTAACGTAAAGGTAGGTAAAGTAAACACAAATTGTGACATAATTTTATAAAAGGTTAAAATATGCCACATCAAACTCAAGTTAACTAATCCTATCATCTACTTAGATACTTCTGCTTTCTGAGAGATCATATAGCTTCAACATTAAAACCTGCATTCACAAAGAACTGCACTATATCACCATCTGATCTTAACTACTCTGTGACGGCATTCTGTGAAAATAAATCTCAACCGACACGCACACTACCTCGCGTCGAACATAATTTACGAAGACACCCGTGATATGCATCCAATACGAAGGTAATGAGCGTGTTAACTCCCTAATTAGAAGCCTGCACTCAAGCTCAACACTAATTACTCTAATAAATAGCCATTTAACAACTGTTAATACACTATTTATTCTAAATAACGCTGTTAAAACGTCGAGTGGGTGTTTTATGTGATAATTTGTATAGATGATGGATGGAGTGGACCAGTCCCCCTACGGTTTGCATAAGCTATGTAAAGGCTTATCAAACAATGAACACTCATTTGCGTTATTTGTTAAGTGTGAGTGTTAATATTTGCTGCGCGTTTTACTGCACAAATTGAATTAAGTAATAGCAAGTTAAGAACTTAAGAGCTACGTGGCTAAACAATAGGGTATATTTTTTACTCGTACATTTAACATTTTTAATTCATGTAGAGCTCTTAGATATTGGTAGATTAAGTACCACCATCTGTTATAGCTCGCTTATTAAGTTAACTGGAATTCCCAAACATGAAAGAGCATGTTGATAAAATCAGACGCGGCTCCGATTCTGCATCTGAGCCACTGAGCTCTTTGTTTACTTATCAGTAAATCAACTTATAATGTGAATTAAATTTGCAGGTAAATCCCACACAAGACGGCGTTCCTCGGTACGAGGTCAACGGAATAAAAGAAGTGAGTAACCATAACCGTCCTTTTAGTTAATAAAACTTAGAACGCGGAACAGATACCTCGGTCACCTGATACCTCGAGTTTATTGTGTCTGTAAAATAGCGAGACATGTCGCGGGACGTTAAGAGACTGTTACGTTACGATCCATTACGGAGCTCCGAGTCGGCCATAAACGGTGTTCTGTCCGATTGTTCGCTGATAAAATCGGCACAAAGATACTCGAGATTCGTGCCGTACTAGCTATCTATCGATCATGAAAGTTAGCCAACTTTCGCCGCGTCGATCCCGGAAACGCGAATGTTTGCTATCCATATTGAATGTCCCCGTCCTTAGAGCGCGTTTCGAACAGGCGGCTAACCTCGTTTTGTTACTATGATGCAGATCGGTAATCCTGTTTCGAGCATCAATCAAATAGATTAGACAGGCAAACAGCGTGGTGTGCTAAATTATACTAGGCTTTTAATGTCCTGAACCGAATAATTCTAGCAATTAAACCAGGTTATAAACTGAAGGAACTCTATCCACAATCTATCGTTAGAAATATTTTTGCTTGGCAAATCACCTTCTACTTAGATACCCTCCACTTTGTAGTATAAGGAGCCACTTAGGAATGAATTCTACATTCTACATATCACACGCAGGTTGTACCAGAACTGATCGCGCCTTGTTCAACGGGAATCTGATAAAGATCTTCAGCGGGGAGTACGAGCGGGCGAGGCCTGGCACCACCGGATCCGAACCGAGGGAAGTCGCCGACTGGAAGTTCCGAGAGCTAGACCGGGACAAGAGTGATGCCCTGCAGAAGTCCGAGTATAGAGGCCTGAGGCGTCTCATCAAAAAGGTTGGTTCTTAATCTTAGAAGAATTATGCACTCTTCTACGAAATGTTCTGGAAAGATGTGGCTTATTAAAAAAAGGTTCATACAATTCCTTCGATATCTTTGTCACGTCCACTCAGATCACTACATCCCAATTTATACACATAACACATTGACTTTAGAAACTTAACATAGCCAACTTTATAGACAACGGTGCTGCTTATATCCCTTTGTCTAACTTGAGCTATCTACGACTACGGCTAAAAAGCGAAACGACCGTTTAAAAATAGATTTTACTTAGCGCCTTCGTCTCACACGTTTCAGCGGAATCTTATAATAGATGCAAAGAATAGATGCGTATTTCTGTAAAGATCGAACACTACGCTCTCGCGCCATAATGTTGAGTCGAAAGATGAGGATTCGGTTCTATTCGTTCATCCACAGCTGAAATACTTAGACTCCGCTTAATGCAAAAACTACTCAACCCTCTATATTCGTGTATTCTTTTTTGGAGAAGTAATAGCACACAGATGATGGCCTCATCATGGGTGGCGACCACGGGCTGGAAGACGTAGCGTGGCCAGGCCTCCTACTAGGTGGACCGACGATCTGGTAAAGGTCGCGGGAAGAGCCTGGATGCGGGCAGCGCAGGACCGTTCATTGTGGAAAACCTTGGGGGAGGCATTTGTCCAGCAGTGGACGTCATTTGGCTGAAACGAACGAACGAACGATGGCCTCATCACTTCACGTCAATTTAATTACAAAGTCATCAATTGATCCGCACTGCGGCAAATGCAACCCTTTTCAACCTAGAGAAAAACATTTTTCATTGCTTTTGAAAGTTATGTTATTTCAGTAAAGTTCAAAGTGGCATCAATTCTGCCGCTACCATGGCAGCACCAAAAATGCATTGACTAACCAACCATAACTGGTGTTTTTTGTATGGCGTTTATTTGATATACTTTTGACGTTTGTTAAAGTTAAAGTAAGATGCAACCCAGCCTTAAGTTTAAGGCTGGGTTGCACCATCTTACTTTGACTTTGACAAACGTAAAAAATCTGTCAAACTCCATACAAAATGCACCGGTTATCGTCATAGTTACGGTCAAAGTTGAGTGGTGCAACCCAGCCTAAGTGTTTCATAGTAGTGACCTCACCAGGTAGTGAAACCGAAGCGCTGCGCCCGCGCTTGGGCGCGCGGTTGCGACGGCGACGGCGACGGGGAGATCGCGCACGAGGAGTGGGTCGCTTGCTTGTTGGCTACCCCCGAGCCGCCTGCACCGGACTGTGAGTACCTTGATGATCCGATGCTAGCCTGCAAGGCTGCAAGCAACGCACACTTAACTCATAACATCACTTGCGTTTTTAACTATCGATTTGATCTAATGTACAACTTTGGACTGCTGCAAGAGAAACCTTATGAATGATGAGACACATTGCTCACAGAAATATTTGTCTTATTGTGATCACCTTATTATAATACTAGCGGATTAGACTCCTTCAGACAATAGCACGGCTCTTTAAAATACTTTACCACAGACTCTACCAAAGATAACTCCGCGGTCTTTGTAAAGTCGGTCACAAAAACATAGTTTAGAATGCTGTTCGAATAAAAAAATAAATTATACTCGTGCTAGGATACATACCTACATAGATAACTTCTAGTACTTCTATTATTCGATCTACAGAGGGTATAGAGATATAAATATAGAGTCAAACAATTGCTTGAGATTATTATCTTCCGCGTCGGTAACCGTACAATGCGATGTTGTGCGAGTGACCTAAAAGATGCATTAATCGAACGGCGAACATGCGCCTATGCACAATGAACACTGAAAGTAGGATATTATGTACACACCTCTATCTACCTAATATCATGCACAAAATGTAGTGTATTCAACAAGAACAATAGCCAAGTAGGTAGGTAAGTAAAATCTATCTTGTGACTCTATCTTTTATCCATCAAAGTTTGGACTTGAAAGTCAAACGCCTATGGATAGTATCTAACTAAATAATAGTTTATTTGTCTCTAGAAACTGACTATGTAGGTACCTAAGTACGATAGTGTCTTCCGCGACAAATGAAACGTCTATCCAAGGAGCCCGTGATCTGATAATAAACAAAATGTAATAGACGAATCTTGTGAACCATGTTTTTAGCACGGCGCGGTGAAGACAAGATGGGAAGATTTATTTAAAAATGTTTATTCTCTGAATACGTGTTCCACTTAACGAAGGCGGAACAGACGCTATACGTTTAGTAAGTTGTCAAACTCGAAATAGAATTCCGAGATCAATAACATAGCTAAATTAAATACAGATCTGGTATAACGGTTAGGCACATTTCACTTTCGTCTTGGCTTGTCGTGTGAGCACTACGTTGATGTTTAATTTGCATGCTAATATAAAATGCTAAAGTGTGTGAAAACATAATAATAATATATAGTCTCTCTCCGTTTCTTCATGTCGTTGAACGCAGACGAGGACAGCGGTCCCGAAGCGGAGCCCGACTATAACGAGGAAGAACCGCCGCCAGACCCCAGCGCAGGTGACTTTCTATTCTTCATTCGACTATTATTGGGTCTATATATTATTATTAACTAATACCAAAAACCTGCATTTTGATACTCACTAACACTTTAATATCCTCTGTCTCCTAAATTCTCTAACTGCGCACTCTTCGAGACAGAAACGATTGGACACGTTATTCCACATTTCTCTATTGAATGCGACGTTTCAGTTTTATGAACTAATTTATGTTTGCTATTAAATCCACATCATTGCTGATTGGTTGAGAACTGGACGCGTTTTTAGAGGGTAATCTAATTAGGAATGTGAACACAACTTTTAATACCTACCAACATGTTCCATATTTTTAGGTAGAGTCAATAAAATAGACTTGTTATAGAAATCTATTTTTACAAGGCTATTGCTCTCATGGACACAATTACCTATTCATATTCATAAGTAGAACATCCTGTAGAACTGCGTCCGGCGTTCAATCGGTCACCCTGTACAGCCACTAATCAGCGCGCTGCAAAAATAACCTCATATGTCAAGAAACTGCTTCGCAGGCCGACGTTTTATTTTATAGGCTAGTGAACGGCAAATTCCTTGAATTTCTATTCAAGCCAATATTCATGATGCCGTACCTATATGGAGTTGATTTTAATTATCATCTCATCTGTCAGTAGGTACGTCCTGGAATCAGCGCTGGTCTTAGTGTTTTACCATATCAAGATCTTTTGGCGCCACTTTGTCAAGGCCGTTGAAGCGTGGTTGAAGCATCCAATGGAGACTAGATCCATTGCATCTAGTCGATACTGCTGAGAGTGCATACAAAATTGGTTTATGCACATGAATGTAACTGTAACATACCTAATACTTCCTATAAATCTACTACGAGTAGGTAGTAGTCCGAGACATTCGGTTACACCTAACCTTTTCTGCCTCAGATTAATAATTTAATTCCTGTTGTTGGAGGGAATAAGGTTATTGCCATCGTCGTGGTGTTAATATTTTTTTTTTATCCCAGTGTTGCCAGGCATTGTGAGGAACTCTTTCGCCCCGGACGGGCCTGACGCGGAGGCGAGGCGCGAAGACGAAGTCAACGACTGCATCACCGACCGCCAGGCTGTTTTGGATGAACAGGTGCCAATAAACGTTGCTACTATATCTTGGAATGGCACGTGGTAAAGGCGAACTAAATTGTCAGCTTTTCCTGATTCAAACCTAAGTTTGATTAAGTACTGATTTTCAACTAAATATGAAAGTACTAACCGTATGTAACTGTTTGTGGAAGTACCCACCTTGGTGCGGACGCTACAAATTAGCTAACTTTGCCTACCTCTTTCTCTTCTTATGAAACTGAATGCCTGTTGGTAGTAGGGAACCACATAACAAATGATGTTTAAAGTCGAGCTAAGTACAGAATTTTATAGAGAAGTTGCTTACTTAATACTTTTTATGGATGGTGCGAATGAGAATATTTGTAAAGGACTGACATAAACCTAACCCAGCAACACTACAATGTAACTACTACTACCTACCTACTTCTAGTGGCTGATGCGTGATTTGATGTTATGCTATGCTATCCCCTCTTCCATTTATTTGCAGGTGGTTTTAGTGTCTTGTGTTTATGTCCTTTGACTAAGCGAATGTTTACTGTTGCCTAGCGATTGTATTTATGTAATAGCACTTAACTTGTTTGTTGGGACGTAACAAAATACAACAAAATAAACGTTTATATCCTTAAGAAGGAAATGAGTGTGCTGAAAGATTTAATTATGTGTAGAGCAAATGTTTTGTTGTGTAATGTGTTTTGCCTTATTTATAACATAACAGTAACTAAAAATGTAACTTTATTACCTTTTAAATCTTCCATTTGTTATTGACGAAGGTATTCTTGACCACCAGAAAGCGGGCGGAGCGGTTCTCTACGTGCCGGAATGTACTGGTGACGGTCGGTACGCCCGTGCCCAGTGCTACCGGTCCACTGGCTACTGCTGGTGCGTCCACCAGGACACTGGCAAGCCGATCCCGGGGTCTTCGGTGAAGGACCGCAGGCCGGACTGCGATGCCACACCGCAACACGTCAGCCCCATGAGAGGTGAGCCTTAGTAGAAGAAAAGTAAGGATGTTCAGATGGTCGAGCGTAGAGATTCTAAATAGTTACATAGGGACTATAGAAGGAAACGAAGTAGCAAATGAACTCGCCAGAGATGGAGCCCATAACCCTCAAATCGGCGTAAAACCGTTCTGTGGCATCACCAAACAACGAGCCACCACGCTACTAACCGCCCTCTGCAAACAAGAGGCTATTGAGTGGTGGAAGTCTACATCGGGACAAAAACACTCAAACGCACTCATTCAGGGATATAGCAACAAAGTAACTGTTAAAGTTCAAAAGATACAAAGCTTGTGCAGTGACTAGAATACTAACCGGCCACTGCAAACTAAACAAACACAAATCAAACATGAACATGACCGAAGAAACTCTGCGCAGATTCTGCCATACAGAAGAAGAAACGGCCATGCATGTTCTCTGCTCATGCGGCCCGCTTATAAGCAAAAGAAGTATCCATCTCGGGCGACACATCATGCACCCGGATGAGAGCTATCTGCTAAGATATCAAGCTGCAAAGAATCTGGAAATTTATAGACTCAACGGGACTAAGCAGTGAACTCTAAACACAAGGGCTGCCACAATAGATCAAACCTGGTCGAGCTGGCGCAAATGAAGGTCCAAAAACCAATAATAATAATGCATAGGGACGGTTTAATGAATATTAAGTGTAGTCTCTTCATGCGCCTAAGAATATACGCGCAGCCATCTGCTTCTGCACTTAGCCATAGACTTAATGCATCGCTTACCTTCCTTGTTGTGTGCATAAGTCAGTTCTCCAACCATTCTATCCATGAGTCAGGACAGTAAATGATAACCGTCACCGTATTCTATGCAGCCATGTATGTACACTTAACCATCAGTAAAACCCAACCAAAAGCTAAATTAGTCTCTCTAGCCGTCATTACACACGCAACAAAATAAATCAAACAAAGAAGAAGGTGTAGCTCGAAGCTGAGGATAGAATATGAGCATATTTTTTCACTGCCGCTGAAACAGCAGTAAGTTTCCCAGTAAACAAGCAACAAGTGACAAAACTGTGTCTGTGGAATAACTGTGGGTAGTGTAAGAATCGATGAGTGCGTCAAACAACAGTGTCATTGTCACAGTGTCAGATTTTGAATACCTGTTGCGCATTCTTGTCCGTTCAGCTACCAGGCTCTCATAAACACCGAGGACTGTGTTTGACATTTACTCCGTTTATGATGAACTGTAAGGCTTTGTAATAGGGGTTGAAATATTGGTGCTCCCGAAAGCTATGGATCAATAACGCGAATGAAGGGGTTCCTATGCCCCTGACCAATGAGAAACGACAAGGGCGGGGACAAGTGACTAACAGGTGGTTGACACGTGGTTTGGGCATAAATGCGCATGTGTCAACGCCGGGGGTAGTGGCAAAAGCCTACAAAAGTACCAGGGCCGCATGAAATGTGAGGAGTTATTTTGCTTGGTGATTCAGCACCCTCTATCTGATGGTTTGATAACTTCGTTGTCAGCAAAGCAATTGCACGAAGGTTCGCTATTTATTGTTTCGCTTTAGGTTAAATAAGGTTAATTAAATCGGAAGGTTTTAGTACGTTCATGGGGCGCTTCGGTAGCTGTCAGCCGGCAGTACAGTCAAGATAAATACTTGTTACACTTAGGTACCATGTAGCTTAGATAAGTAAGGGTGGATTCGACCAAACAAGAGTAAATATTAATCTCAGAATAAATCGTCAGTTTTGACATATTTTCCATACTGAAACTGTCAATGTGCCATGGCAGTTATACGAGGAGTTATTCTCGGAAAAAAGATTGGTCGAATCGGGCCTAAGTCACATTTTATAAATAGATAGATTAGGTATTTTATTTGCAGGCAGAAACTAAGTAAGAAAGCTTCTAAATTATTTGTTTCGAAGGTGTTCTGTCTTTGTAGAGGACATAAAATAGTAGGTAACAAGGTTAGTAAAAATTCGCATTTTATGTATGAGAATTGAGATTTGACGACGGTCAAGAAAACTTCGAACTCCTCCTATGTTCTTCTGATTGAATTTCGTTGCGGGTCCAATTTCAGCTTAACTTTCCCCCGGTACAAGTTTATCTTTTACTGATTGGGTTTTTATTGGCGGCCAAGCTGTAGATCCTGGCTACACTGGAGTTGCATTGAGTCCAGAAAAACGAATGAAAATTTAACATGGAGAAAATTCATGATCAATCCGTTAATCGTTATTTTCACCCGGAAAATATTTTTCATTTTGTTATTTTTTCATTGAGAATATTGTATTATTCGATGCTTACTGTACTTTTGACACAAGGCTCCCACTGCCCCTTACCATCGCCTACGTAATCAATTCATCCGAACTTTTGACCAATCAGCAACCACCTATAAAAAAGGTAGTCGCTTGGTCTAACCACCAATGGGCATGTGCATCCGTCATAGGTGGTGGAAAATGCCTACAAAAGTACCAGGACCACATGAGACATGAGGAGTCATTTAGTAATTTTGAGCTTTTGAGCCATGCCATCTAGCTAACGACTTGTTAACTGCGATGTTAACGGAACACCAATTTGCTTTCAATAACAATGCAAGAGCATGCTATTTCAAAAGCATTGCTTTTTAAGCATCCATAAAAACAAAAAATTGACTTAGTCAAGTTGGATTTCAGGTATTTCTATATATATAAAAGAAAGTCGTGTTAGTTACTCCACTTATAACTCAAGAACGGCTGAACCGATTTAGCTGAAAATTGTCAGGGAGGTAGTTTAGAGCCAGGAGAAGGACATAGGATACATTTTATCCCGTTCGAAATTAAAAAAAAAGTCTGCTTATTTATTGCCATTAAGGCGGAACAAAGTTCGCCGGGTCAGCTAGTTTTAATTAAAAATAAAAGCCGTTCTAAAGAAATTAGATAGGAAACAATGCTGTTTTGGAAATATCACTCCGACAAGTGGTGCCATCATTGTTAATTACTTAGGTGAAAACTAATTGTAGGCTCCGATCGATATTTTGAACAACAAAATACAGAAACGAAGTACTACTATTTATAAAAGTTTGAATTATTTCTTCATTGATTTGTTTTTTAAACTCTTAATTTTGAACTTGTCGAGTGTTGATGTAAAATAGACGTTTACGGCATTTGTTTTAATTAAAATATCTGACTAAAATATTATCTACCTACCTACATCATGATAGGCATAAACTCTGAAGTAATTTTATTATAAGTGATAATATTTAATATTTTTCAGGATGTCCTGAAAAGACGAAGTTTCTACGCGACCTGCGGAGTTTTTTCACTACCAAGATGACAGCTTCTACCAACGGAACAGGCCCAGGGTGAGAACATGCTTAATAATTAAGACACTCATCAAATTAGTGATTGTGATTTATGTGGGACAAGCCAAGCAAAAATCTATAAATAGTTAGTGATACAGATGCGAAGGAATGATTTGTGTACCCTGCTGTTTCCAAGGCATAGTGGAACCCATTTTAAGATTTTGTTTAAAAAAGTCTACCCATACTGTGTCAATTGCCAATTTGGTCTAAATTATTGATATCGCTAACTCACCTCGTTAAAAATAAAAACAAGATCCTCTGTAGTTGTACTTGCCGCTTCTATCTCCGATCTATCCGTCATTCCACCAGATGCAACCCAACTTCTCCACTCCATTCTTGGTAAAAACTGACTCCTTAATATCATCCTCAGGGAAATGGTGAAGTGGGGTGCCTCAATCGAAGAGCAGGCTGCAACATGGACCTTCGTGATGCTAGACAAGGACAAAAACAAGGCTCTGGAGAGGCGAGAGTGGAAGGCCTTCCACCAGCTCATATCCAACGTGGACCAGTTGAGGCGCTGCGGCCGCAAGCTGCCACGATACTGCGACGTGAACCACGACACCAAGATCAGCATCACAGAGTGGATGGCTTGTTTGGAGGTCACGCAGGCTGCACAGGGGCACACGAGTAAGTAGTTTTCAATCGTCATGGTTTTGTGCGGTATGATTTATCCAGCGATTTGAAAAGGGTTGACATCACCAATCAATTAACTTTGGACAGCGCAAAACGCAGTTTTAGTATACTTTTGTATGGCAATGCAAACATAGGACGTCACTCATTTGGCAACTAGGAATTAAATTGATTCTAGAAAATTGATAAGTGGTGTCAACTACCCAATTTTATTATTGATGAATGATTTTGATATGATGATGATTGATACTTAATTAACCGATTTCGGTATTACTGAATCGATACCAGTCAATGAGGAAATTTAAAATGTGTCAATAAAGGTAACTCACATTTCGACCTTACTGATAAATGTACACTCGACAGCAAATAAATCGCACCACCCGCGACAAGCACTTTCAAACGTATGCATCCCCACTTCACACCAATATTGGTACCATTCTGAAGCCTAGTTCTAAACTTCATTTCATTATAGGAAAGGTTTTTACCCCAAAAATGTTTCTTTAGAAGGATCCAGAGTCACTTCTTCAAAAAATAGATAGTTACGCTTGAGCCAACTTTTATGGCTATAAAACTGTTAAGTTGGGATTAATCGCTATCCATCTGTTAAAGAGGACACGTGTGATCATTATTTGGTTTTATAACCATAAAAATTGGTCTAATTGATCCCAAAGGTGAGCCCAAAGTGAGGTCTTTTTTCAAGTCACATTCATGGTATATGTTAATCATTTATTAAGAAATTAAATGTGTTTTTCTTTAAGGATATTTATTGGGCTTTCAAATAACACCAATATTGTTGGGGCACCATTATTGTGTCAAAAGAAAATCTTTAAAGTTCGCGTCGCGGGTGGTGCGATTTATTTGCTGTCGAGTGTATATTATTATCTAATTTGTGTTGTGTATTTTTTAAAGCTGAAGCGACGAAGCCGCCAACCAATCCAAGAAGGAAAGGCCCCAACCCGCTAGAATCAATCCTAAAGGCTGATGATTAACCAGTGCATCTAGACAGTATAACACTCGTAATAAATATCGATTCGATTGATGAAATGAATCGAATGTTACATTGTCTACAGGCACAGTTCTCTGCCAAAATGAATTCAACAAAAACTTAATCGTGCCAGTGTTAGTGTTTACGAATGGTAGTGAATGTGTATATTAAAAGATTGTGTGACACTGAATGATTTATCATCAACATACTGATGTTTTATTGAGTATCTATAAGATTCTCGCATTTCTCGGAGAAGTATTGGCTTAGTATTTGCTAATCGACCATCCGGGCTTACTAGTCTTACGCTGTATCTCATTTATAACTTTAGGGCAACTTCTTATTTCTGTGTTTTAATTTTGGCATAAAATTCTTTAAATATTACTATGATAAAAATATTTACCTGAAATGTTTGCTTAATGTTCTATTTTACATTACAATAAAATTAGCTGTAATACTTTACCATTTGTTCGACAACAAATTCATGAGTGGTCCTAAACCGTGATTGTTCTTGAATATAATGTATATTTTAATCACAATACTGTTATGTGATATGAATTGTGTATTCTTGAGGACATATTTATGCTCTCTCTAATCAACAAATATTTGTACAAGTGATTTTTATGAGCTGTACAAGAGTAACTTTCGCTGTGTAAGCCAATCATTGTACGTTAGATCAAATAAATGGTTTTGCGAAAGCTAGTGACACTTTAATTATGTATGTTTTGTATTTATATGTGGTTCCTTAAACATCCAGTAATTTCGCATATTTGAGATCGTTAAGATTTCTAATATCACGTGAAGTATATGCAATTTCGTATTGGCTTAATCCAATCTTGTACCGGGTATTGTGTATTCTATTGTCTAAAGTTGTTCTTTCGTTTGTAAGTTGAAAACGCAAGTATTATCCTGCCGTGTAAATAAGTGAAAATCAATTGATTGAGGTAATATAGCTTAAAACTTTTATTCATATATTTATATAAAAATAGTTAAAAGGTAGTACCTATTGGGACGCTAAAGTAATTATAATTTATCGGTCGAAGTATAAACGAATCATTTGAATGTTAGGCGTATTTTTAACTGTATTTTATGTAGTATAATGTTAAATATATTATGTAGTTTCTACATAGCTGACGCGAATGTATTGTTATGTTTTATACATACAGTCAAGCTGACATCAACCAACGTCATATTTGTTACAAATTGTGTTATGTTGATGTCCAAACGTTTATTAAAATATCGAAAATGAATCGCTGAATCGCAAATAGAATATTCAAAGGGGAATACGAAAATACATCTGTATTATAATGTGTAAATCTTGAAATGTTATATTTTAAAGGAATAAAAATTGTCTATAAAAATAATGATCTCTTTGGTGGTAAATTGAAAATGGTGGATAATTTATGTAGTTTTGTGTTCCCCTTGTGTATATTCTAAGATAACATTATATTGGACTACATCAAGTAACCAAACCAAATATGGCCATGCTAAACATGTAATAATTTGTCAAAATATGCAAGGATTATCTAAATATAACATTTCTTAATACGGCCCTGATTTCATGTGTGACCTAATAAATTTAGAATGAAATAAAAAAATACATTTTGCGTGCCAGCAAGCTGTATTAAAAAGTATTTATAATTTAGGTAGTCAGTGTGAAATTATAAGGACTATGTGATATTTTTTCAATATTATTTTAAATAAATAATTTAACTTTAAAAAGTGTTTGTTTTTACACTGACCGACAATTTTAAATAGAAACGACACTCTTGTAAATGCAATTAAATAAGCTCTTACTACTTAAACTAACTACGAGTTCAACAGCCGTGAATAGCAAGTTTCAGACGTGATGGCACGAATGGAAGATATACACAATATTTTCATCTCTTTAAGAGAGAGAGAGAGAAGAAAATTATGTTCTATCCCGCTTAATCTGTGTTCTCCAATAGTATTACTGTTTACAAAACATGCAAATTTTCGTATCAACAAACTTTAACCAATTCAAAATCAATATTCGTGCCATTCGCCTGATACAAACTACGCAAATGCAACCAACATACCGACCAACGATTAAATATATACTGCAATCGCACAGCAATTTCTAATGCTTCGCCAAACTAAACTTAACAACACATTGTATATTTCACTAGAACTATTTGTTTAACAGGACTGTCCTTTTGTATTCGTCTACGGTTTCGGTGAGAATTTTCTGGAAGATGCACTCGAAAATTTGATTTTTGACTAAAGCTTCGTCCGTGTGGAGAGCCGTCCACTCGGGCTCGCAGCGGCGCCACTCGGCGAACAGAATGTCGTCGATGTGGTCCGACCGGCGGGCGCCAACACCTGGAAATGAAATAAAATCAAATCAAGTAGTTTATTCAGGGCACTTTTACTCGTGTCGGCGCGATTGGTCCAATTATCAATTGGTCCAATCGTAAAAAAATCACAAATTCGCGATTAGTTCAATTCGCGATTGGTCCAATTCGCTATTGGGCCAATTCGTTATTGGTCCAAAATAAATTGGTCTTGGATTGGACCAATCGCGCCTAAACGGTCCCAATATAGCTGGCTCTACCACCACTTCCGGACATATGGGCTGGAGCTGAGAAGTGGCGGAAGAAATTCAGTCACCTTTGTCAACCTCTTTTTCGAGGTTAGTAATTTATAGCTTCCATGACACGTTCACACGTAACAAGTGCGAGCTAGGCAGGTAAAGTCCACGCACTCTTATCATAATAATCGTTTACTTTATTTTTTTCATAAGGATCATCAGCATCAGGTCCACTGCAGGAGAATTTACTAGAGGCAAAAGGGAGGATTTAGCCTGCACTTCCCATGCTGGCCAGACGGGTTAGGGAGGCTAATCACTGTCCACGCATGAGATGCAATAGTAAAAGAATAGAACGTGAAACTAAGATGGGTTTATTCCCGTTGTCACCACCAGGCTTGTCCCCCTAGTGAGACAACGGGAATTTAATACAATAAATTAAAATAAAACTCGGACACCAAGGTATAATTAATATTAAAAAAACTCACCAGACACTATTGTAGGAGCGACGCCCGTTAGAATTTCTAATAGATGCGAGGATGTTTTCTTTATCACTTTTTCTGTGTCCTCCGGTGGTTTTTGCGGTAACAAGTTACACGAATCCCATGGCTTGTCGCTCTTTTCTTGCGTTTGCCTCTCTATGGTTTCCAGACAAAAGTCTCTGACAAAACTGTCGAATGCATCGGTGGGATCATGGTCTCCAGTGTGAGGATCTTTTATGTATCTTTGTATCTTTTCTTCGGTGGTTTCGTCGGCTACATACATCCGAGGTAGTTTGGACACTCGAGCTTCGGCCGGTGGGGTGTAAGGAGGCGGTGGTTTGTCCGGGATCTCTCTTACAACCAGCAGTTGACATTGCTGCTGCTCCAACGCCTTTATCTGGAAGATAAAGATAATTATTAAATAATGAATGGGAATTTAAAATTTGTACAAATTTTTGTTTGCTTGAACGCGCTAATGTCAGGAACTGTTGGTCCGATTTGAAAAAATAGTTTTGTGTTGGATAGCCCATTTATCGAGGAAGGCTTTAGGCTATACAGGGTGTTGATTTCAATCCTCGCCATATTTATTTAGGTGATCTATTATGACTTATATAAACGCATTATCCACCAAAAAAAAATTACAAACTAAAGTAGAATTTTTAGCNCAGCCAATAGGGGCGGAGCAGTAAAGAAAAATGACCCAAAAACGGGAAATTATTCAAATTATTTTCAAGCCTATGTAGTAGCGGGCACAGCTAGTTGAATATACAAATAGATTGAAACTAAATATCAAATTTTAACGGATGATATCTCAAACCTACCATGTAGGTCTTGCTCAGACGATTGTTGTCACAGTAATAACGATTTTCGAAATCAAGTAGCAGATACGCAAAATAGGGATGGGGGCCGGGACCCTGTTTGTAGGGCTATAACTTGATTGAGACTACAATGTACAGGATGTGAACCACTTAAGGGAAGGGTTATAATAAAGTTCGCAACAAATTAGTCTGCATCGACCGGGGTCAGAAGGTTACCGAGATACTAAACAATAAAAATAATAATACCACAAAAGCTATTCTTTTGGACTATGTGAATATCTACTCTTACTGTCTGCAAATAACTATGAATATAAGAAAATAATAATATAATTATTATACCTCTCTTTCTATAGCCAGTTGTTGACGTCGCAACTCCTCTGCTTCGTTGAGCGGTGACGTCATAGACGAAAGGGACGTCCCACTTTGACTGGGGGACGGGCTACTGATGCTGGAGCAATCTGAAATTATTCGATACTTTCGTTACAAGAACATATTATACAGAATCGTGATTTTTAACTATGTATTTACTTTAAGGTGATTAATGTATAAACAAAACTAACGTGTCTGGATAGTAAATGTTTTCAACTGTATTAACACTGCCCAAAACACCAGTCTAGATTATTTATAGTTGCAAGTTATTTAGTGTGTGTTTACCTGAGTTGGTGTTGGATGATTTGGGGATCGCCCACAATGTGGTCTGGGGTTCGGGTCCCGGCTCGGCGGACCCCGCGGGCACCGGTAACGGCCCCTGCCCTACAGGCGACGAAGGCTCCTTCAAAGCCTCAGTCTCCACTGAAGTGTCACAAACACACTCCCGATTCAAGTCGTCCACATTATCTAACACCACAGTGTCCGCACTATCACTAGTCATCGTAGACGCACTCTGGAAACTTCTGCTCTCAAACTGTACGGGGTCTACCGCTTGAACTAACGAATCCTTGACTTCATAAATCACGGATTCACGAACGTGCGATTCAACGGGAGACTTCTCCTCCTCGATGAGACCTTTGTAATACTGATCCATCTCCTCGACGAGACTGCGAGCCGTGGACGGCGTACTCGTTTCTAAATCAGGATTTTTTATTTGATTCATGAACCTATCTAACACGTCTCCTTCGTTCATATTTTGGTTTGAGTTTACCGAATTGACTATATTTCGCAATGCTTCTTCATTGACTTCGTACTGTTTACCGCTACTGAAGATTTGAGGCATTGAAAGGTTATGGAATAGAATATTGAGATATCCCCCGTCGACTACGACGAAGTTTTCAGCTGCCGTGTCTGTTGCTTGGTCGACCTTTAAGCTCTCTATCTCACTTTCACCAGTCTGTATACACTTCTCGGCACTGCGAACAGCGGCGACCGTGGGCGGCACTTCCATCAAAGGTATTGCCGACTTTGGGCGGGAAGTTGAACTCTCTTCACAGCCGCTGCTGGATAGATCGAAACACTTGAGCGGAGCAGTATTACGATCAAATGAGTTGCGTTTCAATTTTTTCTTGCTCAAAAGTATTTGTTCAACATCAACACTATTCTTCAACTTTAGTTCTATATTTTTCTTCGTTTTCAGAAGCACAACTTTCCGCTTCTCTGACTGTGTGAGGAGAGCTTTTCTCATACGTTGCATTTCCCCGCATTCATGCTGTAGCTTCAGAAGCGCGCCGCGTTGTTTCTTCTTCAATGTAGATATATCAGTGTTTTCCTGTTTCTTCTTATTCTCTAACCACAGTATTTGCGACTTAGTGAAGTCTTTAAGAGCATCTTCTCGCATTTTAAGCACGAACAGAAGATTCTTTGCTCGTCTTTGTTCATCACGAATGAGCAAGTTGAGCTGAAAGCAAAATTATTTTAAAACCACTGTTATATTCCCGACACGCAAATATAAAGTACCTAATAATGAACAACTTTTGAAGATCATCCATTAAGAAAGTTACAGCTAATGTGATGGAGGACAATTAATTAATGATGCAAATAAGTGATCGCTTTCTAAGTGTTTACGAATGGAAAGAATAACACTCACCAGACAAAGACTCTTCGAAGCCATTGTTTCCGTATCATCAACAATCGCGCCATTTTCGAGTTTTGACAAGAAACAACCATATTCTGAATTCTTCACATCGAAATCAGTGTTATTTACCCAACTCTTAACTTTATTCTCTGTGAAACACTTATCGGCGAGCGAGCAGCTTTCTAAATACTGCAGGGACTCAAAAAAGGAATCTATAAAGTTGAGCTCCCTTTCAAACTGCTCACAAATGTAGTCACTTTGTAATAGGTCATTATTAACTCTTATTGTGCTGATAATGTCCGACGGTTTCACTAATTTATTGCTATTGAAGACGTAGGAACAATTAAGCGACTTTAGTTCATTCAAGCAATTAGTACACTTCGCGTTGGATTTGTCCTCCTGTTCGAATGAGTCACGAAGCTGCTTTTTCTTTATTTCTTTTTCATAAATGGAAACTACATTTACAGGATAACTTAGTGGACTAGGAGATTGATTAGACGTTTCATTACTACTACCCACCACATGGAAGTTTATCTTTTGCTTTGTGGTGCACGTGACAGTCGCGTGGCCGATTATGTACGAAGTGCTATTGAAGAACTTGGATTCATCATTACTACATTCATTGCTTTGTAGGCTGGAGTCCAACGAAGGGATTTTGAGATTTGGTAATGATTTACTATTAAACTTTACTGACTCTTCTTTGGATTCATTTTTATCCTTTGTTAATGTTACATTTGGTATATCAAGACTATCAAATGCTTCTCTTAATAGATCAGTCTGTACGTTTGCGTTTTCTAAGCTCTTTGAGAGTGTTTCACACGCATCGGACTGTGTTACTTTATCAAAAGTAATCGGTCTAGGGTCCGTCCCTATATTAACATCCTTTGAGTATATTTCGTTTTCTACAAAAGTACCAAAATCTTTTTTGTTGTTTAAATCAATCACAGGCAGTACTAATGTTTGATGTGATTCACTGTCTTTGATATTATCTCTTTGATAATTTTCATCTAGTGGTACATGTATTATAGTCACAGGTTTATTTTTGCTTTTTATTTCTCTAAGAAAAGTTGTTGCACTGTTTTTATTGGACTGTGTTGATGTCTTGCTATATCTTGGACGTTCTATTGATTTCTTATTTTGAGTATTTCCTTTCAAAGAATCGTATAGTTTAGTTTTGATCACTGATAACTCTTTTTCACTTTCACTTGGGGTTATTGAGTTTTTCAGACTAACTTTAGATGCGGCGATGGTGCTTTTAGTCCGGATGGTATCTAAAATTAAAAAAAACGTATTGTATTAACACATCTGTTTGTATACCTATTACAAATAAATAAATAAACACATTAAACGAAGGTAAAGGATCTTAAACGTTAACACTGAACTACGAAACTAATACATTTTGGTAAACGAAACCGCGCACTGTCACTTATGGCCTTTATTCGTTTCAAAAAGGGGTTCCGTACAATCGAGCGGGAGCGCTAAAAGTGGTTAACCCTCCCTTCTTGCCGTTACGTCGCGTACTGTAGGACACCGGATCACGGCGGGTGCAAATTACGTCACGTACTGTAGGACACCGGGTCACGGGTGTAAATAAAGGATCAAATGAAGGATCCAGCAACAAGTGTTAATACGCGTCGGGATACAACGAACAAATTAAAGTACTCGCGCATTTGTCGTCATCCCACGCGTCGAATATTGATTTCTATTCTCACTGTCGCGATGTTCAACCCCTTCGCGCTGTTTTGATATAAGAGATAGAATCTGGACGCTGAGAGGTCAAAGATTATATCCCAAAACACTATGATTTTTTAAGATTTATTGCATTGATTGAGATCGACGTGATACGGATAATCTGTACAAATAAACTGGTAGAGATTGTATGTATTTATGATTATTTTCGTAACATAACAAGATTTTTTCATGAATTTCTCAGTTATAAAATTTGGTTTTTAATAATTAATAAGTATCATAAAAATATTGCTGAACATAAGTCTATATTTTAAAAATTAACGTTACGATTTTACTTTAAGACGACCTAAGTTAGTTACACTTTATGAAAGATTCACACAACACGTCCTTCCGTGATACAATACAACATTTTTATAACATATCAAGTCAACCGAACCCCTGAAAAAATGCTTGCTTGTACGGAACCTTAAAAATGTTTCAGCGATTCACTGGGAAAGCTTCCCGTCCGTTTAGAGAACTGTTTTGAACAGTGTTCCCTACTCGAGCCATGGCGAGACAGTAATGGCGGCACTTTCCGTTTTATTATTAACTAGCGGCCGCCCGCGACTTCGTACGCGTGGATCCCGTTTTACCCCCTTCATCTATCTTACGCGGTTTAGATTTTTTCATACAAATGTTTTTTCCCGCTAACTCCCGTTCCCGTGGGAATTTTGCAATATCCTGTTGTAACTAAGCTTTACGTTCACTAAGGTACCTGCATGCCAAATTTCAAGCGTCTAACTTAAGCGGTTTAGATTTTTCATACAAAAGGATTTTCCCGCTAATTCCCGTTCCCGTGGGAATTCCTAAGTATCCTATAACCTTCCCAGGAGTATGAAGAATAATTGTACCAAGTTTCGTTAAAATCCGTCAAGTAGTTTTTGTTTCTATAAGGAACATACAGACAGACAGACAGACAGACAGACAGACGGACAGACAGACAGACAGACAAAAATTTTACTGATTGCATTTTTGGCATCAGTATCGATCACTAATCACCTCCTGATAGTTATTTTGAAAATATACTTCATGTACAGAATTGACCTCTCTACAGATTTATTATAAGTATAGATTATGGACGAGTAATTGGCCCGTTACGTTTGTTACAGTAGCCTGATTGACAATCTGAAGTACTCTACTGAATAAGTTATCAATGTGTTCAGTCCATACACACACGCACTTCGTAGAGAGCAGAAATAATTTCTTTATTTCTCACATCACAAATCGATACTATTTTTTTATTTTTATCTTATTAATAAAATGCTGAAGAGTATTTTTGTTTGTTTGTTTTCTTGAACACGCTAATCTCAGGAAGTACTTTTCCGATTTGAAATAGGTAATATTATGGTGTCGGACAGCCCATTTATCGAGGAAAGCTTTAATGTTATAAAACATCACCCTACAGCCATTAGAAAAATGTTGCAAAACCCGGAAGTATTATGGAAACTAATTTCACGCGTCCGAAGTCACGGGCACAACTTGTCACATTACGGGAACTAAATTATCTAAACAAATACAATAATTTCTGGAGTGTGGGTAGAGAAAATTTATTAACAAGTAGGTAGGTAGTAAAAAATAATCACTGCACAAATTGTTATTTTCGAAGTTCGGTCGTAACATTATGACTTTTGATTATTAAATCATATCGTTGTTGTTATTACTCTATTACCAATATTATGTAAATAAATTCAATTAATTAATTTAAAATTTAATACAAATTATTGTTTTTGTGATAAATGTGTATATAGCCTGACCAGGAACATAAAAACCCTCGCCATGTTGCGGAAAACTAATGGTACTAATTTCTTTTAATGGCAACAGTAACTGAAAACTTCATTGACATGTCACCTTGCATGTCAGTCTATTGCTGTCAAAGTGTGAACAAACTTTATTTTAAATGTGCGCAATTGGTTTTATGAATTAAATTGCTAAAATATTTTTATAGTCGTGAAAGAAAAGTGGTTCACAATGTGTTAAAGTATTTGTCGAAGAGAAATACTAAGGGTTCGGACAATATTTTCATTGAATAATGTTTCCGACAAAGGTTGTCAAATTGACTGACATGTTTATCGTATAGTACAGTCCACTATGAAAATTAGCTGTGGTTTGTTTCAACTACCTATTTTAAAGTTTTTTGTCACTTTCTAAGTGTTGAATTTTATGGAATTGGGAAAGAAGTACCGAGTTTGAAGCGTTCATGAGCAGACATTGCAGTTGAATATTCAAGTTCTGAATTTGATTATTGACGAATAATAAAATAAAACCTACTAACTCGATTGATGGTTTCATTTAATTTATTTAAACCAGGTTACCTATAATAATATTTTTTCGTAAATTTATGAAAATATCAAATTAGCCCGTAATCCAGAATCCTGATACATAAAGTTAGCCTATTAATAGGCTAGTTGCCTAAAAAAATTTTTTTAGTCCGTAATGTTTAATATCAAAAAATATTGGACACATATATTTTTATTTGTCAATCTAACAAATAATTACATAGTTATGGTGCGTTGAAGTTGCGCACGACGTCACAACGTGCGGCATTTTTAAGCAAGCGTTGACGTCACGGGCCTCTTCTTATGAACTTTGGGGCGCTTTATCTCTTTAAATTTTCATTAGTTTGAAAAAGTGAAAAATACGTGTAGAGTATTTTTTGATAAGTTAACTGACGGACTAATTAAAACTCTTGCTTTTTGACCCAGGCAACATCCCCATTTAACACAGGTACGACTGTACTCAGTGTTGCACTATCAAATGCAATTGACGCGCCTCTATGCCAGGGTTTTTATGTTCCTGGTCAGGCTATACATGTGTTGATAAATAGTCAGTTTCTACAACTTCAAAACTATTTCGCTGCCTGGCCTGATTGTTAACCACGACAAATAGGTCATCACTGTTTTCAATCAGTACCTCTAGTACGAAAAACTTTCGAGTTCGTTTCGTTGCGTATTCAAAGTGTCATCGAAAAATTTTGTATGAAAAATTAAACAGCGCCCCCTAGGGCGGCTATAATATAGGGGGCGCTGTTTAATTTTTCATACAAAATTTTTCGATGACACTTTGAATACGCAACGAAACGAACTCGAAAGTTTTTCGTACTAGAGGTACTGGAATCGGCTTTCTAACCTTTAAAACTTATACTACTAAAGCCTGGTCCGTGAGCACGTAGAATCCCGTCCAATGACCCCAAGCTACCCATCCCTATCGCTCGCGCGTAATGAGGATCATTTCGATTTTTAGCTGTGAATGCAGATTTATAGGGCTAAGAAATCCTTAATACACAGTGCAAAAATTTTTGNACTAGTTTTATTGAATTTTCTACAACAGTACTGATCCTCATTATGTTGCTGTCGCGACTGTGCGACGGGCGCGGGCGCCCGCAGTGAGTGTGTGAGCGCGACAGCAACATAATTACGCGCGAGCGATAGGGATGGGTAGCTTGGGGTCATTGGACGGGATTCTACGTGCTCACGGACCAGGCTTTAGAGAATGGAGAAGTTTCCTAATGTTGAAAATATTATATTATTATTACTCTGAATGGGATTAAAATATAGACCAAAACTAAAAAGACGGTGAAGTTTTTTTTTCAAATCCATCAAGAAATGGCTGAGAAATTAATTATTTAAATTACCTACATATTTTTGCGTGGAACTCAAACATAGGCGGTGTCGTGACGTCACGCCACCCGTTCTAGTTTCAAATATAGATGACCCACGCTGAACTGTCCCACCAAACTCAATGACAGGGGGGCGCTACCATCGTTCAACTATATTGTTTCCAACATGGCAAAAATCGGAACCAGCGATCCGGTATTGACGGTGGCGCCCCACTGTCAATGTCATGCATAGGACAGTTCAGTATTTTGGAACTATACAATGCTTACCACCCCTGGCGCGTTGTCAAGAATGACACTATTATGTCAAAGTCTTTTTAATCTTTTTGTATATGGCCAGAGTCCCGATTACGGTATCTTTTAACGTTTCCGATCCAGACACGCTTCTCGATTCTGCGATACGATTGGTCGTTCAACAGCGTACGTCAGCTGTTTTGACCAATCGTATCGCAGAATCGATGAAGCGTGTCTGGATTGTAGACGTTAAAAGTTGCCGTAATCGGGGCTCTGGTCTGGGATATTTTTAAAAAAGGTTACAAATTTTACTAAGAAAGAATATTGAGTGATTCTGGCAAAAAAATTAAAATCTACTAAATTTTAAAAAATTGGATCTGTCAACAGCATTGGACCAGTGGGTCTAGACAAAGTGCAAATTATAATCGCAAACCAGTCGCAAAGTGGTCGAAAAGCCCCTTTTTTGTATGGAGTTTTGACGGATTCGATTTTCGATTCGATCAAAAAGTGCGTTTTGTCTAGTGTCTAGGGGGGCAGGGGTGATTTACTGTGTGTACTCCGAATGATTGCCGTGACTTCACCGATCAAACAGCGCGAAATACATATTTGATATGCGCAACTTTAAGGCCCTGTAACTTCTTTATTTTTAGAGATTTTTCCATGATTCTTTCATAAACCTAATTTTTTTTAAAGGTCTCTGCTCTCAATAAAATATTTATATGTAATATGTGGACATTGTTGTTGGTCATACAATAGTTTAGATATATAAGTGCAATCCTAGACTAAGACCCATTGTAAGACTGTTTTTTGTCCCAAATAAATGAAAAAAAAATAGTTTTACTTATATTTTCAAGTTTTATTAAAAGAAAAAAATTGAAACTTCTCCATTGAACTATTTTGCTGTGCCTGTAACATTTTTCTGTGAAATAAGATATTTAATAGCTCTATTGTTATATTATGTTTAGTACTGTAGTTTAAGTTACTGAATAAAACTAAGTAACCTATGCTAGTTTCTCTTTGCCAAACAAAACCTAAAGTTTCAATAATATTGATTTCAATTATCCTATTAATTAACCATAAAAAGCATATTTTTGTAATTAAATAAAATGACTCCTTACCTCGTTCCTTCATGCTCCGGACCTTCGTGTTATCTGGTGAAGACTGGCTCAAGTTTGAATATTTACTTTTGAAGTTAGGTTTAGGTGCACTAACATCTTTTCTATTAATCAAATTAGGGGATTTGGCACTTGGTTTAGTTTCTCTTGAATCTAAAAATAAAGTAAAATCTAATGATATTAATATAAAAATTGAAAACAATGTTAATGTGAAATGTTATTTCGCAACTGCCATAATGATACTACAAAAATATACCATGACCACCAGTAAGGCAATTCATTTTTCAAAGTCAATGCTTTTATGCATTATTTACGCCCTTCCCAGGGCGCTTATACACGTCCTAAATATAGTTTGCCCTACCACCACTTCGGGACAACATAATATGGGTTCAATTAAAATTCATTCTAGTGTTAAGTCTTGTAAATGTTCATTACAATTTAGAGGATTTACGCCCTATCATGTTTCCCTAACGCTACATCATAAACAAGTTTTTTAGTATAATTTATAGCTTCTTGCTCACATTATTATACACAATTCGCTTAGTTAGCAATATACAGCTCAGCACAAACAGAAAAAGATATTTCGCCAAAGTACAGTGCAAACAAAAGCAAGCAAAACAAAAAAAAAAAACAATAGTATGTACATGAGGAAAAATAAATAAGCTGATTACACGGTAAACTATTATTTTAAGACTAAGATGCTATTACTACCAAATACTTGTTTGGCAATGTTTTGTGCATAGATTTTAAGATTTATTCTGAGAGATGGATAAACCCTGCATCTTGTAGTTTTCTATGCATACCCTGTAGCTGTAAAATAACTACACACAGCAATTTTTACAGCAGACATAATGTATATCAGGTTCTCTATGTAACATTCAATAAAAGTAAATACATAAAAATGTTTAGCACATTAGGTGTTGGCTAAAATATACTAAAAAATATGGACCGGAATCCAATGTAGAAGGAATATTAATGAAAAAAAAAAAGGCAATTTTACTAGCAGTATGCAGCCCTGATTAGCCTACTTACATCAACACGCATTTGCATTTTAATATACATAATTCTAAATCAACTCTCTAACTAGAGTATCTAATTGATAGTAATAAACAACAATTTTTCATTACCGAGCATATTTAGCTATAATTTTGTTTGTCTCTCAATGAAAGCCTCGCTGGTCGCTGACATGACTTAACATAAACAAAAGAATAATGAGGGAATAAAGAAATGTTACTGGGTTGGATACTAACATTTGGAAGAATTTGTTAGTCTGGAAGTGGTTCTCTGAGAAAATTGTTTTTCATTCTTCAATTCTGCTTCAACAGCTTTGTTTGAAGTTTTACTACATCTTTTTACATCTTTAGCTGAAAGGAAATAGGCATAGTATATGAAAATATGTTTAATGTTATAAGTGAATCTTGAGCAGAGAAAAACCTATATTTAAATAAAACTTACAAAATTTAGGATGAAGATCACTTTCATCATCTTCAGCAATGGTTACTATTTTTCTTCTGGTAACAGAAGACATGGTCTTTAAGGGTGCTATCAAGTCAGGCTTCAGGGAACGACTAGTAATGACTTCGGGATCGTCAAGAGTGATGATGCGTCGTAGACGAGGCTGCAATGTGTAACTTTTCTCGGGCCATGATACTGGAATTAATTAATTAAACATATAAATTAATATGCAAAACGTCTAAATCTATAACTAAAATAAAAGGTACTGTAAGCAGACACTAGATTGATATAAGGGTTCTTTTGTTATGGTGTAAACATAATGAAAATGGCAGAATTTTACACATACTCTTAGATAGCCTAATCATTACTTTAATGCTATTGGTATTAAGTCAACCATTGAGCTTGAAACCTAAATAAAATAGGTCAAATTACACAGAAGTTACTTGAAATAAATTATTGTAGCAAAACAACAATGCCAACTTTACCTCTTGAATCAAAGTCAAAATCTGGAAGTTTTGTATATTTAATGACTGTATTCTTATGCTTAAAAGGGCTAGAGTAGGATGAATTTTCAATTTTGACAAAAAATCCATAAACTTCGTTTATATCAGCATCCACTCTTGGTGATGCCGAAGCATCCATTATTTACACCATGCACTAAAAAATTTCATGTAAACCGGAAGCCTTGCATATTATTCAGTATTTTTTACTTGAATGAAATACTAAGCTTGAACACAATATGGTGTTATTTTTGGAAACTATTTTTACATTTTTGTTGGTAGATTTAATATTTTTTGTTGTCAGTTTTTTTTCATAATGCCATAGATTCACTGTTTAGTTTTTTGTTTCGCTAGGATGCAAATGGATTGTTTATGCCTACTAGTGATGTATAAATTGTATAATCGAAATAGTTTTGGATTCACTGTCCTGTATTTTAATTTCTTTTTTCAATAATACTATTATTAATTATTATTATCCGTAAAATTTTATTTAGTTTTACATATTATTAAATCATTTTAAAAATTATACGCAGTATATTTACATGGTCATGGTTAGTTCCGGTCGGGCCATGATTATGTCGTCTCCCTAAGTAGTCTTGCTCGAAGTGGTCATAGAGAATTTAGTGGTTTTTATTTAGACTCTTTGGTCTACTTAAACTCTATACCATAAACTAAGGAGACCATAGACTCTAGAAATTAGTTGTGCGATTTCAATGGAAGACTTTGTTGAATAAAATCAATCTTTTGTTTCAATCAAACGCGAGTTACAGTTTAAACAGTGAATATTTAATCATAAAAGACTTTCTCGTCCTTGTTTGAACACGTTTTCTAGTTTGAGCTTGTTTTAAGATCCAGCTCGCTCGTTGTGTGTGAATAATCTGACCCGATCTTCCGCAGTCGCAGTAGTTAACTTTGTTGACGAAATGAAATGTCTTTTTATTCAGTCGCGATTGTGAAGAATTGTTCTTAATTTTATTCCTCAGTGAAAAGTGACAATGCAAACATATCGATTCAAAAGATAGAGGTGCAGGACAATGTATATTTTTATTATTGAGCAACTCGTGTGAATTTGTGTGTGGTGGTATTTCTCCAAACGGATTGCATTAAATCTAAAAAGTAAGTATTTCTTTATCTCATCTCGCTTCAGGTTAATCATATAGATCTTGGGAAGCCATTTTAGTTGTGTAAGTACGTATTTATATTGATGGAAACAGACAGATGGATGGGGTAGTTCGCAACGCGCAGTGTGGGTGAAATTGCGCATGATAAGTTGGGATGCACTAGTGTTTACAGATTGATCACAGGGGGTGCAAGTCCCGTCAGTGCATAGCCGGCGTTCGAGGTGAACACACCTGTCTCACTTGCAACTTTTCTGTGTAGATTGTGTTAATATTGGTCCAGAGATTTAGTGGCTTACTATTTGATAAGTGAACTACAAATGAATTAAACATTGGTAAAATACAGTTGAAAACTTTTTATGTTAGTTAACAAGAGTTATTCAAGACTTGTTTAAAAGTTTTTTTTTTTTACATATCCTATTCAATTTTTTTTTATTTAATTATTATTTACAATATTATGTTCGTTTTGTGAATTAGTGATTATTTGTTTTGATCCTGTTTATTTTTTGGCCTTATAAAATAACAGGTTTTGTTTCTTCCCACATCAGTTTTAGTTGTAAAACTGTGTTTTACTAAAATCACGTTTCACTCAGAATGGTACCTGTCCCTTAGAGAGATAATTAGCAAAATGAGTTATGTGCTTCGACTGAGACCGCGGAAGAATAGGCCGATTGTTGTTCTGGATAATCCTCAGAATAATACTCTGAATAACAATTACTCAGATAAAAATCTGAATAACAACAAGCCAAAAAATAATCCAAAAAAGAAAAAGACAAATAATAATCTGAAAAAGAACAAAAAAAATAATAATCTGAAAAAGACCAAGAAAAATAATAAAAAAGAGCCAAGGTATGCAAAAGACAAGTGTTAGATAAAATATGATCCAAATTAAATTCATGTACAGGGCTATTTGAGATGAAAATATTCTGGTTTCTTTATTTGTCAATTATTTAAATTTAATTTTGTTTTAGAACCAAGATGGCGGTAAAGAAGCACGAGCTGGTGCATGACAACCGCAATCAGCTGGACCTGACTGCGCTGGTGCAGTACATCCAAATGCAACCAAATTACTTGCCGCCACCCAGTGACCTCATCAAGAATTGCCAAGACATCGTGAAATGCCTTGGTAAGTAGTTTTATATTATATCATTAATGCAATATAGGGGGGCGTCTGGATGTGAATGGTGCTGGACCGGTCTTTGTGGAAATCCTTGGGGGAGGCCTTTGTCCAGCAGTGGACGTCTTTTGGCTGAAACGAACGAACAATGCAATATCTATATAAATAAAAATGATTTGATTTTCGTTAGTCTGATTAAAACTTGAGAACGGATGGGCCGATTGAGCTGATTTTGGGTTTAAAATGTTTGTCGTAGTCCAGGGTAGGTCTAAACGGTGAGCAAATACGCCGTTTATGCTCAAAATGCCAACCGATCGCAAAATGACAACTTCGCAGAATGCCAACTTCTCGAAATGCCAACTTCGCGAAATGCCAACTTCTCAAAATGCCAACTTCTCAGAATGCAACTTCTCGAAATGACAACTTCTCATAATGACAACTTATAATTATAATGAATGGAGGAGCAGTGAATGCTACAACAAATAATAAAAATAATTAAAAAGTCCATAATATTTACAATATCTTTATTTGTTACTATACAGGGTGTTAGGTAAATGGGTATATGAGCCGACACTAGCCCATGTTAACATGGGCATATTTATAAATAATATGGTTATAAAATTTATTTTGTACGAAAATTTAAAAAAATAAAATTATGATATCAAATATGACTTCACCATACCATTTATATGCCCATGTTAACATGAGCTAGTGTCGGCTCATATACCCATTTACCTAACACCCTGAATAATCAATCAATCAATACACTAGGGTCGTATCGCATCAATCTCTTATCTCAAATGTCGATTGAATGACATAGTTATGTATACCTCTATATTATTGTTACAATCATTGTCCAAATCAGAGAAACAAAAACCAGGTACTGTCACAGTACACTTTGAATCATAAATTAGTGTATGGCGAAAATAATGTTACGTTATGAGGGTAGTTGTAAAAATGCACAAGTTATACTTGTCAAAACTATTTCGCCCTTGTAATGTGTTAATTTATCTAGTAAAATAATTGTTTTGCTGTTCCAGACCGTACCTGGTTTTTGTTTATCTGATTTTGACAATTATATAGGTGTATGTCATTCAATCGACATTTGAGATGAGAGAGATTGATGCGATACGACCCTAGTGTATTGATTGATTGTATAGTAACAAATAAATATATTGAGATATTGTAAATATAAGGACTATTTAATTATTTTTATTATTTGTGGTAGCATTCACTGCTCCCGCATTCATTATAATTGTAAGTTGTCATTATGAGAAGTTGTCATTTCGAGAAGTTGGCATTTTGAGAAGTTGGCATTTCGCGAAGTTGGCATTTCGAGAAGTTGGCATTCTGCGAAGTTGTCATTTTGCGAGCGGTTGGCATTTTGAGAAGTTGGCATTCTGAGCATAAACGAAATATACCACTCAGGATATTGACGGTTTCGTAAAAATATGTGAGGGCTCAGCAGCCGGTTACAATCAAGGTTATTTTTCACTTTAAATGCAAAATGCTATAAATAAATATTTTTTTATAAATATCCTTGGACATTTTACACTGCGCCTCTAGTCCCAAACTAAGCAAAGCTTGTACTATGGGTACTAGACTACGGGATAAACATACTTATATACTTTTTTTTTGTAAATACATACATATTATACATAGAAAACACCCAGACCCGTCACAGAAATTAAAATTCATCATTTCAATTTCTGCCCGGCCGGGAATCGAACCCGGGACCTCTCGGCATAGTAGTCCGTTCTGAACCACTACACCAAACGGCCGACCTTATTATGATATCTTTGCTTTATTGAATGTCATGTAATATTCAGAATCAATTGCATTTTTTTAAACTTATAAAATTACTCGTTAACAAAGTAATTTATTAATCTAAACACTGAATCAATTCATTAAAAATAATTTACAAGGGTAAGGGGGTACCTTTGAAGTCGCAGTACAGCTTGGTATTTAAACTTAATAAAAGCTTGTAATGACTACGAGTGATATAGGCCCATATTAAAAAAAACCTTTCACAGAATTCGAGAAATTCGATCAAATATCCAGCAAATGAATTCAGTTATTTCAATAAATGATTTGAAAGATCGGTCCAAATATCAAATATTCAAACTATAATAGGCTTGAATCTATGCTTGAGTATAAGTTTTCGCCTCTCGCGTGTATAAACTTCTCTCTTTCAACATCAGGTTTTAACAAAATGGCTTTGCTATTCGCGGCCTTCACCTTGGCCAGATTTGGCTAACAGACTCCCTCCCTTCCCTCCGAGTATTTTTCAGTCCTTGTTACGCAAATCACCCCTTTAACCCTCGCACAACAGACAACACACGCTAGGTACAACATGATAAAAATTTTCATGGCTTTCGATCTTATAATAAGTGAACCAGGTCCAATTTAGGGTGGCAAAGGCAATATATTCGCCAAAGCCCTTTGAGTTAATACGCATAACATTGGAGTAGGTCGCTAGTAGATTGGAGATATGTCTGTTGAAAATGCCGATATTAAGCATTTTCAGAGGAATTCAGAACTGAGTTTTGTCTTTCGTCCATTAAGTTATTGGTGAGGTTAAAAATATTTTGATTTACTTTTGAACGAAGCGTTTTGAAGCCCTCAACCCAGCTCTTTGGACAGATTCCCTTTCGTTGTATCAATAGTGTATTTTGTCTTTGAAGTAAACGATTAATTCATGAAAGCACGTCCGAGGATTGTTTTGTCTAAGACTAAGACCACAGAATAATAATAAGTACTACGTACAGAAGTTTTACTTCGCGAAGGTATTTAAAAAAAAATATGCTCAATGTTATTAACATTAAGGTGTAATTTAGCCTGTCTCAAGAGTCAAGCACCGTTTTGTTGACAAACGTCAGTGATCGGCACTGCGCCGAAGCTATAGGGCTGACTTCGGTAAAATGATGTGACGTGAGGTGCCAAACTGCGAAAAATGGCGGAGGAAATACATGATTTAGCATGAATTATCATGAATAATATTAACTACTTATTTATCTCTCAGTGTCTTGAGGCAACTTAAAAAAGTACATTCTGTGTTTTTATTATTATTTACGCAGTTAAACACTGCACAGTATTTAGTACACCATTTTCTTTATTTTCTTCCATCATACACAAAAATACGCGTGCGTGAGTCAATGTTCGCTCGTATGTGGGGCCTTGTCGAATAGTATCCTGTAGGTGGGCCATCGTGCGTGTTTTGTTTTCGATGTAAACTCGCGGAGATGAACTGGCTTGCTAAGACTAAGTAGAATGCCTACTTAAACTTATTAAACCTAAGCCATACTACATCTTCTATTATATAAAAGAAAGTCGTGTTAGTTACTCCACTTATAACTCAAGAACGGCTGAACTGATTTAGCTGAAAATTGTCAGGGAGGTAGTTTAGAGCCAAGAGAAGGACATAGGATACTTTTTATCCCGTTCGTAATTAAAAAAAAGTCTGCTTATTTATTGCCATTAAGGCGGAACAAAGTTCGCCGGGTCTGCTAGTATATATATAAAAGAAAGTCGTGTTAGTTACTCCACTTATAACTCAAGAACGGCTGAACCGATTTAGCTGAAAATTGTCAGGGAGGTAGTTTAGAGCCAGGAGAAGGACATAGGATACTTTTTATCCCGTTTGAAATAAAAAAAAAATCTGCTTATTTATTGCCATTAAGGCGGAACAAAGTTCGCCGGGTCAGCTAGTATTTTATAAAATAAAGTGAGCTAAATGAAATTTATGCATAAAACTAATGAGTTTGCCGTGTTCTCTTATTAATATTCTCCGTGTAATGACACGGAGAATATATTATAAGCACAACATCGGCAAATAAAAACGTAGACGGCAAACAAACTTCCAGAAAGCTAACTGTCGCGACGAGACATGTTTTCCGTGTTTGCTCTGTGAAAAAAAGGATTTTTAGTTTTCAAAGTTGAGACTGAACTCGAACATTAATTAAAATTAATTTGTACATGTATCTTGTGTAGTTACTAAAGTTTATCTCAATTAGACAAATTGAAATAGCAGCGAAATTATCTGCCTTCGATCATGGCTGTATTTGTACACATATTGACACATCCATGCAAATAACATCGGAAACTAGTTGACTGGTCATCTATATCCTTATTGGTTGTATGTATGCTGTCGCGAAATGAGTTGGGGAACATCACCCTAAATTTCAAAGGGGTGCACTGGTCAATACGAATCCATACACGCGTCGAGTACGTTCTTAATTAGTCGTGCGTACTTAATACAGTTCTTTAAGCAACTTAACGGTTGATTTTGCATTGATAGTACGTGTGATACATATGTGTACTATATTAATATAGGTACTATTCATGATGAAAAGGGCGACCGGTGCGCTGTCAAAAAGGTATTTTGGCAGATTTTGCATTATTTATTTGTTTCAGCCCGCGTCCGCGGCAGTGAGGAGCAGTTGTGGGAGCACCTGCAGTGTGTGGAGGAATACCTCCTTCGCGTCGTGAACTCCGTTCACAGCACCATCCGCCATGACATCATCACTGCTGTCCTCGCCAAGTTTTACTCGTTCATCTCTGATCCGCGTAAGTACCTTTTCAGCTGAAGAGTACCTCATGAAAAAATATTTGCCCTGTTCTAGGTATATTTTTTTGGTTGATACCTACCTACTTATAATTATTTATTTCAAAACTTTATTGCACTCAAAACAAGACGAAGTTAATACCATACGTCATCCTCATCCAGTCACTTTATTATATACCAAAATAATCTTTGTACATTTTAAAATATTAAACAGTACAAGTAAAACTGTCAGTAATATTAAATATTGTTAGTAAGAAAGGTTGGAAAAATAACGAGTCGCGGACGCAAAGTCGACGAGAGGAAAACGCAAAAGGGGCAGATTTTTTAGCAAGGGACAATTTTGAGACGCTCCTATTTCAGTTATTTTTAGATGATTTTTATCCGCAGAATAATAACTACATCATGTTCGTCGTCTAATACTAGAAATAGTATCGGCGTGTTCATTGTTTCAGTACCAAGACCAAACTCGGATAAAATCGTAACTAGCACAGAATCCACATGTCTATGTCTTGTGGTTGCTGCCTAATATCAGAATAGGTATTCCTGCCGTCGCTCCCGCCACACTGAGCTAAAATCAATAATTCGGTGCAGATTGGACCCCATATTTCGTGTTTGTATTTTCTAATTGGCTGTTTGATAATAAAAATAATATGTATAAACTAGTGACAGCCTTTTTAGCATTTGGGTTAGTTATTTGTATTTCGACGATCTTTTTTCCTGTGACGTCGTTGTTACTATGATGTTCAAGTCAATGAAATACGTTGTACAAAGTGACGTTTGGGCTATGTACAATTTTACACGCATTTTGTTTTATATTTCGACAGCCTTTTTAGCATTTGGTTTAGGTTTTTGTATTTCGACGCTCAACTCGCGAACTTTTTTCATGTGACGTTGTTATTGCTATGACGTACATGCTAGTTAAACACGTTGCTTAAAATGACGTTTGGGCTATGGATACGCATTTAAAAAATATTTCAACAAGAATTTCATTAGTGAATTGTATAAACACACCAAATCTACTCAAGTAAAAAATATAGTTTACAGCAAACAATAAAATATCATTATAGTTAACTAGGTAGACAGACACTGGAATTGGCTCGTGTGCCGGACTAGTAGTGTAGGTTTTTTACCCCTGCCAGAATGATCTTGAAGGAATATGTTAAATCGAAGTAACCTTGTATTAAAATGAGGTGCAGGTAGACCAATTGCAAATATCTTCTTGCGTCATAAGCACCTATCCCAAACTCTTCAAGATGCTTGGAATCATGTTTGTCGTTTGTAGATGCAAATTTATCGTACCCGATTGCACTGAATTTAAATTGAGGCACTCATTTTTATATTCCATCGGTTGTGACAGTTTTTTTATCGATTCAACGAGGAAAAATAAATATTGTATACACTTTGCGTCAACGATTTGCAAGACGTTAAAAGCTTTGTCAAATATGAAAAACAAGAGAGATGGCAGCACTTTATTACCTATTCAAGCCTTGGAAACTTAACTGGCAAATAAATTTTCTTTTAAAAGTAGGTGAAAAATCATTTTTAACACGTAGGCTGCCATGACAGTCACCGGTGACTGACAAACATGCAACCTATTCGGGCCATGTCAGTCACTGGAGCCTGACACTGAAGCATCTAAATCAAACGACCGCAGTAGGCCACCTGGCACGTTTAATGCGTTACTTCCTATTTTAAATGACTGACGTGGCCCCCAACAAAGTATGTTCAGCATGGCCTGCAACTCTTGTACCTAAATAAAAATTAACACAGGTTTAAATGAAGATTTTAGTAAAAACCCGACAAATATTTGAAATTCTTAATAAAATCACAAGTTTACGATATATTTCGGAATAAATAATTAAGCATAATTATTAAAATTATTATTTGTGTAAAAAATTGAAACATTACAGACAAAAATTAGGCTGATTAGGGCTTTGAAGAGAGTAAGTTATAACTTGCTGTCTTTCTCGACTTTACACGACCGAAATTTGACAGTTGACCGACAGCAACCGGACAGAGCGATAGTATTCACGAGGGCTAAAGCGAGGAAAGCGATGCGACACGGTAGTTCCCGCCAAAACGCAGAAACGTGATTTTGTTGTGCCTGACAAAATGCTTGACATGGCGCTGTGACTGAAATTTATACCATTCGGGCCGCGTCAGGCACGGGTGGCTGACAGTTTTTTTTATGGGTATAATATGTCAATATAAATAGTAAAAAAATATTTTTTAACAATAACTATTCATTTCAAGCCATTACACATCGATTAGCAAAAAATTCAATTTTGGCGAATTAGTAAATTTACTTTGGCAGTCAACGTGTTAAGCAAACTACGCAATTGTTGCAATGCGGTCTAAAGTAAGTAAAACAAGCTGCCATTTTGTAGGCTTCTCAGTAAACTTCTTTGAAAAGTGAAGCACAATGAATGAGTTCGCCAAACATTTTCTTTTTGACATTTACGCAAAAGGTCTATTTACTTACCTATTGAGTGTGATCCTAAAAATATATTAGAAAAGTCCTTGTTTATTATTAAATAAAATAGCCTGAAATGCTATTTCATAACTAAGAAAATACTTTTGAAAACGTCTCTAAATAAAGTACGTTTCTCGTCACTCCAACATAATTTTAAAATATGTAGGTACGTAGAATCAGAATAAAAGCAGCGAAAAAGTAAAAAGTTGCCATAAATGTCTATTTTACTGATATAAGAGACGATACAATTTTATTTTGAAGCAAAAGGCTAGACTCGGGAAGGGTATTCCAATAGTCAATAGATCCAGTGAAATTGTAGACACAATGCTCTTCAAGATTCGTCAAGTGTGAATAAAATATTTCGCATTTGCCGGAAGCTGAGAGTTTAGTCGAGTGGTGTTCACGACCGGTATGTCGACGGGCTCGATATTGCGACCTGTATCTCTAGAGGTCTATAGTGAAATAAGAAATTCTTATACATGTCTATCTATCTTATATCTTTTAACTGAAGAATAAACTTGTCATTTTGACATATTTTCCATACTGAAACTGTCAATGTGCCAAACTTATTCTTCAGTTAAAAGTTATCCGACGATTAAAAAAATAGCCCTTAGTAGTAGATACAGGTCATCGATTTTGTTTTAAGCGTGAAAAGTACAAATTTTATTAACAGTAGAGGTATATCCACTAATTAAGGCTTACAATGTCATGTTAACGAGCAATAGTAATTCATAGACTACTATGATATTCTGATAGTAAATAATATGGAACCATGTAGTACTCATGAGCCAACGCGCTCTTCGTTGGTTTCCATTATTCTGTAACTGAAAGGTACGTCTAGGTACCTTTAACGACACGAAACGTGTTCATGAGCTTAGGTTATGCGACAAATTAAAAAAATACTTTATTCAACCTTTTTGTAAGATACTTAGGTTCTCATTTGTCATGGCAAACCATCCTGTATACGCAGTCGACTCGACGACTCTCTTGAATATTAGATTATGGACTGTCTAGTGCCATAAGGTCCATTATTACGGAGTCCATCTTTCTTGCAGAAATGACGTCCGTGCAATACTGACTATTGGTAACTGCCGAATTAATTTGAATTAATTGATTTATTATTTAACGGGTGCCGGTGGTTATATTTATGAACACAACGTGTATGTTCACAATAAATTTGAATACATGCGTCTACTCATCAATTCAAGAGGCAATGAAATAAACTTGCCGCACCTAACTTCAGCCTACAAAGTTATCAAATTCAATCTTTGAGAACAACATTAATATTATTACATAAACCCAACGCGAAATCCTTTTCAAAAAGGATACTACAGAATAAATAAGTATTTAATAACAACAGGGCAATATTCTTTTATAAGCTGCCTAGCTCGCAGTTATTACATTATTTTGCAAATTGTTTTTCCCGTTATAAGCTGACAAAGGTGACTTAGTTTCATGCGCCGTTCTCATATGTTATGCATATCAATCGATAGGTTCTGCTGAAGTATTGGCAGGAAAAGCTAATTTTTGGGCAATGCATAAGTAGATAGCCGAACGAAAGTCGAAAACATACGAAATAAATAATATTTTTGAACATTATCATAAAATGTTATCCGCTTTGTCTGGCATGGTTTATTTTAAATATAACCTGACTAAAAATATTTGAATGTAGGTGGTAGGTATGTGAAAAATCAAATCAATAAACTAGACAGACGGACATTGAATCACATTACATGAAACGCAACGTTTATACGATTTGCAATTTGACAAATAATTTAATAGTTATCGTACATGAAATTTTAATTTATTCCGATTTTAACACGTACCGCACTCACAGCTTTTATCCCAATATGAAAGAGCAATTATTATTGCTTTTAGTATTTTACCATTCCATTTATAACAGTTTACAAACATCTGTGCAATGAAGTTTTAAAATAAATAAAATCGGAATATTCTGTAGCATTACTAAGCTCATCTGAAGCGCAACGAACACGTTCAATGGGATAAACTATCGGTTTGGTAAACAGCTTAATCCTTTAACAGAGTCGGACGCCTGTCCGTCCATGTCCGTGGTGCTGGTCGTGTTGGATAGCTCGGACTCCGATTCCACCCTGGCGGCCGCTCGCTGGCTGGTCCAGCAGGTGGACAATGGGCCCGCGGTGGCTGGTCTCCGCGCCTCCCTGTCTTGCCTGTACCGCTGGATGTACGAGTGGCACGGCACCCCCGCCCTCGGGGATTGGGTGCATGCCTACATCAAGGCTCTCGAGGTAAGTACAGTCCTCTCAACTTAAGCTGAGAATTGCATTTGTGTGAGTGCACACCGATAGTTTAGAGTGGCAATCGGCTTGAAGCGCGGCGCGTCCCGCGCATGGTTTATTATAGCAAGCGGCCTTAAGCGCGGCGCGTCCGCCACGCACCGCTTCCTTGTCGCTCACATACTTCACTTCACCCCCGGTACTGGTAGCAGATACGTGTAATTTTATGTAATTGTGTTCCAAATATTAGTGAAATGGCTCCTACTGTAAGTGAATTTCCTGTACGAAATCCATTAAGCAGCCAAGTGAAAGAAATTTTATGCAAATTGAATACGTATTATAATTTTAAAGGTGTGAACTAAAAGTTTTTAGTCTGTTTTTATTTGTAATTTTATAAAGTTTGTCTTTTTGTTGTATTTTGTAAGGCTGGCTGGACGCCCTCTCTATAAACGGTGCTCGCAGAATATCAGCGTCTAGGTACTTCGTGCCTTGGCATATGCTGAGCGAGGACCTGTTTTTATTTATTTATTTATTTAAAAGGATGTGTCAAGTGTCGTTACATCGGCCCAATTGGTAGCAAGTGTTTTATAGACTTCCTTTTAATAAAACATTAACAAATATTAGTGAAATGGCTCCTACTGTAAGTGAATTTCCTGTACGAAATCCATTAAGCAGCCAAGTGAAAGAAATTTTATGCAAATTGAATACGTATTATAATTTTAAAGGTGTGAACTAAAAGTTTTTAGTCTGTTTTTATTTGTAATTTTATAAAGTTTGTCTTTTTGTTGTATTTTGTAAGGCTGGCTGGACGCCCTCTCTATAAACGGTGCTCGCAGAATATCAGCGTCTAGGTACTTCGTGCCTTGGCATATGCTGAGCGAGGACCTGTTTTTATTTATTTATTTATTTAAAAGGATGTGTCAAGTGTCGTTACATCGGCCCAATTGGTAGCAAGTGTTTTATAGACTTCCTTTTAATAAAACATTAATTTTATTTTTATGTGTTTTACTAACGGTACTTTTGGCGATCACTCACACAAATGCAATTCTCAGCTTAAGTTGATAGGACTGTACACGTTATGAACCGCCCCAGTAAGCCCCGACAACTATCTAGATATAACTTGATACATATCGCCTCCAACGAAGACAGACCTGTCTCGATTTCTTCAGTCACTTATTGCCTGTTCTTGTCCTGTAATCACTTTTTAAATTACATACTTTAAAATTATATTTTTAGAAACTAACTTTGAAATTAATTCAATTTAGTTTGTGTATTGTTCATTTGGCAAAAAAAAAAGATTTTTCACATGAATTTTATTTTTTATTTTTATTGTTAGAAAAACAAACAGCAATCTATAATACACATACGCCCGTATTCACAAACGATGCTTGCTTAAGTAAAGTACGAGTTCCACTAGAGTAGTTAATTTTTCAAGTGTATAAAATCATGTTCCGGCCATATTACAATTTTACACCGTTTTTAGGAGAACGAACGTTTCGATATCCTTATCGAAGTGTCGGTAGACAATATGAGCCGGCTGTTTTTGGCCCTGGATGCCCCGATCGGCCTTCGTCAATCTGTCGCCGACGTCATCTTCCATGTCATGGCGGCGCTGCTGGAGTCCACCGATGCGCTGGATAGAGTAAGTAATGGACCTGTAATACTTTATAATTATCAATGTCTACTATATCTAAAAATTTTAAAACCCCGACGCAAAAAGTTAGTTATGTTGTTATTACCTATGTCTGTTGCATCGTAGATCCTAAACGAATTGTTCTATAATGAAGTTTCATTTTTGTTCATAAGTTTCATTTTTGTTCATAAGCTGGTTTTCTAGCGGTCTTAGGTGTCAGCTGTAAGTCTGAATAATGAAGGGTATGACTTTTGAGCGGTACCTTGATGCGTCAATTTAGCGCTATTTTAACGAGCCAACTTTATTTTTGGGTTTTTAAATTTTGATTTTTTTTAGTGCGATCATTATTACATAGTTCGTTTCCAATAGATCGCGCCGCATTTACGCCGTTTGCTATTGAATCTGGGGGCACAGCAGTGCCCCCACCAAGTCGAGCAAAAAAGCGGCACGGCCGTACCATCCTTTTCTCGAAGCAATTCAGGCCATTTTCGACCGCCTGTAACTTCGTTGTGGATAAAACTAGAAGGCTGAATTTTCATTAGCTATGCAGGCATTGTAAAGACACGGTATATTTAAAATTTCATTCAATTTGAACCAGTAGTTTAAGAATTATAACGGGTCAAAGTTACTTAATTTTGTCACTCACTGACTGACTCACTGACTCACTGACTCACTCACTGACTCACCGATCATCAAAACTCTAAGGCACTTCTAGCAGACCTAGAAGCTTCAAATTTGGAATATAAGAAGTGTTTGGTGTATGAATCAAGGAAAAACTAAAATATTTGGGGGCACGGTAGTGCAACCGCCAAGTCGAGTAAAATTTTTCAATTTCGGTCCAGTTTTCTAGATACATAACTGCTGTCTCCCATCAAAAACAATACTTGTCAAAAAAACCAAGTCTCGCAACTCAGTTGTTCTACGGTAAAAAGTTGTGAGATCCATGTAATACCAAGTCCAGGCCAGGAAATCTTTAACGTTTTACATAAATATATTGACTTGGTCATCGCATGAAAACACGTGTAAATAAAATTATTTAGTGCGATGGCCAAGTCAATAATTTATGTAAAACGTTAAAGATTTCCTGGCCTGGACTTGGTATTACATGGATCTCACAACTTTTTACCGTAGAACAACTGAGTTGCGAGACTTGGTTTTTTTGACAAGTATTGTTTTTGATGGGTCAGTATTATACGGTACTTTTCGGTATTGCAGCGCTATTTCAACGAGCTAATCTTATTTTTGACTCAAAATATTAGTTTTTATTTTGCGTTGGGGGGTTTTTTTTTGGGCGGCCATTACTATGTGTTCGTTTCCTAGATCGCGCCGCACGTAGGCCGCGTGCTGGTGAACCTCGCCGCCGACAGCGGGCAATGGAGCCGCCAGCTCTTGCAGAACGTTGTCGATATTATTTCGGCCATGATCCAGCGCTTGCAAGAAGGGTTGAAGCCTGAAGGCCTGGATGCGTTCAAGGAGAAATATTCTGGTGTGGTAAGTGTGTTTAATAAATTGAAACTTGGAAAAAAAATCTTACCAAAAGCATTATTTGCTGTGTTATTGATTGCCCATTCTCATTCATTCTTGTGTCCCATTTATCCATTATCGGGTACAGCATTAATTTCTGTATTAAATTATTATAATGTTACGCTAAAGTTTTGTTCGGTCGGTTCAGTCGAATGACTTCCACTACTAGCTAGACAAAGGCTAGAATTTAAAATTAAAACAATGAATTTTTACGACAAAAAGTAGAGTACAAGTTATGTTTTTCTCCTTCCAAGGTCTAACTGAATCTGTTTCTCTAACGAAATTTATAAAAATATAAGATAAAGATATTTATTTGCAAGAATAGGTAAGTACAGGTTATTGTTGATGTTACATGTATTAAGGACTCTATTCTGTTAAAATATATTAACATGCAAATTTACGGGTAAGGAATTCCCGAACACTGTAGAAACAATAAGTAGGACTGGAGGTATTATATTCGCGAAAATTTAATCCCAATTCATTCGTCATTTCGTTGAAAATTATTAAAAGTCTTTGATGCGTCAGGCGAACTAAAAAAAATCCGGGCTCAATTCGAAAAGTAGGGCATAAAGGATTATTTCCTGTAAATACGTATGGGCAGATCAATGTAGGTACCTACTGCTAGTTAGCGTCCCGGGCTCGTCAGCTCAGCCCAGCGGTGCCAGGCTAGACTCACGCGGCTGCGCGGGCTTAGTGCACACTGCTATAAGTACGTACCTATTTCAATATCAACTGTACTTTGTATGATGTAATATGGTATTAATTACTACAAATTATAATTAGTCAAATATCGCGCACTTCATTATTACATTTTGCTAATAACACACGACCAGTTGCATATAAAATCAGTCAACTGTTTAGCGGCCGGTGATATATTTCGTTATGTTTCGGTACATTATCTGACCGTTAATGAGATTCAAGCGCAGTTCGTTGCGTTGACGGGTCCTCGTCACGACGAGTTATCGGTTCGCGATTTTCTGTACCTCTAGTAGGAAAAACTTTCGAGTTCGTTTCGTTGCGTATTCAAAGTGTCATCGAAAAATTTTGTATGAAAAATTAAACAGCGCCCCCTATATTATAGCCGCCCTAGGGGGCGCTGTTTAATTTTTCATACAAAATTTTTCGATGACACTTTGAATACGCAACGAAACGAACTCGAAAGTTTTTCCTACTAGAGGTACTGATTTTCGTGCGGTGTTTCCGGTGAAAATTGACGAATACGTAAAGCAACATGTTGCCGGATGGCGCGCACTTCGTAGGCGAATTTACGTATAAAGAAAAAGCTTTACCTATTGCTTTTCGGGTTTATTTAATATCGCTTAATCGTGATTCCTTTAATTATTCATAAATAGAGGTCGGATAACTTATTCGCGACTTAGGTAGTTCATTTACTTGCCAGCGGTTCCCTGAATTTTTCAATTACTTTGCAAAATTTTAATACCTGCTGAATTTCAGCCGTAGACTTATAAAATTCCAGTTTAGGTCCAACGATTATTATTTTCGTTAGCTCCGTGTTGTCACCGTTCATTTGTTGTAGATACTATGCCTTGAGCGTCACATGGCATCGTGTGGCAACCGTTACCTGCAAGTATACCCGTGGCGCGCGCGCAACGTGTGCCTGACCTCCATGAAATCCCACGTTCCGATCCGCAAGGTCGGCCTGCTGAACCTGGGCAACACCTGCTACATGAATAGCGTGATGCAAGCGCTCCTGGTCACCAGGCAGTGAGTACTTTAGATGTAACTTCTCCCTAGTCTTTCTAGCGACTTACTGCTGAGCCGATCCGCAAGGTCGGCCTGCTGAGCCTGGGCAACACCTGCTACATGAACAGTGTGATGCAAGCGCTCCTGGTCACCAGGCAGTGAGTACTTTAAATGTAACTTCTCTCAAGTCCTTCTAGTGCCTTGCTGTTGCTTCTGATGCGGGAGACATTGCCTCTGTCAGCGGCCGTACTTTCTTCTTTTGTTTTAAGCCCTTCTAGCGACATGCTGCAGCTTGTCTGATGCGGGATCCGTCGGCTGCAGGCATACTTATGTAACTTCTTTTTTAAACCCTTTTAGCGACTCGCTTCTGCTTGCCACTGCGTTGCGGGAGCTATCTATCGCCTCTGTCAGCGAGCGAACTTTTTGGTATCTACTTTTGTTTTAATCCTTTTTTAGCGACCTGCAGCTAGCTTGCTGCTACTATGCGGGAACGATCGACTCTATCAACAGGCGTACTTTTTGGTGTAAATTTTGTTTTAAGTCCTTTTAGCTACTCGCTGTAGCTGTGATGCTGAATTCTCAAACCAGCTGCAAGCTTCAACAGGTTTGTTTATTTTATATTTATTTTTATTGTGTACTTTTTTTAGGTTTTGAAATAGGTTTAGTTGATCGATATTTTACCTTTTCAATCATTGTGCTGACACTGAAATGATCTACCGACCTTCCAGAAAAAATGCGTATTACAAAAATTAGCTGTGATGCGTTTACAATCGAGCACCGTGAAACCTTATAAATTACAGAAGTTTCTTTTGAAATTTTGTTTCTAGTTATCTGGGTCCTTATTAAATAAAGAGTTTGGGTCTTTTGATATGCTTACAGAAATGTATTCTCAAAAAAAAAACATACGGGTCGAATTGAGAACCTCCTCCTTTTTTGAAGTCGGTTGAAAAGACAACTCACTTGTGAACAGCATTTAAATTAAAAAATACTTACGTGCTTATCTACTTACCATACACAAAACACATTTTTTAGCAAAGTGTTCTGTTTTGTTTTTTTCTTTTATGGTGGTTTTATTTTATACATCCTTAACAATTCGAATAGAACTAGAACCCGTGAATATTTGCGACGCTTCTGAAAATGAGTGGCGCATTTCATAAAGTTTAACACAGCAGCCGCCAGACACAAAACGTAGCTCGGAGCCCTGCCAATGTTTGCCTTCACCCAGCTTTGAGGCACAAACGCACTAAATTAATTGGGGCCCTCCTGCAGAGGCAGAGAAGGCCGTTTGTATGATGACTAGAAATGTAGGTACATTTCCGTGAAATATTTTAGATTGATAAATATTTTCTTAGAGACTTATTGATTGATTGATTTGAATCTGATGAGATACTTTTTTTTTTATAATTATTTACAAGACCTGATTTTTTAGGCATTCCATTAGGAAAACATAATGGATAGAGTTTCTATAATAAGCGTATTCTAAAGGAAGCCACGCGGCTCACCGGTGTGCCTCGAACTTTATATACAATTTCTATTGTATCTCTCTAGTATCCGGCAATCAAAGACTTATTTTGTACCTCTTATTTTCTCTGTATAACGAATGTGGTAAGTCTGAACACGGAAGCTTTGTAACCTCACATTTCACACATACTCGTACCTTGCCGGATCAAGCTCATCGATAAAGCTATGTATCGGAGCTTCCGGCCTGGAAATTGGTTGTGGCTTACTGGCATCCCTGTGACTTTGCAAACAAACTTTAAAAAACCTTCAAGGCACCCTCATTTTCAACTCGACACGTTCAAAGGAAAACTTGTTTTAAAAAACTTTGTTAACCTGCCGTACCACAGCTCGCTTTTAGTTTAATTTTTTTATATTTTAAATTAATTTTGCTAGTTATCAGGATATGGTTTTAATGTATTTTGTAAAATATTCAATCAATACGTGCGCCGTTAATTGTGTACTCTTGTGGGCTCAGAAAGGGGTTGCGGAAAATGTGGGATGATTGAAAACAAAGTAGCGGCCGGTACATTTATGCCCATAATGCATACAGGGGGCCGCGGACGCTGGAGTGTCGTCTGATGAAGCGGGGAGAGAAAATTGCTCGGATTTTTTATTTTTCGCGAAGTTATTTGTAGTTTCATATTTTATAAGTTCCCAGTTTCCTTTGTTTTTGTATATTTTAACTCTACCATATCGAGTTCACTACTTTTTTAACACTCTGGCATTCTAAGACACGAAATCACAGACCAAATACAACAATATGGAGATTTAGATACCTGTTCTTTACTAAAGAATAGAAATGTTGTCTCGAACGTCACTCTCCCACCCGGTATAACGAAATAAACCTTCAAAGGGAAACGGGAAGTGCAAATAAAATGCATTTTAAAGCATACGAAACGGAAAACGCCTTTGGATTTCAGCTGAAATTCGAAATAATATGGGTATTGCAGAGAAACATAATAATCCTCTTTGGTGTAAGCAGGTCTTAAGGGCTTAGTGGAGTTATGAACTAAAAATTTTATTTTATGCCTTTGTGTTAATAGTTTACGGAATAGATTTCTTGGTAAAATGCAGAAGCTTTAGTTCTCTTATTGGCTATTCAATCTAACCAAAGTAATAGAGCTAAATGAAGGAATCCCTTTGTAAGACTATTACGTTACAATTAGTGAGCTTTAATGTCCTGAAGCATTTGAACCTCAGCTCAGCATAAATACTAATCAGTGGCAGGTACTTAGGTAGGTTCTATATTAAATGGAAGCAGGAAAATATTTTTCTCAATTATTAATTAATCTTACTCTGTAATTATTTTGAATTTCGGAAGAGTTTTCGCTCGTATTGTATTCCAGTCGGCAACTTACTCGGACTAAAGTAGCTAATAGCTCCATTAGAGGATCATATGGCTTGTCGGAAATTAGTTAAATGGTAAGCTGGGAGCCGGGCCTATAACAATCTGATAGTGGACGTATAAATCGATACTGCACCGGGCAGCTCCCCGCCCCAGCAAAAACAGGCTCACCCCAGCCGGCTCGTACTTAAAACAGAAAATAATAATTTAACTCAATATCCCCGTGAAAACATTTTAGCACAATACAGGTCGCGCGGAGTTTCGCGATGAACGGTTCATTTTTGCATTTAATTTCGTTTTCGCTGCAATCCATTGGTTTGGTCACTCTTTTGTCATTGCAAATTGAATTACAAAATGATTTTACAGGTTTGTTATTTTTGACATAACCTTTATAATGCTATGCATCTTTTTAAAAAGTGACAGCAGGTTTAATTTAAAAAGCTTGTGCGAATGAAAATATATATTATAAAAAAGCGAAGGTTTTCACACTAATAAAATTACTCAGTTTACTCAAGAGATAGAAATTATGTATTATTTAAAGCTGAGCCTAAACTATGTATAGTCTTCACAAGGTGACAAAGACCAATGCAAATGTTCAAGTTCAAAATTTTTGTTACGCTTCTTTTTTGTTATCATAATTCAGATTTTCTTTTTTGTTACCTTTATTTGCAGCTGTGGTTTTCTTTAGTGGCGAATGTATGTTTTTTTTTTCTCTTTCTCCTATTTTATTTTATTTCCCCTGTGTATTGTTAGATCGATATGCTTTAAATATATGCAGTTTGCTAATCTGAGATAAGTGCTTCCATTGAAGTTCCTCGGACACGTTTCTGTTGGGACGTCGAGCGAAATCCGTCTTTGCAGCGATGCGAATAAAATTAAGATGGTGCTGCGATAGAGATAGGTCGCAGTTCGAGTGCGGTGCGATTGTAATCTCTCGATTGCTAAAACTTGATTTGGGGTTATTATCGGATGTCTGAATACATTTGAGTTTTCTTTTCAGATTCAGCACTCACGTTGTGCTGAAGATGACCGGCGTACCTTACTGGTCGAAGATGGGGATGTTGTTTGCGAAGATGATGCATTCCGTCGCCAACAAGATCAACCCAGATGAGTTCTTCAAGGTGGTCAAGCCCCCATTCTTCACCAGGAACCACCAGCATGACAGCTCCGAGTTCCTCGGGTAAGTAAACTATAGTCTATCCAATATAGCTTGATTAGAATGACAGCTGCCATCAAAAGTAACGACATAACTTTGTAGTAGCGATCAATGAGAGCTAAATATTGGCGGACAAGAAATAATTCACGTCTGACCTACAAACAATATTTTCGACGACAGTGCTTCCAATAAAAATGTTAATTTCGTGTAAATGCAGCGTTAAATTACACCAATAAGTAGTAATTCGAAATTATAAAAATCAAGCTAGAGTATTAACGACGTCTCTACAAGGTTATCTCGAGTTGCAAAAATGTTAGTGTTGGGACATATCGACAAATGTCATATTAAATTAAAACTAATTGTTTAACATATTTGACATTTTTTTTTTGTAACTAATTTTTTAACATATTTAAGTCAAGTTATACGTTTTTCTAAATGTTCACTATCAAAAACCAAAAAACATTTCATTTATAAATAATCAAACATCGAAAATCAATCACCGGTAATTTTTTGGGTATTCATAGCACCGTTGCTCTAGAAGAGATGCCCACCGCCCTCTAGCGAGAGGAAAAAACCACTGAAGAACACTGATGATAATGACTACGACTTAGGTTGTACACCCTTGACATGAATTTTAAATTTTACTGTCTTAAATCATAATTGTCATTTTTATGAATAAAGATATGAAGAAAAATTGGGTGCATTTTTTTATATCATTTTTTCGAAAACTTATCGATACATCTATGTGAACCGTACGAAACATTCCCAGCACTAGTCACATTCGTTTGACAGCCGTCATTCTAATCAAGCTATATTGGATAGACTATAGAACCTTCACAGCATATTTTATTCCCTTTGAACACCTGGAATTTAATTATTCCTTTGCAACGTCCTGCCAGGTGCAGCGTAAAAGGCTTGCTGTTATTTCTATTGAACTTTTTATTTAGTTGTTTATTAAGGAAGGTGAAGTGGTTATGTAATTGAGTTTTATTTAAAAAAATAACAGGGAAACGATGTGGTTTTTGCAATTTTATATTAAGGAGAAAATTTCTTAATATTTCTTTGACTAATCAAAGAGTAATTTTTAAACAAAGTTATAAAGTAAGATGAAACCGTGTTATTGTTTCGGAAAGCAAATGCTGTCAAAAGCATAACATTTCCATGTCAAAATTACGTTTTCGGGTACTAAATTGGTGACATTAAGTACGACTAGATTCTGTTATCCAATTTTGCATATACCTGTGTTGTATTCGGGCTTTTGTTCTCAACCGCGTCGCATCGATCAGAGCCGATGGCTGCGCCGGTAAAAGCTCATAATGAACGCTTCCAGTGCACACACGTCCACCGATACATCGCCTTATTGCGCGTTAATGTTATTCGTGTTTGCCCAGTCGGCGGCGCTTGATCGTACTTTGACCATGCTTTTCCGCACATTGCATGTGATCACAGTTCACCTGATAAACATTCACTTTAAAATGTTGCGGGCTTCGTTAGACTTTATTAGAGAATAGATATGAGAGCGTCTATTATTAGGTTTATTTCAGTTTTTGTTATTTGTACCCAGACTTTTCGATATTGAGTCTCTAAGCTATTTCAGGTTCCATTTAGTTCTTCAGAAATGTTCAGTGAATTTAGATTATGTTCATAAACGGCATCGGCTTTTAGCGGGATGACCTAAGTGAACTACATTTTAACGTTAAAATGTTATATTGACAACGCTAGAACCAACTTTGTGATACTTGGAACTCACTGAAACCCATTAGGGCCAAACGTGAGTGCGAACGTAATACCAACTAGTGTCACCCGCTTTAGAGTAACACATTTTATAAAATGTTCCGAAATTTTTCGTTAGTTCCACTCATTTTGCTTTTTGAGCATTCATGCACAGGTTTGACGCTCAAAGCACCGCCCGGACGGATTCCTCGCGCATTCATAGCTTTTCTGAAATAAAAAGTGATTGTTTGTAAATATGTTAGCAAAGGATTATCTCTGGGATACACTAGTCAAATTTCGAAATATTTTCGTGAATTCAAAACTGCATTCCAATTTAAAAGCTCCTTTTTGTTTTATCTCGGGTTCACAGAGGGACTTTAGGGCTGTTTTTTAAGAGGCCAGAGAGGCCTATGTTCAGCAGTGGACGTATTGTGGCTGAAATGATGATGATGATTAAAATAATCTTCAACTTCTAATTGAAATAAATCAAAGCCACCTATATTTTTTAAATTTTAACCCGTAGCACTCAGATTGTCAGTATTTCCACAAAAATACAAAAATTGCATAACTGTGTCGCCTTGCGGAAATGGAAAAGGCAATCAATTTGTCTAACTGGCTTCCTTCGGTCCGCCACGCCACCTGGATTCATAACTAAATTACCTCTGAGTTTTTATTTGGTTTTCTCGTAATAACTTTAATATCGTTACGAAGGAATTCAATGAAAATGTGCAACAATTGGCAACAATATAACAATAGAAGTAACAGAAGTTGCACTAGTGGGTGCACTTAATTGATTAAGATTCAGGAACAACAGGGATCCTCTTTTCCTGATTATTTATTTATTTATCTTTGTTCACATTATGAATTGCCATTTTGTAGAGTAAAAAGAAAATCTATTTTCGGTGCAAAGGTAAAAGCTTTTATTAAGCCTGCTCCTTAAAAGTCGCTGAAAATTCAAAATAAAATGATCTAGAATAAGGGCCGATTTTTCAATCGTTGGATAACTTTTAACCATTAATAGGCCAGTAGAATTAAACACAAAAATTGATTAAATCGGAAATAATTCCTACAAAAGATTTTTTTGCTTTAATGGCTTCATTGGTTGCCCATTAAGACTCTCCTAAGTTTTCGACTTCGACGGAGTTGTGCTTAAGTGGTGGGGGCCCCCGAAAGCGGCGTTTTTTCGGTTTTCCGGTTATACCGCGTAAAGGACTTACCCTATCGAAAAGTGGTCTTCATGACGGTTAAAGGGCACTTAATCCTGCATTGAATAAGACCAAATTCATATGTTTTGGACAAACCGTTCTCGCGCTAAAGTTCGGCAAAGTAGAAAATATACGTATAATTAATGACCCTCTCCACGTCCAATGGCTTGTTACCCACATGCTTCCAAGCCTTGTAAAGGGTCGCCTTAACCAGTGTAACCCTAACAAGGCTCACGAGTTTGATTCGCTTATCCTTGTTCGTCCCAGCCGTTCCTTAACTGCGGTTGCTGCACCTCTTCCTGACACTCTCCTGAACGACTCTGTGTTACCTAATGTGGCTGCCCCTCTTCCTTGTACCCTCCTGTACGATTTCATTGCTTAGCCATATGCCTGGTCCAAGGTTCGACGCCACAAAATCAACTTCGTACGAGTGAAAATAGTTTAAATACTATTTCCCGTGCTTGCAACATTTTTCTTTACTGCTTCGCCTCTATTAGTCGTAGAGTGATTGTATATATCCTATAGCCTTCCTCAATGTATGAGCTATTCAACACAAAAATAATGATTTCAATCAAACTAGTAATTCTTAAGATTAGCGCGTTCAAACAAACAAACAAAAAACTCTTCAGCGTTTTAATATGAACTTGTTGTTGTTGATTTTTGGCGTCGAACCTTAGACCAGGCATACGGCTAGGCAACGTAGTCATGCAGGAGGATACAAGGAAGAGGGGCAGCCACAGTAGGTAACACAGAGTCGTTCAGGTGAGTGCCAGGAAGAGGTGCAGCAACCGCAGTTAAGGAACGGCTGGGACGAACAAGGATAGGCGCATCAAGCTCGTAAGCCTTGATAGGGTTACACTGGTTGAGGTGGCCCTTTTCAAGACTTGGAAGCCTGTGGGTAACAAACCATTGGACGTGGAGAGGGTCATTAATTATACGTATATTTTCTACTTTGCCGAACTTTAGTGCGAGAACGGTTTGTCCAAAACATATGAATTTGGTCTTATTCAATGCAGGATTAAGTGTCCTTCAACCGTCATAAAGACCACTTTTTGATAGGGTAAGTCCTTTACGCGGTATAACAGGAAAACCGAAAAAATGCCCCTTTCGGGGGCCCCCACCACTTAAGCACAACTCCGTCGAAGTCGAAAACTTAGGAAAGTCTTAATGGGCAACCAATGAAGCCATTAAAACAATAAAATCTTTTGTAGGAATTATTTCCGATTTAAAAGCTAATTCTACTGGACTATAACTGAAGAATAAGTTTATCACATTGACAGTTTCAGTATGGGAAATATGTCAAAATGACAAGCTTATTCTTCAGTTAAAAGATATGTGACTATTGAAAAATCAGCCCTTAGATGTATAAAAAATTCACAGTGTCTGATAGTAGGCCACGAATTTAAATATAAAAAAATACTTCTGAATTCAATATTCTTTATTTACATCACAAGTGGCCTACTAGTTTTTATGTGTTTTATTTCCATGACATTGTCGCAAAGGAAAATAGTTTCGTTATTGATTGCCAAGGGAAATACAACATAAGTTACCTTATTTTAAACACCGTTTGAACTTCCATGAATATTTTAGAGGCAAGAACTCGTGTATACCAAAAAGGCACCATAAAGAATTGGCATTAAAATTGTTGTATTCTATTATTGGAAAAGGTTCTTATCACGTTTTCCAAGGATGTTAGTGGTGGGTCTGATGACTGATCATTATCGACGCCACACTTTGTAACAGTGATACGTTTGTGCTAGCTTATTCGAGAAAGTGTCGTGCTATGTCAGGAGTGCTTCGCCTATTTAATATGACAGAATAGGCTGTGATATTAGCGTACAACATAAACACGTTAATATTCATAGTTTCTCTATTATTTGCAAAGATATTTTATCAAGAAAACTTTTGATGAGAGCAAAATAATGACGCGAAAACAAATACGGTAATTTTATTTCTCGATGTTTTATGGCGTGGGTTTGTGGCAGACTGACCTTAAATAAAAGCCGCTATAGACATTTTAATAGACTTGTGTATGTGCCCTTCATGACTTATCTATGCATCGTGTTATCAAACTAGGAACTAAAACGAAACTTATTTCCCCCTGCCCGTCCTAAAAATTAAATTCTCAATAATACAAACACGTACAAAGTAAGCTATTCCTGGAATCGGAGTCACTAGGAAAAGCCAACCAAGATAATTCCGAGGTACATCGCTATCTCAAAGTCAGACCTGAAAGCCAAAGGAAAATTAAAGCTTAGTATTCGCGCTTTGTAAATGCATATCCAACAATCAAATTATGCTCAGAGTCCCACTTTAGAAAAAAGGTAAAAATGTAGTCTACCTAATCCGCCCGCTGCACGATGCTGTCGGAAACTAATACTTTGCTAACAAGGAGATAAAGAAATATGGCAAATGTTAACGATATTTATTAAAGGTTTTTTTGAGTCTGGTAATTTGATCTGAGGCTTAAATCCTGGAAAAATGTTTTACAATAAAGTATTTTTAGATCGCAGTTCACGCGAAAATGAGTCTTATACAGTTTGGTTAAGTTAGGCATGTGAAAGTCTGATAGGAAAGAATTTTCCGTACATCGGAGGGCACGTTCAGCCGTTCTGAACCTGGCTGTAATGTTTGCCACAAGGGTTATCAGATCACACACGATACTAGAAACATTATGTACCTTGACTAAAATAAGATGATAATTTTGACAGATCTCGCCCACGAAGTTTCGTGTTTTTCCGTTAAAATTCATGATAATACAAGCTTTATCAAATAGTCTATTATTCTTTTGTATTAAATATCGATTCCAAGTTTTCTAACGAACAATCGATTAGATATTTTCACTATCGATAAACACTATTCCATCGCTAGCCCTGTCAAAAGTGTCAGTGTCAAAGTTTAACGTCAATTGTTTTCGCGATAGGTATCTGTTTGAGCTGCTGCGCTCGTACGAGCACTGCTCGGACGTCAACTTCGACTACTCTCGCCCCGCGGTGCTGGCCGGGTCCAGCCGAATGCGCGCGATTGCTCACGCGCAAGCTGCCCAGTCTTCCAGGTAAGCATTACAACTGTCTACAGCATTTTTGCGCACGGGTTATGCATAGCTTATTTTTATTGCTTTAATACCTAGAAATAAGAATAACAACAAAAAAAAATTCTGAATTTGCTATTATGTGTAAAAAATAGAAAAATTCATATCAATGAATGTATGAAACATGAACATAGAGATGATTTAATTGGTTGCCAAATATATTTTTTTCTTTCTTTCATTCATTCTTTCTAATTATTAAAACATACCAAACATCCACTTAAGATTCATTCTCAACAAGAGAAAATTTAAAATATAGTCCAAATATTTATTAAAAATGAATAGTTCTAATTTCCTGTCAAGTTCCATAGAAGATTTTTCTCATAAAAATCTAACCCTATCATACTTTCAGTTTACTGGCGTCGTATTACGTCGTCTCTCAAATCCCACTATATTTTGATGAAAGCGTGCCCCTTGTTCTTGCGAATAAGCCCCCATAATTATCTATAAATATATCCCAATGAGAATGTGACGTGCATCTTTAGAGACATTCTACTATGAAGATGGAAAATTCAAATCGCTATAACTCTTTAAAAAGCAAATATTTTCGATTTGTAATCGCACTTTTTTATATAAATTTGCTTATATAATCTGAATATAATAAGTAAAATCCATGCGCAAAAAAATATTTTTTTTTTGTCGACCGGTGTTATCCAGTTTAATGAAACTACTACGATTTTCCATTCGATAATCGAGCCGTCCCATGAAGAACGTGACAACCGCTAGTTGCCACACTCTCACAAGAGTTCACCCTCTCACAGGTTAGCGTACCATCCCTACATTGTCTACATTCCACCAGCTCTCGCACTAAGCATTTCGATAACTTTTTTATAATGCGAACAGCTAGGGACTGGAATTCGCTGCCTGCTACTGTCTTTCCCGCCGAACACTATAAACCGGACGTTTTCAAGGCGAGGGTGAATAGGCACTTACAGGGCAGATATGTACCATCCTAGACTGCATCTATAGTCCATTCAGCGTAAGATGGTGATTATGACAGTTCTATTTAGTGAGGCGCTCCTTATAAACCTAATCGATATTTTTTAGAATCGAGAATATTTTCTATAGAAATCTAATCGCATTTTATTTGTTTGATTTTTAATCTTGATCAAAATTGTATCTATGAATTTGAACTATCTGGAAATGGAATAAACGTAAATATTCTTAGTGGTACAAAATAAATCACAAAGAATTAAATATATGCATTTTATTCAATAAAACATCAAAATAACAATAACAAACAATACGTGGAGAAATCGCATAAAACAAAACCGTCATCAAAGGCAAACGCACACGTACTGACTTAGCTTTGACCTGCCTGAGATAATCATCGTGATTCGATTTTAAGATGACCACCTTGCCGATTACTGATTTATTGCGATTGTTTATGTCCCATCCCTATGAGCAAAAGTTCCGACTAACGCAGAAGCAATTCATTTCATATTTTTTCACAATTTTTTCTAAATAATAAACTAATAAATAATTAGAAATTCTTGTTTAGGTTAATTGAGAAAGATTAGTGATTGATATTTTGGAAGGATGAAAACACACAAAAGTAATTGATTTTTACAACTCAATATTTTTATTCGTAGAAAACTACCCTCAAAAGGGCAGAACACTGATTTTCAGCTTTTGCTAGAGAACGCATAAAGCGTACAGGTACGGAATGAATCCGCTCGCTTTCGGAAACATATATCATATCTACATTAGTAGGTATAAAATATATGATGAGACAAATAATCTTATGGTATAGTGTGCTTACTTTCTGTGAAAGTGTTCTTTCACAGAAAGAAGCAGTGGAAAGGGGGAGCGAGAGGCCTCAGCCGACACTCCGGCTATCCGCCGCCGACACCCTGGGCGCGAGAGGACAGCTTATGGTCTCCAACTGTCCCTTCCTGACAGGCCTCGGTCGCTAGACATGGAGATGTCTGGTGGCGGCTAAGGACGAATGCTACAGGCAACAGCCAATGGCGATGTCCCGCGTTTCCTCATATCACTCATATGGATCATGGCAGAAACAGTCAGGTTTTTAGTGGATGTAGGGGCTACCCACCTTCTGGTAGGAAGAACCCCACATAACCCACTAGCTGCCCCCGCAGCTGGTGGGTATGAAATGTTAAGCATTTTCCGGATAAAAAAAGAATGGAAAAGTTTGTTTTGAATAGAACCGATTTGAAAAAATCTCTCACCATTAAAATTCATTTTTTTTCTGCTGAACATAAGCTGTATAAAATATTCTCAAAATAGTAAAAAACCTTTGATAAATTTACTATTTGATAAAGAATTTACGTATTTATTATTGATTAGGACTAATGTATACCATTATTTATAATTGATATGTACCATCCTAGACTGCATCTATAGTCCATTCAGCGTAAGATGGTGATTATGACAGTTCTATTTAGTGAGGCGCTCCTTATAAACCTAATCGATATTTTTTAGAATCGAGAATATTTTCTATAGAAATCTAATCGCCTTTTATTTGTTTGATTTTTAATCTTGATCAAAATTATATCTATGAATTTGAACTATCTGGAAATGGAATAAACGTAAATATTCTTAGTGGTACAAAATAAATCACAAAGAATTAAATATATGCATTTTATTCAATAAAACATCAAAATAACAATAACAAACAATACGTGGAGAAATCGCATAAAACAAAACCGTCATCAAAGGCAAACGCACACGTACTGACTTAGCTTTGACCTGCCTGAGATAATCATCGTGATTCGATTTTAAGATGACCACCTTGCCGATTACTGATTTATTGCGATTGTTTATGTCCCATCCCTATGAGCAAAAGTTCCGACTAACGCAGAAGCAATTCATTTAATATTTTTTCACAATTTTTTCTAAATAATAAACTAATAAATCAATTAGAAATTCTTGTTTAGGTTAATTGAGAAAGATTAGTGATTGATATTTTGGAAGGATGAAAACACACAAAAGTAATTGATTTTTACAACTCAATATTTTTATTCGTAGAAAGTTATAATCATGAAACGAAACGTTTTATCTGTCTAAATCACCATCATAAGTTGAATGAACTAATGAACTATAGGATGGTACATACCTATATACGTACCTATAGCATAATGTATTTTTTACCAAATGTAATTGCTAACCTAAGTTTGTGAGGGGAAATAAATGATTTATTTATTTACATCTCACTTAACACTAGGTGCGATTGCGGTCTAATACCTGTCTTGTTATGCATAAAAACTCAAGCAATGGTTTTTTTTTCTTTTTTTTACAAAATAGTAAACTTTTTATGTTCCTTTCTCCGGACTTATGACTTACAAGATTATCTTCCTGTAAAACAGCCGTTTAACTTGCAGTGATGATCATGGCGACGCCAACGCCAATAGGCGCTCCGCATCGCCGCGCCCGGGGAGCAGCGCCGCCGGTAAGTTATCCTAGTTTCTCTAAAACCAACAAAGTCTGCAATGAACTACTAGATAAGCACTATTTCAGCTTTACAGATTCGGGTTCAGACAAAGTTTTCGTTATAACTGTATCATGTTACATAAATACTACTTTGCTTTAAACTAGTCTTGTTTATTAAGCGATTCGGAAATCACTGCGATGTTGCGAGACTTTAGTTTAATACGGGATTAGGTATACCCTTTAGCACTGCTAGTATTAGGTATATATTCTGTGCCTCTAGCTCCGTCCCCACCGCTACAAAACTTCGTAGCGAGGATCTATAGCTTGACCGCCAATACAAAGTGAACTAATGAATGAACTTTATTTACGCCCGTATTCACAAACGATGCTTGTATAAATGAAGCAGCAAATCGAACGCACAGGTGTGATTGGTTCGTGTGTCACCCTGTGCGTCCACGCGCATGAGACCTCATAGTAATGTTTGTGAATACAGGCGTTAGTTTGATAGCGAACCTCTTTACAGGATCAAGCTCCAACAAGAGATCTCAAAGCGACGAGGTCCTGGTGCCTCCGAAGAAGCGCTGCTACCGCGTGCGTAGCGATCCCGAGCCTTTCTTGCGTCGCGACTCTTTCGTCGATGGCATGTTCGGAGGCGTGCTTCTGACGCGTGTCGAATGCACTGAATGCCACTCGTCGTCTCTTTCTCGCGACGTGTTCCGCGATCTCCAACTCGCGTTCCCCGACAAGCCAGAAGGCTGGCAACACAGCGTGCAGAACCTTCTCGATTTCTACTGCTCCAAGGAGCGGCTCACCGGCGAGAACCGATACATGTGCCGCGACTGCGGCGGCCTCCGCGACGCCGAGAGGAGCGTGCTGATTGAAACCACGCCCAAATATCTGATTCTCGTCCTGAAGAACTTCAAGTAAGTAACTTTTTACTTTCACAGATTATTTTTCCTTTTCGGTAACAGACACATTTCATGATACACCTACGGCAAATTATTATTCTGCAACGCCAACGCATCGTTTCATGTTTTAACCGCCTACACTCGACACAGAAAAGTCTTCACTTATTTCAGATAAAAATAGAAGCTCTCAATATGTCTTTCAATATCCTTAATAATTTTTACATTTTCTACAGATCAGATTTTCCATTTTTAATGTTACCTCTTCATTTATATTCTGGATACAATATTAAATTACTTTTATGAAAGAGTTTATCCGCAGAATAAGGGTACTGTGGGATAAGCTCATCAATTTGACAGCGCCAGGGCTTCATAGTAGTTTCCTTTTGACCGGTGCCTAGACGATACGCAAATAGGTAGCTCGTATTTCGCCGCATACGCTGCAACGAGTTGAAGCGATTTTCTTGTCGTCACTCGATTTAAATCAGATCTCAGGGCTGTCGGATTTAATACAAAGTATCTAGCACATCTGTGTGTCAAGAGAATTGCTCGTAATGGACACTGAGGGTCCCCTGGCGTCCTGTGACTGCTATAATTTATCCATCGGCGCGATAACGCCTGCCGGCGCGGCCACGTGCTTGCCCCTGCAGCTTGCATTCGCACCAACACTATAACCACCCAAGGCACTCGAGTAAATCAGTTGATTGCAGCGGTGCAATCTTCGAATTATTGCTCATTGGAATCATCTGCTGAACGACCTTTGTTTGCACTTTGATCCAGTCCAGTGTGTCTGAACTCTTGATTCGATTAAAAATCTGTTCTTACTGTCATCCCAATTCCCTACACCGAAACTTGCTAAATCTACTAAATCACACAAACATACACTGCATATCCACGACTGGGGCTATAATCGCTGGCACTCTTCACCCTATCGAGATTTGAAGCTGCAGCCAGCTGGTCCAACGCCAGCTCAGTCGCCAGTCCAGATGTTTCAGGATTATGTCCTAACCCAGGTCCTCCCACAGGTTCGACGCGAAGCTGCAGGTGCAGACCAAGCTGATGCACACGATGTTCCACAACCACACGGTGGCGCTGCCGACCGTGCGCACGCAGGCCGACCACGCCGGGTACGTGCTCTACGCCGCCGTCATCCACGCCGGCACCACGCTCGACTCCGGCCACTACTACACCCTCGCTAAAGACAAGGAGCAGTGGCATCTGTACAACGATGACGTCGTCTCGCACTCCGAGGAGAGAGAGCTGAGCAACTCCAACCGCTCCAAGACCCCCTACATCCTGTTCTACCGCCGCAACGACGTCGAGGAGGGCACCGCCCCATCCATGGAGGAACTCCCCCCCAAGTACCAGGAGGCCGTCATGTCATACAACAAGTCCTACGTCGAGACGATCCGCAAGGTGCGCTTGGGGCGCCAATGACAATTAAGGTCCGACCGATTCCTAGACTTCACGGTGTTGGACTACGTCAAGCCCGAAATGGAATAAGTCGAACCCGTTCTTATTTCAAAAAGTGACACGCACGTCAACGTATTTATCAATGATATTTGTCGTATTTATAATCGAGAGCGAAGCTACTGATCTGGAATGATTTCATGAGTGAAGGTTTAAGAAGCTGGTTAGAATATTATATCTCATTGATGTTTTAGATTATAATCAATAGGCAGTGTACCTTCGTTTAAAATATGTAACACTTCTTTTTCGATGTTTCGATGGTTGTCATATGGAGACTTAAATATTTTAAGCCATTTAACACATTGATATTTATTAGCACTGAAATGTGTCGTAGCTAGTTGTTCTAAGATTGAAGTATTTAACAAGTATATCCATATAGTAGAGAATAAATGTTTACTTCGATGTATTAATAATAATACCTTATAATAATCAATTATATTTAAACATTCGTGTCACTTTTTGAATAAAAATCGTCTTATACGTGGTACCTTTGATATAAATGTTTTTATCGTATGAATTTTCTTTATAATATTATGAACTATTTTGACTCCAATGAGTTAAATATAGTTAACTTTTCTCAGTGAGTGGCAATATGATTATATTTACTTGTTGATTTTTACCTAATTTAGCGAGGTCCCATAGCCTGGCGTTATGGGATCTTGTACTTTAATTAAGTTTATGCTATTTAATTATTATTTTTTTATTTCAAAAATACTTATTTCTTTTTTGCAGAAATGAATTGTAAATATATAGGTATGTATACTTTATAATATCTATGCGGCAACAATAATGAATACGTATAATATTACAAACTACAACATATTCCCTAAAACATGAAAACCTCAAAATAATATATTATGTACTATGTACGTCTGTTACGTGAGCCATAGTAGATCTATCTAAACTGTGTTACTTGATGTCTTCTCTAACAACTGATGTGACCTTCCAGGTGTCAAAGCCAGAAATATATCCCAGATAATCTAAATATTCAGATTTTATAGAGTTGATCACTTAATTTATTTAAAAGAAACCTATCACACGCAGTAAAATAACGTTCTGAATGTTTTTTTTATGTAAATATAAATGACTGTTGCTCCTCGAGTTTAAATTTTCCTTGTTTTAGGGCAGATTTTTCAATCATCGGATAAATTTTAACTGAAGAATAAGTTTGGCACATTGACAGTTTTAGTATTGGAAATATGTCAAAATGACAAGCTTATTCTTCAGTTAACTGACAATTGAAAAATCAGTCCCTAATCATATATTTTTCCAAATTAGATAATATAAATTGCGACCTCGTGGAAAGTCATCCAAACCTTCGAACTTTTCTCGACTGTTTCAAAGAAAAGTACGCATGGGTCGACAGTTACAATGCCGTAATATAGTTTTGTTTATACAGATTTTAATTTTAAACAAATAAAGAGTTCTTTATTATTATTATACTTTGTTCATTTTGTGTAAATAAACTGAGATCTCGTAGAGATCTTTTCACTGTAATTAGTGCATCCGGTTGTTATTTCTGTGCCACACGAAAGTTGTCCGTCGAGACGAGGGCGAGCCTTTTGTACTGCTCAGTAGTCAGTCCGCTCGATACTTTTATGTGCACACAGAAATGCAAAAAAAAAGTGCTAAACAGATTATATAGCGTTAAAGTGTACATTTTATTATTATTTAGAAATAAGACTGCAACATTCTACTGCGGGTGGTTTCTACCTTTTTAAAATTTCATATTAGTAGTAACTTACACATCAAATAATTCTCTCTTGATATTTTTATATTTAAATGATACATGAACTATAAGATCTTCCATGTCGTTTATGCGTTTAGGATCGGGCAATCTCCTTAATTATTTTTATTATTAATATACATACATACATACTTCGTATATTTTCCGCCCGCGTTGTGATTTTTCCATGTAAAATTGTTGATGAATTCAAGGTTTAGATTACGGGATTCTGTAGGTAACCGCATGCAACAACCGATAGTAAGACATTTTATCTTTTGATTACCTTAAAACTATTTTTATTTAATTTTATAGTAAAAAATCCGCTGTCGTGATCTTAGTTCTATTCTTTCCTACTTTCACACCTGACTTATATATCTTTAATCAATTTGAGTACCGTTAATTAATTTTATTTTATTAAATTTTTAACATAACCCTGTTTTCGATCAAATGAAATTAATCTGGTCAAGAGACCATTCTTGCCATTATTTGACTAAACTTCATGCTAAAATATACCAAAGTGTAGTTTAAATAAACCAATTTTTAATTAAAATGTGAAATGGCTCTCATATTGTTTTAAAATTTACCCAGACTGTGCTACAGGCTGCGACAAAACCTACTCAACAACTCGACGCGCGTTCTATTGTTTAGTTCGCGTAACAACTAGAATTAGCCAACGCGTGTTTTAATTAAGACCAAATCTTTAAGTGGCTGAAATATGCTTCTAGATCCAGTTAGCGTATCATTATAATACAAACAGACGATGATGAAATTTGAAGTTATTAAAGGTTTTTATTATTATGACCAATTTACTGAACAAATATAGGTATTCGGGATTACCTTTGCAGGAGGCTGATTAGTTGCTTACAGACACAGAACTTAGCGCGCTGTCTATGGCCATTGTATCTTCTCAAAGTGATTTATTTTAAAAGACTTAATTTTACTCTCTCGTAATCTTATTGCCCATGGAATTGCCCAGCTTCAAATCTGTTATATTAAACACCAAACAGATTTTGAAATCTTCTCATAATTTCATATTAATTGTATTGATATGAATTAAATATATTTACTATGTTTATATGTACGTTATACAATTGTTTCGCGTTATGTCTTTTGTGTAAATATTTTAAACTCTAAAACATTTAATGTTAAGATCTAGGTATTCAGTCATGTTAACATTAGAATAAGTAGGAATATCTCACTCGGGGCCTATTTCCTGCCCCTTTACTGAAATATTGTAACACTTTCATTTATAAATTAGATGATCAGAGATTGTAAATCGGTTTTTGGTTTAATAAAAGAAATAAAGATTTGAAAATCAAAGTCTTGTTTTTTATTTTGGCATTTCTGGTTAGGTTAAATGAATACACCGCTATATCCAACTTAAAGCTAACTTATCACTTACACTTAGATACATTATTATAAGCCAATAAGTCTTCCTCCAAAGTTATTTAATTTTTCGGATGCAGCTCTGGCGATCTTTCTGATGATGGATTGCGGAACCTGAGGGAAAAAACACAAACACCAGTTCAGTTGTATTAACTATGCCTATAACACACACGGCACCCAGTTAGCAATACAAAACCGACAACCCTATGCGGGATGAATAATAAAAGTAATAAAAAGAGAGGGTCTAAGCACTTATACAGGGTGTCCCAAAAACAATGGATAACCCTGTAACCATCGATAGGCCTCGCCATGGTCTCCCTAACGTTCAATTTTGACCCCAGTAAAAAAATATCACCGTTTTCAAGATTTTTAAGTTTTTGTGCATTTTTAGAAAATTTGCAATTACTTTTTCTCATGCATTTCTACAAATGAGGATACTTTTCAATCTAGTTTTTTTCCTTATCACAAGGGATAGTTGGGCTATTAAAAGAAAAGATTAAAGTTCAACAAACTAGTTTAAAAGTATGAAAAAATTAAGAAATTGCAGAGAAGGAAAAATTAATTCTTTGTCATGCACACTTTTTGTTTTTTTCATGCAAAAATAATTTTTTTGATCAGCCATTGTGCAAAAAAAATGTAAGAAGACCATCGGGCCCATTACCTTAAAAACTTCCTTGGTTAATTTAATTGAGATTCTAAAAAGGTATCACAAGCCTATGTATTCTGTATTATTTTTATCTTATGGCTACTTGAATAGCAACTACCTACATAGTATGAAAACTGCAAAAAAGATTTTTTCTAGTAATAGTTAAACTAGGACTGCATAACTAGTGACATTAAATACAAATGGATAATTTTTAGCGTAGGAATTTAAATAAAGCAACATTTTATCATCATCATCATCATTTCAGCCATAGGACGTCCACTGCTGAACATAGGCCTGTACCCCAATGATTTTCATAATGACCGCTTGATAGCGACCTGCATCCAGCACTTTCCTGATTACCTTTATGAGGTCGTCGGTCCACTTTGTAGGTAGTAGTAGGTAGCCTCCACTTGAACACTGCTGCCTCAGTTCTGCAAACTACTGTGCCATGGCCCATGCCCATTGCCACTTCAGCTCGCTGATCCGTCGGTCTATGTCAGCGACTTTAGTTCGTTTACGGATCTCCTAATTACTGATACGGTTTCGTAAAGAAACCCGAGCATAGCTCCTTCCATAGCACGCTGTACAAAAAATCCACGTTTCCGAGCCGTGTATCGTCACGGGTATCTGTCTATAGGCACATTTATAAGGTTTAAAACAAAAATTAAGTAATCACAAAAACGTAGAACTGACGGCCAATGGGGCAACAGGGTTCAAGTGGGGGCTACGTACCCGAAAGCGCATCGTAGGACGTCCACCTACAAAGTGGACCGACGACCTCATAAAGGTAAGCAGGAAGGTGCTGGATGCAGGCCGCTACCAAGCGGTCATTATGAAAATTATTGGGGTACAGGCCTATGTCCCTATGTTCAGCAGTGGACGTCCTATGGCTGAAATGATGATGATGATAAAATGTTGCTTTACTTATTTAAATTCCTACGCTAATAATTATCCATTTGTATTTAATGTCACTATGCAGTCCTAGTTTAGGTACTATAACGAGAAAAACTCATTTTTGCAGTTTTCATACTATGTAGTTGCTATTCAAGTAGCCATAAGATAAAAATAATACAGAATACATAGGCTTGTGATACCTTTTTAGAATCTCAATTAAATTAACCAAGAAAGTTTTTAAGGTAATGGGCATGATGGTCTTCTTACATTTTTTTTACACGATGGCTGATCAAAAGTGCAAGACAATGAATTAATTTTTCCTTCTTCTCTGCAATTTCTTAAAATTTTCATACTCTTAAACTAGTTTGTTGAACTTTAATCTTTTCTTTTGATACCCCAACTATCCCTTGTGATAAGGAAAAAAACTAGATTGAAAAATATCCTCATTTGTAGAAATGGCATGAGAAAAAGTAATCGCAGGTGGCAATTTCTCAAGGTCTCAAAAGACCGCGCCGCTACCCTACTCACTTGGTGTACTCGGAGGCGCACGCCCTTAGCGTCCGAAAACTATACATCCTCAACGCCGTTCTTTCGACCCACAAGTCGGTGTTTGGTTCGGCTGAGTACAGGGATCAACTAACAAAAAGGATATTTCGAATTAAAATTCCTTCTGTCGCAACAACTTTTGCAAAAAGACACAAGGATTTCCTATACCCTTTCATCTACAACAAAGTGGCATCTTCTTGTGACATCAAATCGAGCCATCCATCTGTCGTGAAATCGAAGCTATTCGACTGGCTTCTACAAATTAGCTACCACGAAACAGAGCTCCTGTTGACTAACCCCGCGTGAATACTTTGAACATTTCAGTTTCATAATCTTAGTGACATCATACCCATCTCTCTCTTACATACCCACACAAACACACACCTACTCACTCACACTCACACACCACACATACATACCTTATGCATCCATAAAATTCACTTTTGCCAGTACCTGTGCAGTTTAAAGTAATCGTACAACCGTAAAACACAGCAAACTATCAACTCCAGTTCCCAAGAGACAGGATTACCTAGTTTGGGAACTACCAGTAACCTTAAGTTGTTGTTGTAAATCTTTCTGTGAATAAATTATTTTATTATTTATTTTTTATTTAATTTTCTAAAAATCCACAAAAAGTTAAAAATCTTGAAAACGGTGATATTTTTACTGGGGTCAAAATTGAACGTTAAGGAGACCATGGCGAGGCCTATCGATGGTTACAGGGTTATTCATTGTTTTTGGGACAACCTGTATACTCGTAAATTAATAAAATAAATTATTATAACATATTTTCGCATTCATAATAATAATCAACCAAATGTTGAAAAAAAAACAAAATGTTAATAGGTGTCAGACTACTTAAACATAGGTACACTTTTTAGGTAGAGCTTTCTAAAAAAATTGTTTAAGTTCAAGAAATAATAACAGATAATAGTTGGATAATAGTAATCTACATTAGAGACACAAATAAAACAGAGCAATATTTTAACTTCATGAAAAGCTCTGCATCACAACTCGAAAAAAGGCACCATGATTGTGTCAGAAGAAAATCTTTAAAGTTCGCGTCGCGGAAGGTGCGGTTTATTTGATGTTGAGTAGGTATATTAATTTCCTCTGAAAAACAATAGTACAACCGAAGAAAAAATGTCATTTCTTCGGAACTCGTCCGCAGATAATCTAGGCCTAGGTAAGCCTAGGCGCAGACCACCGACTTTTAGTTGGGCCCGATACTAATTTGTATGAAGAATCGGCCGATACCTACTTACCTAATCGGTGCGCACTCTCATACTTACGTGTCCATAACAACCCGACCAAAATTTTAGAAGCCGTGCAACAGTTGTACCTACTTACCTAGTTATACTAACTTAGCCATCCCAAGGGGGAAAAGTAATCAAGCAGATCTTATAAAAAATAAAAGGAAACCAGCAGACAGCCTTTTAAAGCTTGATTAACCCACCTCTATAGCTGAATTGATAAAGTTGGAGATATTTTCTGCCCCGCCAACTACAGCTCGACCAGCGTTGTAAAATTTGTCGCCGTGGTTGCCGTATTTTTCTTCCTCCTTTATGGTATCCACGATGGGCTTCGGCTGAAAATAAAAATAGTTTAAATAGAGCCACGATTTTGAATGCTGCCACGTGCATTGAGTTATAATGTACTACGTACTATTACTTCAATGGCCACGTGAAGGTATTTTTGAAGAAGCCAGTAAAAACCATTGTAAAAACCGTTACAATGAGAAATTTTGTGTTGTTTTTTATGAAAAATCGTGCGTCCGAAATGACGCAAAGAGGAAATAAGACTATTTATAACTGATCAAGTAAATTAAAAGTACATTAGTTAACGGGTGGATTCGACCAAACAAGAGTAATTAATTTCAGAATAAATCGTCAGTTTTGACTTACTTAATTCCCATATTAATTGTCAAAGAGTCAAGACCAGGAGTTATTCTCGGATAAAAGTTTGGTCGAATCGGGCCTAAGTAAAGTATGTCTCTGTTAACATATTTTCCAGTGACTGATTTTTAACTTCATTATAAGATATTAACTACTCTATTAATGCAGTTTCATAAAATTCAGCCTTCGGCCAGGTCAGCACTATAGCACTGACTTGCGCTAGACCCTAAAAACAAACTGCCCCGGGGTGTTTCCTTCTCTTATTAAAAAAACTCCAGGTTGTTTCGAGCTAGGCGGATAGAAGTTGCCCTATTCCACTAAATAAGTAGCATTGGAGTCTAATTGCGCCCTAAATTATATTATTTACCTATTTATTTATTTAAAAAGATTTGAGTCGTAATTTACAGTCATCCGGAATTTATAGTCATCCGTTTTAGCTGCAGTAACGTTTTGAATATGAAATGTTTTATTCAGCGACACTTTCGCCCGTTCACAAACGATGCTTACAATCGAAAGAACAGCAGCGTTTAATAGAGCTCTGTGATTGTTTCGCATGTCACCCTGTGTTCATGCGCACTGTGAGACCTCATAGTCTATGAATATTCTACAGGTTGAGCCATCAGTCAAGTGGATAGTAATAGTAATCAGTCCCTGATTACAGTGCTTCAGTGTTTAGGACTCAATTATTCCTTGCACCTCATCCTCTAGTCTAGATCTAGGGTTGGCACGCTGTATCATTTTCGATACGATCGGGTCATACCGATATAATGAACCGGGTATTTTACTTACTCGTGTTTTTGTGAAAAATAGTGAGAGGGGGGAGATTATTTCAAGACTAAGAACCTGTTATAATGTCCCTATAATAGATAGGTATAAGTAGTTTTACTAGCTCAAAGACGAATCCCTGTAAAGAAATCTGAACAGGTGTAGCTATACATGTTAATCATTTGATGTAAGTCAGCGTCAAATAGTACGTGACACTCAAAGTAACGGGACTATTCCCACCTCTCGTTCCCACCACTGCAACTCCTGTGTAGCCAGGATCTACAGCTTGACCGCCATCACAAAAACCCAACCAACGAAGGTCAAGTTTGTCCCGGGGGAAAGTTAAACTGTCATTGGACCCGCAACGAAATTAATCAGAAGAACAGGAGGAGTTCGAAACACTTAAAGTAGACAAGTTCGTAACACGTCTTTGTTATAATTGGAATAAAGGTTGTATTATCGACTTTTGACCACTTTGGGTGTCACGAACTACCTACTTGACGCTGACTGTACCTAGTCAGTCAGTTTTCGATATTCCAGATAGCATTATTAATAAACGGCCGATCGTTTGTGAATTCTTTATTTTGAGCGTTCGATGTAATTATTTATTAACTAGTCGATTATGCGAGCGGCGCAGGACCGGTCTTTGTGAAAATCCTGGGGTGAAACGAACGAACGAACGAATGAGATTTTTAATTACTATTGAACCGTTCGGCATTATCCATTGATGCTGATTTACCACAACACTACGCCTCGGACATCATTACACGCGTCAGAGACACGCATACGGATAATGCCAGTCATATACCTAGGTATAGGTTGGTATAGGATGTGTATTGTGTATGTAGACCGCGGTTAAGGTGCTAACATGAGCTGTTTGGGCCAAACGCTAATTGGTAGAGAATGCCTTTTGAATTTATACTGTTTAGTTTTTGAAGATACATTTAAAAGAACCTACTAAGTAGCGCCACTTATTTATTTTACTACTAGCTTTCCGTCCGCGGCTTCGCCCGCGTGGAATTTTGTCTGTCACAAAAAAACTCTATCGCGCGCGTCCTTATTTAAAAACCGGGATAAAAACTGTCTTAAGTCCTTTCTCGGGACTCAAACTATCTATATGCCTTTCATCAAAATCGGTTCAGTGGTTTAGGCGTGAAAGCAAGACAGACAGACAGACAGAGTGACTTTCGCATTTATAATATTAGTATAGATTGCACTTAAGTAGGTACCTACTTAGTTACGAAATTCTTTTCTGTATCATAAATCCTATACTGGCAAAAAGTAAACGCAATAAAATAAAAAATGCGCTATGTGGCGATTCAAAGTCCCTTTGTAAGTATTTACCGTGTAACACAAATATTGTGTTATCAACTTGGAAATCAGAGCGGAAGGGAAAATCTCAAAGCTGGAATTATAAAGAAAGTGTGTTTAGTTAGTAGCTTAGTTTTAGAAGCAAAATAACTTTACTGGACAATAAGTTAAAAAAATCTTCGTCTAATACGGACTGCTTATCCCACGCAATGTGACGTAGAAACAGATTTAAGTAAGTAGGTAGGAGTAGGACCTCTTTAATCTCAAAGGACTAGTAATTTAAATTAATATTACTATCATTGATTATGGGAAAGTTCACATTATTTCCACAGATTAATTGTATCAATAGGTAGTTTGCCAGTACTGCACTAAACGGTACAGCTACACTCCGTAGGTAAATTGAGTTGGGTACGCAACGCACTAAGAGCATGCTTTTAGGTGTACCATAGTCTTATTAGAGATCCATAGCAAGATATTAGTTAAATTGGATGTCTTCTGGGAAGAAAACTTTATTTTTCCTAAGTACGACATTTAATAAAATCATTTTTATACCTACTTAGGTACCTATGAAAACCTAAAGTTATTGCATAAAGTTAACACACCTACCTACTTTACTTACCTTTTTGATTATACTTATCTGTTTTATTGAATCCGTTGGAAGTTAGAACCATTCTATCGAAATATGGCCGACACAGAGGCGTAAAATAGTGGCTAATATGTTGGCGCGACGGTTAATTTAAATTGATGTTTAATTAAATTAATTTATCGGATGTTTAAATACCGTAGTACTTATATCGAGTGCACTCGATAGAGTGCTTAAGGGCTATTAATTATGCCCTGAATATATACTTTACTTGGTATCGTTAGTTCATCTACGTAGAAGTACTCAACTTAATAGACTTTATTCTTCATGCAGGACCGCTGTGCCTACTTGCTAATACATATACGCCAGACGTACTGGCCCCTCGGAGGTAGGTACCTCGCTAGGCAAACTGTAAATTTTATAAATGTGTTACATGTTTCAGAAATAAATGTAGAAGTATTCAACCAATCATGTGCCAGCTTCCTGCACAAAGAATTATTAATCCCCACACAATTAAGTATTTTTCTTAATAAAGACCTATCCTCATAAATAACTTCGAAATAAAACAAATCGATCGGAAGACAAGAAGTTTCTGGGTCTTTGTTGAAAATAGAGTACGAGTACAACGCAAAAAGTGCCGAAAACAACAAAAACACTACAGCATTTCCTATTGTAAATAATAATAAAATAAATATCATTGGACATTGTTACACTGCGTCTCTAGTCCCAAACTAAGCAAAGCTTGTACTACGGGTACTAGACAACATTATGTAGCGTTAATCAATAAACACCTCTGATACTAATTGTCGGTTTATTTAGAGAACATTTCAGCAGAAACAAATGAACCGCTCTGGGCTATACTCACTTGAAAGACTCCCGCAACGACTTGGTGAAGATTGTCCTTGATGGAAAGCTTCTTACTGCCAAGACCCTCGGTCTCCAGCAGGGCCCCCTCAATCGTGGTCACCGGCGCGGCAAACCAGCCGTCTCTGGCTTGCTCGTTCACAGTCCCTGGCTATGGAAAATAGCATGCTTTAGGATTAGAGCCTACTTATTACACTGCACAACAAAATTGCAACTTTTGGCTGATGATTGACTTTCATTACATGATGTTTACTAATTTGACGTCGCTGATTCTGAATCTGCCGTCCATTTTTTCGTAGCAGCTCTTGTTTACATGTTATAGCTTTCACTCAAAAATTGCTAAATTTCAGTCTTAATTCGCCGACAGTTCAAAAAATACTATGTTTTCTTTGTATAATTTAATATGGTAGCATTAAGAAGTGTTTGTGTGAATGATCCAAATCAATTTTGTTTCATTTGCGGAGAGGATATGTTTAAATAATCCGTTTAAATGTGACAAAATTCGTAAAATTGACCTACAAAAATTAGTTTGGGGACCCAGTGGAAATGAAAGATAAGCCTTGAATTCCGCAAAAGGCGTGGAAAAGATGCGTTGAGTTTTTACGTTTATAAACAAATAAGAATATGTGTAGATTTAGGTACGAAACCGCTATGATCTGAAAGGAACCCTTGAACCATCGCGACGACTGTTATTTTTATTTTTGTACAGAAATGGTATTAACCAGAAAATATTGAACTAAATGGTAATTCCTTGCATACGTTTGGCATGTAGACGTCTTTTCAACCCTAAGAAGTCACCTGAACCTCATGTTGATACTTCACATGAGGATTTTGAAAAAAGTAACAAACAAAGATGTTTTAATAATTTAGTCTAAATATTTTACAAATAAGACATACGTGCATAAATACTTAAATAAGCTATATTTAAAGAAAACATATTATTTAATAACATTTAGTTACAACTTCAAATGTTTGTCACGAAAAACATTATTTAAATTAGCAATAAATCGTGTAGCAAATTAAATTATAATCAATTTGCAGTTTTGATTTTGTTTGTTTCTCTTGACGCCATGTCGACATGTGCGTTTCTTACGAATGCGAGGCAACACTGGCTGCACGAAGCTAGCGTGGGGTGCGGTACCAGGTGCGCAGGGTACAAGGTGCTTCGACCTGGTTTCGCATTGTAAAGACATTTTATTACTTCCGTGCGGTACCAGGTCTAAAAACCTGGTATTAAGGTAGGTACATCATTGGATTCTATTTTAAGAATACATCATAGATATATATTCATCACTTTCCTACACCGGACCCAATTGAAGTTATGCCTTTCGCACGACAAGGAAGACTATAATTTTCTTAGCCGCACGGTAAGCGAGACGTACACAAGGTCTATAGACCTGGTTTCGCACTCAACGTGTTAAAATAGTTGTTTTCCAAGACCTCTAGATTAATAATAATTCTGTAGTCAATTCTGTAGGAATGTTCTGGCCTGGGTTACTATTCAGCAAAAGCTCTCCTGCGGTTTCGCTTGCGTGGATAATATTAATTGTATACATGTGTATAACTTTTCAGCGAGTACCTAACTGCTTAGTACAAGTACCTACTGCTACTTGCTGCTACTATTATTTTGAGTATTTATGAGTTACGTCTCAAACAATTTTTTTCATAACTTGAAAGGGTCGCTGATATGAACGAGAAAAGATCGAATTGCCTAAGGTGAGAATCGAACCCATGACCCTTCATGACTCCCTGCACCTTAGACAATTCTATTTTTTAAGTTATATCCGTCCTCGTAGGTATAAGAAACCATTGACTAGAGTACTAGGTATTTAACAACTATTTATCACAAACATGACACGAAGTGAAATGATGATTTATTATTCTCTTTGCCTGACACGCGTCATTCATCTCGATTCAGATGTCATGTGAGGTTTACAATTTGTTACAGAAATTACCAATTTTATCAAAGAAATACCAGGCAATTTGCAAAATGGACATGCCAGAAGTGAGAAGGTGTTTCGGAATATTCCCTCCAAAGCACGGAACTTATCTAATTTCGCTGTTCGGGCTGGCATCGGGTGGCGTGGGTATTGCTGGTATAATACTGTACGGTATCGCCGAAGAAACTATATTAGTCCACTTTATGAAGAAGGACCAGCTCAACGAGGATATAAAGAAAGTGGTTTTGTTGACAATTGGACTGACGTCTCTTATGTTGCTGGTGGCAAATGCGATGTTGTTTATCGGAGTGAGCTCGAAGTCTGCCGGCGCGGTATCTGCAGGAGTTATAACTATATTCATACTGTGCATCTTGCTGATCATAGCTGCAATTGCTGCGCCTATGTCTTGCTTTTTCATCGACTCTACATGCCTCGTGAAGAAGGTGTCGTCGATCGTTATAACAATATTTATCGTAGGTCTAACGCTGTTTCTGGAGTTGTGGCTTTACTTCATGGCGGTCGCGTGGAATCATGAGCAGGAATTAGGATGATTTGTGATGTTTTTTAACTTTATTTTTTTTGTATTTTTTACAATATATCCAAGCCTCGTATTCACTTGAGATCAAGACGTCTTTCGACTAAAGTAATTACCACTTCCAATAATATGAAGGAAACTATATTTAATATTTATGGTTATGGCGTTATTACCATGCATGGCGTTATACTTACTCTACATCCCTAGGGATCGATAGACTATGCGAGGTCACCTGTAACCACCTAGAGCAGTCCGTAGGCTACAGTAAATTCAATTGTAGCAACATTGGTCATCAATACAAGTGGTCATGCGGTAGGTACCTACGTACGAGTAATGAGTACATATCTAATATGTCGTGGAGAGTTCGCTTGGTGAACTATCAATATGGTATAACGTCAGACGTTGTAAGACATCAGCTTCTTGAGTGTTGAATGGCAGGCATTGCGGAGCATTTATCCCTAGTGAATATAAAGCTTTATCAACCATTCTAAAATCGATTACTATTTCTTTTGTAGATTATAAATTAATTTATTTTTGGTTTACCTCGTCTGCTAACGGACCGATTTGTGGTTATTTTGAGTGGGCAGGTACTTCATTAACTATCGCTAAATTTTGCAAACCGCATGACCAAAACAAAACCCTTGAACCGATAAGTAGGTTTATAGTATTCGACCCACCGATTCAAATAATTAAATAATTTTGATTAACTGAAACCGTTAATGTTACCGCTATTGGATATAATTAATTTAAAGGAATACCGAAATTTATGCAGGGTGTTTGGCGGAAGGTTAGACAAACTTCGTGGGTGTCTATGGTAATTATTGTTTTTATTAATTTTTCCAACATTTGACCTAAAAACTGCTTCTATAGCCTGACCAGGAACATAAAAACCCTCGCCATGTTGCGGAAAACTAATGGTACTAATTTCTTTTAATGGCAACAGTAACTGAAAACTTCATTGACATGTCACCTTGCATGTCATTCTATTGCTGTCAAAGTGTAAACAAACTTTATTTTAAATGTGCGCAATTGGTTTTATGAATTAAATTGCTAAAATATTTTTATAGTCGTTAAGAAAAGTGGTTCACAATGTGTTAAAGTATTTGTCGAAGAGAAATACTAAGGGTTCGAATAATATTTTCATTGAATAATGTTTCCGACAAAGGTTGTCAAATTGACTGACATGTTTATCGTATAGTACAGTCCACTATGAAAATTAATTTTGAAGAGCACTCATACGGCCCGTGTGCGGTGTGAGTGATCCTAAATAATCGTCATAACTTTGGAACGGGACGTGCAAGGGATTTCGGAATTTGTTAATAGTTTTAACATATTCTTAACAATTTTTCAATACTATAAAAAGAAGTGGAAAGGCTTTATTTTCTGAAATAAACATGTTGACGTTTTCTTAAAGCGTGCGGTATGAGTGCTCCTATTTATTGGCCATAACATTTTTATCTTAGGTTTAACAAATTTTTAAACTTCATCGCAATGTTTTAACATATTTTAAGTAAAACTTCCTCGATTTTTGTTAAGATTGAAGCAAGGATCACTCAATCCACATGCACATCCAGCAATATTGTTAAAGCTCTATTCACTGATTTCACTGGATTTTTCGGCGAAATTGGGAATTTTGATTAAAATCTCTACATGCCACGCACTTACACACTTTTCCAATAATTAACTTATGAAAGCTTGTTAAAATTAAATAATAAATCACCAAGCAGCGATACGATGCTTCCAATTTATCAAGATGCCTTGGATTAATGATGAAGAAAATAGTTGCTTGGGAAAGCGATTGACGCACTTTGTTAAAATTATAATTACATGGCATGGTAAAAATGGCCTAAGGTCAACTTTAAAAAGGAAATAAAATATGCATAGTGAACTGTAGTGCATGTTTTATTTCCTCAGGCATCACACAGGAAATATTTAAAAAAGTTGCAGCGAGAGCAAGTGCAAAATTTTTACTCAAGAGGATTGATTATATGGTTGAAATGGTAGTAGTATTGGGCTTACATAAAGACAATTAAATACACTTACTTTAAACAATTTAATAAGTATTTATTTAACAGCTCTATCTCTTTATCAACCGTTTTACTCTAAGCAATAGCTTAGCCGTTACGTTTAACACACTTTTTTAACGCTATTAGTACCTACACCTACACCGATAACATATAATAAAAAAAATGGCATTACGCATAATAAATTAATTAAAGTAAACAAATTCGCAAATGCAAAGGTACTCACTGTGGGTCGAGCGGCGTGCGGTTGGGTGCTATGGCGCACGCGACTATGCGCCCGCGCCGAACGGATACTTTCACGAGTTACGTCATAGAGCCTTGGCAGTTACCGCATGTGTCTGTGGACAACTTCTTCAAAATCCACTGTTGCCCAACATACGACATGCGCGTCTGTGTGTTGCGACTCATTTCGCATATCGATTTGGTTATAACAATTTTTGTTCTTTGAACATTTGACACAAGTCGTTGACGCTTTTTTCTTGGCTAGACAAACAGCCATGATATGTAGGACTTTTTCCTTCCCATCTACCCCCTTCGAGCTTGCCACCTTAGTAGTGGTTGACAAAAATAGAAGAGGTGGCGTTTACCACCCCGGTGGTCAATGGCACCTATTTAGCTTCATCTGCCCCCTACGTACGTATAGTTATATAGAACAGGGGTTTATTTTATTATTTAGGGTTTTCCTTTCTTTCTACAGGTTGCTACCTAGTACGGAAAATCTGGTAAGTAATTTTGAAGAAAATAAAACTCTTTTTGGTTCTGTTGGTGGATGGCGTGGATTGACACAAACATCACGTTAATTATTTGCAAACTAACGAAGTTTAACATGATGTCGGTGCCACAAACCGCAGACATACAGCTGTCCGGTGCGAGTTCGTACCCTCGATAATTCTCCAACGCACGGGCGGAAAATTTTAGTATGATGAACACGACTTTTTACCTATAACTAAACTGGGATTTATTTTTGTGCTACTTATCATTTTCATTTAACAAATTAGAATTATGTAACGCATTACGTAATACTTATTGAACTAATATGTGGAAAATAATATCAATGGGAACTTTGATTGAAATATCATCATTTGTTCGCAATAACGTAACATTGCTGGAGTGCTTTGAATCAGGGATGTTATGGATATGAAGTTTCGGTTACGAATACGGTTACGGATATTAGAATAATATTATACCGGTTACGGTTACGGATAGTAAATAATTTCGGATTATCCGAAAGTTTCGGATAATTTCGGTTACGGATATTTTTATAAAGGTAAAATTCAAATAGCAAGCTGCTACGCGACTTACATTGTCACTTTATGTACTATCACGGTACCTATGATAGTTGAAACAGGCGGGTACCTTTAACAGAATGGTGCCAGGGGATTCCAGACAAGTAGTAACAAATGGCTATTTCTCATCGCCACGGTTCTCATCGTCACCTTCGTGGCAAATTTTATTTTTAACTTATTTCAACTTTTTGTAAACAAAAATTGTAGCGCTTGATGAGAAGAGTGTATTCTCAGTAAATCAGTCAAATAGTGAGTCTGGTTTGGAAGCTTTAACGTTTTGAATTTTTTGATGCCACGAAAGTGATTCTGTACTTCACAGCAATAATTTTTTCAAACTTTACTACTGTAAATGACTCTTAAGTATTTATAAAACATATATTTTGTCTTATTTTCATAGATAAATGGCAACAACNATAAATGAGAAGTACCCAAATATTAAATACCTATTAAGAGTTAGACTCCGCCTTTATCCGAAACTTTTGAAGCGGTTTCGGTTACAGTTACGGATATTTTTTTATTTCCGATATCCGATAGTTTCGGTTACGGTTACGGATATCCATAACATCCCTGCTTTGAATTCTGTTTTACCAGAACACAGCATTAATAACAGGATTTTCCAGGTAACGAACGACTGGAGCAGAAACAGATTTCGCATTGAAATCCATTAAATAGGTCCAATATTGACGTACCTACCTACCTACAGGAATTCAGAGCTGATGCATCAAAGCTCTCTATTACTGTTTGCAGGAACTAATAGAAGCCTGCAGCGATATTACAATTTCAGATAATCCCATTTTTGCAGGGACTGTTTTTAGCAGGATTCCGTTTTTTTGCAGTTCGAATGTAGGTATGTACATATATATACCTAATATAACTAATTTTATTTAAAAAAAACACATAATATATGTTTACACGACAATCCAGTAAAGCAGGATACCGCAAAAGTGGATTGCCGTGGGAACGAGTAGGTAAACTGAAGATAGTAACGGCCGGCTAAAAATGTTTAACTTATCATTCACTTTCAAATCAATGAATTTTCAGTTTTAAGGCGATTAGAGTCTACAATCAGTATCAACTCTGTCCGTACTAACATCATAACATGCAGTTAAATCATTATTGTTTTCATTCCCAAAATTTTCCTTTAATTTGGGCAGCCACGTAATTTTCGCAAATCGTAAATTATTTTTCTTGTTATCAGCCTAAGTAGCTGGGACGGTAAATAAAATTAACCTAAAGAAACCCCACTTAAAATAAATTACTTTTAGATTGGTATTGCGTCCTTTTCACGTGGCTACGTACTATATTGAAGCATAATACACAATACGAAAGTCATCAAAGGAATTTTCCTCAGCTTATTTCAAATGCTTCTTAGCAATCGGCCAACGCGACTTTCTGAAAGATTCATAAAGTCGTCGGTAAAGTAAAACTTATTTAAAAAAAAGGCTAGACAAGGAATGGAGGCTGCGGTACAGCTTACTGATCCACAGACTGAGCCCACCCACTTAGAATACCTCCCCCCGTTTTTTACCATGTTTATTTTACAAAATTTTATTAGTGCATGAAAAAGTAATCTTCTGGTAATTGGTGAGATTATGTTACGAGACAAAAACTAAGCTCAATAAAGCTTGTTAAGTTTTCCACTGGAAAATGTTGTTTACTGTTTACTGAAAAGGGATAAAGCCATGCTGCAGTTTTGAAAAGCTTTTTGCATATGCAAAGGGATTAATTATGGCATACAGATTACGGACTAAAAAAGACGAGATATTTTTATTTTTTTATTAGATTCCGAACATAACTAGTAAGTAACTAAATACTTACGCTATGGTTACTACGTCATTTTATATTACGTAAATATGGGAATTTCAGAAATTTCAATTGTTATTGACAGACTTATCAAAAGCAATGGAAATTGCCTTAGGCCTAAATTGGATTCCGAACACACACACGGTGGTCGGTATCGGCACGGTAATACTATCTATACAGTATTCCAACTCGGCCATATTTTTGAAATAAATGTCAACAGTCGCGCGGTACGTCACAGTATGACAACATGCGATAGGGCTGCCCACCTACAGTACCCAGTTTAATTACATCTGCCCACTTAGAATTTCTATCTAGTTTTGTGATTGTATTTTTTTATTTAGTTAGACAAACAAAATAGTTTGTGAATGGAATAGGTTAAAAATGTGTGTTGTTTTGTGATTAGTAGATTTAATTTATTTAAAACTACTTAAATAATTTTGAAACTTTAATAATCATAATGATCTGTTACGTTAATTTCGGGCGAGCGAAGTCGTGGGCAAAAGCTGGTTTAATACAATATAATTTACATTTCAAATCAAACTGACTGAAAATGACAATTTGACTAGTTTTTGACCAATTTGACCGTAAATGACGGTCAGTCAAATTCAATCAGTTTTGTCATTTTTAACACTTGGCCACCGACGTCCATTCGGCACATTCGCGACACCCCCGACTTTTGCATACCGAGCGCATACCGAGATTTGAATTTCGAAAGAAAGTTCTTGTTTCGTCTGTTTATATGAAGTTACAATACTGTATGATATTATTACCGTGCTTTCGGACTGCCGATTCCAGCATTGCCGGGAGGGTTCAATTTCGCCGCTGGAAATGATGGAATTTTGTGGTGACCACCTCGCAAGTTCGCAATACGCGGGCATATTATTAAAAAAGGTAATGTTTGTACCTAGTAGTTAAGTAGGACTTATTCTGTTTTGTCTCGTATTTAATTTATTTTTAATTTTAAATTACCTAGTATCAGTGAAAACTTCTAGGCTGCTTACTTACAGTAAAACATTCCCATTAAAGAAAAATAAATGAATAATAAAAATATTATTTAAAGTAAATGTCGGGCTAGAGACGCTGTTTCCAAAAGAGATGTAATTTATTTTTAATAACATCATAGTAAAATATTGGCATTCAATTAGGGTGGTTAACAAGTTCTGATAATAATATTCAAGCAAAACGCGGACCAATTTAAATAAAAAATCATGCTTTCTAGAGCCCTGAATCCATAGAGTTACTCAATCAGTGGAGTATAGCACTCGAACTTTTTATACTTATTTTAGTTGCTGCACTTTTATCTATGTACCTAATTGATATTAGAAGCTCTTCGGATGTAGTAGGTACTCGTATGACAAGAGCGGTTGTGATCTCTTTATAAAAAACCGGCCAAGTGCGAGTTGGTAAGACTTGGGTAGACCTCTAGGCTCTACCTTTATCCGAAGGGTGAAATTGTTTGAAATAAATTAATATAGTAAATGAAAGTTTGGATTAAATTAATATAATATTTTAGGTCGATAATTAGGAATTAGTACTTAAACCGGTAAGGCGAAGGTTGACGCCTAAAGTAGCGCTGTAGTCCAGTCAATAAAGCATTATGTTCCACGTTAACCACGTATTGTACGTGGTTCCACGGATTTCTCTCTACACCGTCGTTAAGGCATTCATTGACTGGACTACAGTGTGTGTTTTGTTATGGTGCATCATTGCAGATTTTGCTTAGGGTGGGTTCCACCATCTTACTTTGACCGTAACTATAACGATAACCGGTGCTTTTTGTATGGAGTTTTACATATTTTTGACGTTTGTCAAAGTTATAGTAAGATGGTGCAACCCAGCCTTAGTGTATAGTATGTTGTAGTATGTGTATAGACACGGGAGGTGAAAGGAGTTTTTTATGCCATACTTATAATTTATAATTAGAACTATTTTATTTACACTGTCACTTTATGTCTAATGAAGTTGTCAAAATAATTAATCAGAGTGGGAAATTATTTTGTAAAGTTTGCTAAGTAAAATGTTTATGATGGTGTAAATTTATGAAACGAATTAATTGGTATAATGAATCTTATGAATGGTGGCTGTTTGTCTCGTTTTAGTCGGGTAAATTTTTGGACTACGCCATGTTGTAAAGTCTTTCTAAAACCATCACAGTCTGCCAGCACAGATCCAGAGGATCGGCGTAAAGCGGAGTGGAACCGCGCAAGGCCGTCAGAGAGATTGCAGCTCAAACCGTGCGCTAACCAAAGAATACCCTCAACCTTTCTTCTCACACAAGTCCGTTACAAGTGTCCACCACCCAAACTTCACCGAGATGTCGAATTCCCAAACTTCGACGCTTACAGGAAAGAGGATTACACGGATGTCAGGAGAACCACGTGGGGCTCAGGTGATGCCAAACCTGGATACACTTACGTTATGGGCTTCTTTGGTTACTTGTGCGGGGGTTACGCGATAAAAACGTTTGCATACGACTTGATAACATACATGGCAGCCCCAGCAGATGTGCTCGCATTGGCGTCGATTGAAGTCGACCTATCTAAGGTGGCACCAGGTGGGTGTTCGTCGTACAAGTGGCGAGGGAAGCCATTGTTTATTAAGAACCGCACTGCAGCTGACATAGCTTTAGAGGAGTCGACGCCAGTGGCCTCTTTACGTGACCCGGAAACCCAGGAGCAGCGGTGCGTCAAGCCAGAATGGTTGGTGGTGATTGGCATTTGCACGCACCTTGGCTGCGTGCCGATCCCAAACTCTGGCGACTGGTCGGGAGGCTTTTACTGTCCGTGCCATGGAAGTCACTATGACAACATCGGCCGAGCGCGCAAGGGACCAGCGCCGTTAAATTTGGAAGTTCCGCCGTACAAATTCATTAGCGATACTCTTATTCTTGTCGGATAATATTATTGAATGGTGATAATTTTTATGTATTTAATTAAATGCTGATATATACGGCACAAGAAATATTTTCGTTTATTTATTTACCGCACCTGATAACAAAGTCGTGATAAACTGTTTCTACTTTTTTAGGTAGGTAGCCTACAGTCAGCGTCGAATAGTTCGTGATACCCAAAGTGAACTAAAAGTTGACCTTATTCCAATTTAATTGTAACAAAGACGTGTTGCGAACTTTTTGACTGCTTTGGGTGTCTAAGTCTAGACGCAGACCACCGACTTTTAGCTTAGCCGCAGACCACAGACTCTTTGTCGGCCGATAAATACTTAGTTGAGTCGAGATCAATGATATTATAGAACTTTTGTTTTTATATAATATCATTGGTCGAGATGTTAACCAATATGGATGTAATGAAAGTGCGCACAAACAAACATTTTAATTAATTAAATAAATAAATTACACTGATAATGTTATCCATCGGCCGAATGAATAATTTTATTCATACAAATTAGAATCGGGCCCAACTATCGGCCGACTAAAAGTTTTTAGTCTGCAGCAAGGCTTAGTTGGCTGATAGTTGGGTCGGACTGTTAATCAGTATAGAAATGAATGTAGTGAAAGTGCGCACATTACATCGATTTGCTATCGGCTGATTCTTCATACAAATAAACCATCTATCGGGCGACTAAAACTATAAGCGCCTAGGCTAAAAACCTAATAGAGGTTTATATGAGTTCCGATAGTGGTGGAAGGAACCCTAAAATTAAAATACTTACCTAGCGGAAGGAAATTAACTTAAATGGAACTGGTGAATATAATAATTAAACTTGATTTTGAGAGTACAATAATTATTAAATACATGTACACAAAGTGATCTAATAAAATTAGTACATTATATGCAAAATTAAACCTCCCGCTCCTGCCATTAAAGTTCCCGCGTTTTTTTCAGTCCAAAGATAATAATAACATACCAGAGACTACACAAAACCAGATATACCCGCTATTGGTCCGTTTTTTGCATAGAGTTATTATCTCTATGGTTTTTTGCTTTTTATTAAAATTGTAACTTATTTTTCGCTGTTGATGTCTATCATTAAGTAGAATAATAATAAAATTGTTAATGATACACGATAGTAGTTTTACTTTTAACATTAAATTTTTTTATGACGCTATAAATCATAATCGATTAAATTCAACTCTATTAACTACTTTTCTAACGGACACCACTGTCTTATGATATTTTTTTTTAAAAGAAAAAAAAAAAGAACCGGTTCAACAAATGTCAAACCACATGTCAAACTGTGGTCAAACTTTGGGTCAAACCAGAGCCCCGATTACGGTAACTTTTAACGTCAACAATCCAGACACGCTTCTCGATTCTGCAATACGATTGGTCAAAACAGCTGACGTACGCTGTTNAATACGTACACCATAAAGATAAATATTTTCAAAATAATGGATTTGAAAAAATTTTACATTGTACATCATAAAAACAATAATTCTTTGAAGGTTATGAGGGCCTATGTGTGCGTGAACTGTGTGTATGTGTGCGTGGACTTTATGTATGTATGTGTGCGTGTACTATGTGTGTATGTGAGCGTTACGTACGTAGGTTAAGTACAGCGAATTTAACACCAGGCTGTCAATTAGTAGGCTCAAAAATTTGACAGAGAGGGTTCTCTATTTCCTATGTATTACTTTTCTCTATGGGTCAAACTGTTGTGTTGTTTGGTTGGTGGTACGTAATCATCAGAAATCAAAAAATCAAGCTTCTATTAAAAAGTTGCCGAAAAAGATAATAAAATTCACAATAATGTGTTCATTTACATTGTTTATTAAACCTACGTTAATGCTGTAGACTTATTACTATTAATTTTATTGTAATACAGTAAAACAGTTGGAAAGCAGCTGTTTAAATTTTGTGCATGTAGCAACAATTTCTTCAACTTTAAAGAGATTTTTCAAAGGATATGATCTTTAAAATGCGTAAAATTAATAATTCCTTCCTTTGGGGGATTCTTATTGCTTCTGCGACGTGGAGTGTCTCTCTTTACCTTTATTGGATGTTGAATAAACATGGTAAGTGCATTTTAGTTGCTTTTTACTAACTTAAAGCGTTTTGTACTACATTCCCATAAATCCATAATTTAGAAATACCATTTCTTATGAGTAAACTCGTCGTTTAACCTGATGAAAAAGTAGAAATCGAATATAATGTGCTGAAACTACTGGAAAATAAGTAATTTAATAATTTCCAAAAATCCTTTCCATTCCATTTTGTCATGCAGCTCAGTTCTCTGAGTTATGTAAGAACTAATTAATTCACTTGACTGGTTTAGAATTTGTATCCATGATTAAGATTATGACCTTATTGATTTGATTAAAATAGGAATTCATAAATATTTGGCTTCTACATTCTATTCTACATAAGTAAAGCGCCCATTGATAACTTTAAACTATATGTTTGTTTTATTTTATTAATCATTGTATTCTCTTTTACTTATTTGTTTGTTTACCAAAATGAAAGAAAACAACTAGTTTTAAATAATCAAATGCAGAAATTCCAGGCACAATGTGAAAGTCTGTGTATTGTCCTGCCGGGCTAGGATGCGCGCCGTGATTTACCTTATTGACGTCAAAATGTATGGGCAAAATCGTTAAAATGGCATGATAACCGCTTATCGCAGGGCGCATCCTAGGCCTACTGGTCAGTGCTTAGACAAAAGGTTATGTTAGTTGAATTTACAACATGTATCAAATGAGCATAACTCAAAAATAATGGCATTGGTTCCAGATGACAAATCATTACATGACATTGAAGGAAAGATACACTATCGTTTAGTGAACACTGGAGAAAAGGACAGAATAAAAAACAATGACAAATCTATTGCTGATTTGGAAGGCAAAAATCTACTTTTTGATAGCCCTCGGGTGTATGATAGATTCTCTGCGAGTAAATGGAAATCTTTCAAGTCTCGGTCAGATTATCAGAGAAAAATGATGTTGAAAGAAAAATTTGCAAAACAACTCGGGATGAAAATGTCTGCTCAGCCAGACAAAAGTTTAGGTAAGTGCAATTTTACTGATAGCTAATATTGTTAAATTCAAGTATCAAAAAAAATATTGTACTATTATCATTTCTTGATTTGAGACTTGATTTCACACAGTTTTGCTTAAGGCTTTGAATGCAATTCATAGAAAGATATGGCGACCAATAGAAAAGTGGAATTAATGACATGGATTATAACATAATTGCAATAAATATGTTTTATTTTGATACTTTATTGAATTGAGAAAATCATACTGACCTTTTTTGCTTAAACATACATAGGTACTTATCAGTTTGTGAGTATCAGATATTTGTGGGGATGATTGTGGGGTTTTGAATAGTTGGGACCTTAGCCCACCTAGTATTTCTGGGTTCATTTTCAGTCTCACTATACTATTGGTTTTTGAAATGATGGCATTAGCCATTGTAAAAATGTATATCCTATCATACATATAGGCCTGCTTCGCCTGTTTATGATAATGTTGTGGACAGTTATTGGACATCTAAAATACAAAGGTTTTTTATTATTAGCTCTGCTATCTACTTCTCTCCGAGACTTGTGTAACCAAAAGTTTATCTGACCTGACAGAAATGTTCATAATGGGTTATCCAGGGCTGTATTTAAAACTTTATTAAACAGCATAAAGTTATAGTTAATTAATGAAAATTCCCTCCACCATAGTGGAGGAGGCTCATAGTCCAGCAGTGGACTGTAAAGGGCTGTTGATGATGATGATGAATGAAAATTATGAAAAACCACATAATTCTGCAGATAATCAACTGGGATTAATACGTAATGCTGAAGATGTCAGAACGCGAGAAAAAGGCTATAATTTGCACGCATTCAACACTCTCATATCGCAGAGGATTGGGAATCATAGGGGACTTCCAGATACTCGAAATAAAATGTAAGTCTCTTTACTAATGTAATCTTTACCTGTAAATGGAAATCAATTGCCACATAAGTACCTACATGATGAAACAAACTGAGGTTGTCGGCAGAAGCTGGTTTATTGTAATAAATATTTAAATAAATGTTACCAGTTAACAGGTTTGCTGCATTGCAGGTGCCGAATTCAAAAGTATGCTGCGAAACTTCCAACATCGTCAATAATCATATGCTTCTATAATGAACACTTTGAAACACTGATGCGGTCAGTTCATTCCATTTTAGATAGAACCGATGCAAGGTATTTGAAGGAGATCATCTTAGTAGATGACTTCAGTGATTTGGAAGGACTCAATGAGAATGTACAAAAAGCTGTGAACGGGTTAAATAGTAAAATGCGTAAAGAGGAGGACATGCTGGAGACTAATAACATTGATGACAACGTTGTTGACTATATTAATGATGACAATAATGTAGATAAAAAAACGACTGATAAAAACTATGTCAAGCTGACTAAAACAGGGTTAACTATAAGGTTACTGAGGACTAGCAAAAGGGAAGGGCTCATTCGGGCAAGGTTGTATGGTGCTGACAACAGTGTTGGTGATGTAAGTATACTCAGTAAAACAGTTTAAGAAGCTCTGTGAAAACATGTTTTAAGGGGCGACTTAGGGAGAAATATGAGGAGAACATGAGACCTTTGTAAGCTTGGGTAGTGTTGGCCAAATCATTTATTTGCCTCTGGTTTAATGAAGAAAGTTGTATTCCTAAATAAATAAATAAATAAATAATTAATAAATAAATATCCTTGGACATTTTACACTACGCCGCTAGCCCCAAACTAAGCAAAGCTTGTACTATGGGTACTAGACAACGGATATAAACATACTTAAATACTTTTTTTTTTGTAAATACATACATATTATACATAGAGAACACCCAGTCCAATACAAACAAATATGTTCATGCACACAAATGTTTGTACTGTGCGGGAATCGAACCCGCAACCTCCGGAATAGTAGTCCGATTCGAACCACTACACCAAACGGCCGACAAATGTGGCAGAGACTAATGTTCTATTAATGATGATGATATTTTCAAGCGTTTCGAAATGTTTAATTTCTACATGCTGTTAGGCCAGATCAGCGTTTTCATTTCTAAAACTTTTTTTTACAGGTGTTAATTTTCTTGGATTCCCATATCGAAGTGAATGTGGACTGGTTGCCTCCGCTGCTCGCTCGTCTCTCCCAAGGTGTGGATGGGGTCCACATCCGCTACTCGTCAAGAGCAGTCATGCCAGTCATAGACGTGATCAACGCAGACACCTTCGAATACAATGCCAGTCCACTCGTAAGAGGCGGCTTTAATTGGGGCCTTCACTTCAAATGGGATAATCTCCCTAAAGGAACATTGAGACGTAAGTCCACTTGCAAAGTATATATCGTCCATTTGCGACGACAGTGTGACATCTTCAATAAGATTAACACAGAAGATGTCACGTTGTCGTCGCAAATGGACGATATGTGTAGTGCTATCATGCATGTTCTTGTTAAACGACAATTTATCAATTTGTAGACGGTAAGTGAATCCTTTGTCCAGCGGATGGAGAGTTGCTCTGTCTAGACTGGTCCTGGGGTCGATTCCTAACTAAAGTATTAACAACTAGCTGACCCGGCGAACTTCGTACCGCCTTAGCGTAGAGATTTTCTTAATATTTTTTTCCGTAAGAACCATCCTTGGACTTCCACAAACATTTAAAAAAAAGAATTATCGAAATCGGTTCAGCCGTTCACACGTGATGCCGTGACAACGCGAAACGGGTTTCATTTTTATATATATAGATAGATGAAGCCCCTTTCTTCCGAATTTGCTACTCTTTGCTAATTTTGCTCTAAGTTTTATTTCTTACTAGCTTTCCGCCCGCGTGGAATTTTGTCTGTCACAGAAAAAGAATATCGCGCGCGTATTTGCTCACCGTTTAGACCTACCCTGGACTACGACAAACATTTTAAAACCAAAATCAGCTCAATCGGCCCAGCCGTTCTCGAGTTTTAATCAGACTAACGAACATCAATTCATTTTTATTTTTATAGATAGACTAGCTTTCCGCCCGCGTGGAATTTCGTTTGTTAAATTTTCCTGAATTTTCTTTGCTATAAAACTAACGGAGCCCGAGACCTTACCAACGAATGCAAAACCGTGGAAATCGGTTCGTGCGTTCTGGAGTTATAGCGTCAGGAAGGAAAACCCGACTTATTTTTATGTATGTAGTAGATTATAGTCTCGCAATTCGGCGTGCTTTTAGCATAGCATTATAAGGCGCGTTGAAGTTCTGCGTGACGTCAAAGTCTTAAACTTAACTTTCTCAATTTAAATTAGTTTATTTACGTTTACGCTAGCTGCCAAAGCCACGATGACCCAAACCTCACGATGCACCGACATTCTAACCTATATTGGGAGCATACGCTGACAAACTTTCAGCTTTTATAAAATGACGTAGGTCTGGCGTTCACCAGCTCTTAGTCTATCCCTATTGTAGATTCCAGATTAGTAATGTTACAACATCAACATGGGTGATTTATTCTATGACAGTTAGGCCCAGAACAGACGGTGAAACGCAACTGCAACGAAACTGCAACTTTCTGATGATTCTGATGAATGAAACTGAAACTGAAAGTTTCAAACTGGTCGCGTCATGTGTGGTCTCTCAACGGACGCTATGGCAGAAACTTAGATGCAACTCAAAAGTAACTAGCAGTTGCAGTTTCGTTTCACCGTCTGTTCTGGGCCTTACTTAAAAGTCACTAACATCTCAATCTGTTCTATTAAAAAAACAATATTTAGTTTTTTTTCCCTTTTAGATGATGAGGACTTCGTGAAACCAATCAAGTCTCCAACAATGGCCGGTGGGTTGTTCGCTATTTACCGCGAGTACTTCAACTACATCGGAAAATATGACCCTGGAATGAACGTATGGGGAGGCGAAAACTTGGAAATATCTTTCAGGGTATGTTTTATTGAAGTGGTAGAATTTCTATTATTGTGTTTTTTTTTAAATGCAGAAGATTAGAACGACTGAATCATTCGCAGTGGTGTAACTATACCGTTCGAGGCCCTGCCACCGTATAGTTACGCCACTGATCATTCGATTTAATTTTTTCCCTTTTACAATGTGACTCGTTATTTAGTTAGATTACTAGCGAACCGCCGCCCTGGCTTTGCATGGGTACAAATTTAACATATAAACTTTCCTCTTGAATCTCTTAAAACTGACTCTATCTATGAAAAAAAAACCGCATTAAAAATCCTTTGCGTAGTTTTAATGATCTAAGCATACATAGGGACGGACAGCGAAAAGCGACTTTGTTTTATACTATGTAGTGAAGATTGATTTTACTGTTCAAATGCAACAACTTTCGTACCGGAATATCATCCAAATTGTCTAAAAAAAAAGTCCCCTAATTGGCGACGGTAATTATTGTCAGAGATATTATTAAAACTCTTGGAACTAATTTTCTTATTAGCCCTTTTCTTATTATTAGTTACTCGGAGGGCTAAAAAGAACATTATTCTATTTCTCTTGGGAAAAGTTGTTGCATTTGAGCAGCAGAATCAATTCTTTTTGCGGGAATTCCTTATAAAAATCACTATAAAATACGTTTCTCTTTTCAGATCTGGATGTGTGGGGGCAGCTTAGAGCTGATTCCCTGTAGCCGCGTGGGCCACGTGTTCCGCAAGCGGCGGCCTTACGGCGTGGGCGACAAGGAGGACCACATGATGCGCAATTCCATGCGCATGGCTCGCGTGTGGATGGACGAATATGTGGTTTGTTCCTTATTTATAATAATTAACATTTAAAAAAAATAAAACCGACTTCAACAAAAAAAAACTAAAAATATTGCGTATAAAAAAGTTCATCCCCAATTTTCCACCCTTGGGGGTGAAATATTTTCTTCAAATTCGCATGAAACCACCCTTTTGATAATACCTATTCAACAAAAAAATAATCGTTCAAATTGATTTATAATCGGCGGAGATATTGCGTATAAAAAAGTTCATCCCCAATTTTCCACCCTTGCGGGTTGTTTTTTCTATTATTAAATTTAAATGGGACCACCCTTGAGGTATTACCTATACGCCGAAAAAAGATTTGTTCAAATCGGTTCATAATTGGCGGAGTTATCGCGTAACAAACATAGAAAAAAAAACATACGGGTCGAATTGAGAACCTCCTTTTTTGAAGTCGGTTAAAAATGGCAGCCTGGGGCTGATACTTGCAGCCGGGGGGCCACGTTATTGCGTTGCCTTTATTTGTTTGTTGCATAATTTCTAATGAACTACATATTTCTTTTTATATTATAGCACTAGCTTTCCGCCGGCGGCTTCGCGCGCATGGACTACATATTTTACGGAACCCTATTTTTTTCCAAAATTTAATTTAGCCTATGTTACTCGTGGATAATGTAGCTCTAGAATCGTGAAAGAATTTTTAAAAACGGTCCAAAAGTTTTTGGGCCTATTCATTACAACCAAACAAACAAACAAGCAAAGTTTTCCTCTTTATAATATTAGTGTAGATTATAAATTTCTTTCTTTATAATAGCGTTATTTTGATTCACGGATTAGCTGATCGAGACGAGCTATTACCAGGCCTGTTCTTCTCCGCGAGCTTGCATCGAAAACAAAACACGCGCGACTACAGTCTAATTTTATAGAAATCAGCAGAAATGTCATCAAACATGGCCAACTGACATAAAAATATTTTTAGTCTGTGAACTAGTGATGCGACAAAACCTCTCGTTAATCGCGAAGTGAAATTATTGTAGTACTTGCGTATCATCGCCGGGTGAAAGTCAAAATACTAAAAATATGCAACAAAGTCGCAACATTGAATGTGAACTGATTATGAAATTTTCGAGAACAGGAAACAAACTGTATGCACAGATGTAATAAAAAAACACACTGAGGACAGTAAAACAATCAATGATATCCGTAAAGTTATTAAACTTCAAATAGTTGCAAAACGTTCTGTTTGACAGTGTTGCTAACTTGCTACTAGTGATAGTGACATCTCGCTCGCTCNAAAAAATCAAGGTATACACCTTCTGAGATATCTAATCGACAGGACAATCACGAGCGAGCATTGACGCACGAAAGTGTATTCTTCACCCATATGCATTGTAGAGACAATAAACTATTCATGTAAAAACGGTGGTGTAATTAATACTGTGCAGTATTTTAACTGCCTGAATAAAATAGAAATACAAAATATAATTCATGCTTAATCATGTATTTCCTCCGCCATTTTCCGCAGTTTGGCACCTCACGTCACACATAATTTTACCGAAGTCAGCCCTATGGCTTCGGCGCAGTACCGATCACTGACGTTTGTCATCAAAATGGTGCTCGACTCTTGAGATAAGCTAAATTACACCATATTGTTAACGACATTGAGCATATTTTTTTTAATACCTTGGCGAAGAAAGCCTTCTGTACGTAGTACTTATTATTATTCTGTGCTATTACTAATATTATAGCATCAACCTCCAGCCAGGCTTGTAAGCAGTGCCTTTCTTTTCTTACAGAAAAAAGTATTCGAGCAAAACCCGTCCGCAGCTCACGTGTCAATCGGCGACATAAGCGAGAGACAGGCTCTGCGCGAGTCGCTCAATTGCAACTCCTTCAAGTGGTACCTGGATAATGTATACCCGGAGCTGGAGACAGGAGAAGACACCGTGGCTAATAAGAGAGTTGCAGCCCTAAATGATCCCGAGAAGAACAAATTCCAGCCGTGGCACTCCAGGTGATTATTTTAGGCTAAGAACTCACGGCGCGATTTTCACCCGCGCCCGCGGCGGTTGTGGAATTGCGGTTTTATTTCAAAACTCACGGGAGCGGTTATTTGCGCGGTTGTTCTAAGAACTAAGGGTGCTAAGTCACTGGTACAAAAAATGGTCGCCCGTTATCGGACGGTTTTCGCGCGGTTTTTGCGCGGGCGAAAACCGCCGAGTAGGACCCGATTACAACCGCGCCCGCTGCGGGCGAAAACCGCGTCGTCAGTTGTGCATTAGTTTTTACATAAGTGTCTGCATTCTACAGAACATAATTTATCAACACATACATATTATGTTCTTCAGATTTGTCATTGTCTGTTGATTTCATTTACTTTCTTGGATTTGGATTCACTGGTTGGGTTTTGTAAATCCTGGCGTTGCCAATGATCTAAAGCCCGGTCCGTGAGCACGACTGTCGCGACTGTGCGACCGGCACCCGCAGTGAGTGTGCGAGCGCGATAGCAACATAATTACGCGCGAGCGATAAGGATGGGTAGCTAGGGGTCATTGGACAAAATTCTACGTGCTCACGGACCGGGCTTTAGATCGGACCAGACTATAGTGAATGTTGCAGCAAGCACTTGATGTGGGCAGCGCAACCAGTCACGGTGTAAATCCTTGGGAGAGGCCTTTGTCCAGCAAAGGATGTCTTTTGATTGAAACAAAACAGTAAAATCAACCCTTTTCGTATGATCACACACAGGTTAGTGCCGTTTACATCATCCTAATTCTATGACTGTTATTTGTTTCATTTCAGGAAACGCAATTACACAGACTCGTACCAATTGCGATTGAAGAACACAACGCTTTGCGCGCAGAGTGCTAAAGACATCAAGACCAAGGGCAGCGGACTGGTGCTGGCTAGTTGCTTCAGGACCTTGAACCAGGTAAGTGCTTAGACCAACAACGCTGCAATTCTGCATGCTTAATTTAGGTTTAAGTAATTTATGTAAACAGTATTGTTACTGTCAAAATGCAGTAGCCTAAATGATTACCATTATTCATAACACAAGCGTATAAGTTGCTTACTTTGGGGCTAGCTGGAGATAGCTAGCTAGCTGTGTGAAATTGTCCAAAGATTTATTTATTATTATTTTATTATTAACACGTCATCTTCTTTGGAAACACACTACAATCTATACCTAAAAATTGAGTTGCATTCCAACTTTCCAATTTGCTGCATAATTAGATTTTTAGTAATATGAATGATTTTTAATAATGTTCCTCACGACACAACCATAATACATACGTGGAAGTGTTTGGCCCAAGTGGAGAGTGTTGGTCAAACCTTCCATTTACCTCTGGCTGAGATAGGGTCGTGATCTCAGATCATAGAAAGAGAATAGATATGAAGTCGCGCGTAACTACAACGAGAACCAGTGTCCCCACATTTCCCCCACCACAGCTCCCACACACACATTCAACTGTGTAAAAACAAAGCGACTGCGAGTCTACGACAACATGTGCAACCGGCTTAAAAGTGCTGTGATTGGCCAGAAGGCGTGCCTTATGGCCAATCAATGGCCGCGTGACGTGACGCACACTTTGAAAAAAGCAATTAGAGAGAAGAAAGATAAAATGGAGTCGATAAGATATCGATACTTTAAATCCCTCCGTCCTTGTCACAGGTGGTCACATTTCTGAGACCCCCCCCTCCCTAGTGTGACGTCACATGTTTTGCAATTTCACATCGAAAAATTATTAAATTAACAGCAGTTCCGAAATTAGTTTTATTTCCATTTAAATTAAGCACTTTTTTTTTATGAAATCAACATTATATCAAAAATTTGAAACAATTGAAATGTGATGTCACAAAACTTAGGACCCCTCCCACCCCTTGTCACACCATGTCACACTTTGTCAACCCCCTCCCCCCCTCTTTACGTGTGACGTACTTTATGGATGACCCCTAGCAATCACCCTATGCATGGTTACTTCCAGATGTGGTTTGAGACGGATCGCCATGAGCTAGTGCTGGGGCGTACTTTGTGTTTGGACGCGTCTAACAACGTGGCCCCCGCCTTAGGGAAATGCCACGAGCTGGGAGGCTCTCAGGAGTGGAAGCACAAAGGATCTGTAAGTTCGTTTTTATTATTCAAAAGACAATGGCGGAAATTGGCGTCTTTTTTTTTTCGCGCGGCCATCGACCAAACCGATTTTTTTTTTGTTACAAAATAGTGTAATAAAACAAACTTACTATGACATGTATACCTCTAAACTCAGTCTGAACTGAGTTACGAGCATCAGAAGTTTGATGATTTTCATACTAGATTTGCTGTTTGCGCGCAAGTTTTGTAAGAAATTGCAACAAAATAATGACATTGTATGTGTAAACAAACAATACCATCCATTAAAGGCTCCAGACATCAGTATGCAGCAGAATCAGCGCAATAAAAAAATTGCGCAATATTTTGTTACAATTTCTTACAAAACTTGCGCGCAAAAAGCAAATCTAGTATGAAAATCATTAAACTTCTAATGCTCGTAACTCAGTTCAGACCGAGTTTAGAGGTATACATGGCATAGTAAGTTGGGTTTATTACACTATTTTGTAATCAAAAAACAAAGTTTGGTCGATGGCCGCGCGAAAAAAAAAGACGCCACCTTCCATACAAAATCTGGCATTGCCATTTTTATCATGATCACGTATCTCCAAAGGATTGCCACCAACCCCTACTCGCGGGTGTCGTAAGAGGCGACTTAGGGACTACACATCAAACAGAGAACGGGCAGCAGCGCTCTCTGAAAAACATCAATCTTTTAAACTGCGATCTCTAAGGCCCAGAACAGACGGTGAAACGCAACTGCAACGAAACTGCAACTTTCTGATGATTCTTATAAATGAAACTGAAACTGAAAGTTTCAAACTGTTCGCGTCATGTGTGGTCTCTCAACGGACGCTATGGCAGAAACTTAGATGCAACTCAAAAGTTAGTTTCGTTGCAGTTGCGTTTCATCGTCTGTTCTGGGCCTAAGGACCAACTGCAACTGCTAGTTACTTTTGAGTTGCATCTAAGTTTCTGCCATAGCGTCCGTTGAGAGACCACACATGACGCGACTAGTTTGAAACCAGATTATGGCAAAACCCTCCACTATAGTCGAGGAGGGTCATAGTCCAGCAGTGGACTGTAAAGGGTGATCTCAGAAGGAAAAAGAAACCTCCAAACGGACGTCTATTTGTCAAGATTAGCAAAGATTCAAAACCTATGAGGATCGCGAATTTTTTAAAAGGAAGATCTTCGTTTGTTTAAATATTCGCTTTGCGCTTACTACGAAGCTAAGATTGAATTAATTTGACTTTTAAAAAAAACTATCCTTTGGAGAAAATTTTAAAACCCTGCTCGCATTAAGCATAGCCAGTAAGTTATTTCGTTGTTTACTACTTTCACGTCAATTCAGCGGTCAGCGAATATATGCCAAGAACTTCTTAGTTTATAAAACACTAGCTTTCCGCCCGCGGCTTCGCCCGCGTGGAATTTTTCGGTTTTTTTAAATAACCTATGACACTCAGCAATAATGTGGCTTTCTATTAGTGAAATATTATTTAAAATTGGTTCAGTAGATCCCGAGATTACCCCTTACAGATTAACAAATATACAAATACACAAACTTTACCTCTTTATAATATTAGTATAGATTACTGTTCTATTCCAAGTCTATTGATAATTTAATCCGAAGCTTAATTTACCTGTAAAATTTTCAGGCTGGCAGTCCAATATACAACACAGCGGCTGGAATGTGCATAGGCGTGGAACGAGGGTACCGCTCCGAGCCTCTCATCATGGTCATCTGTGACAACCAGCCCAACAACCAGTGGGATTTCGTCAGGTCTTAAACCCACCGATCTGGCAGATGGAAGACCGACTAGGAAAGCAGGTTCGCGATATTGACCTACAGTACCCGGCAATAAATATTGCACATCGACCTTTGGAAATAGACAATCGGTTAATTTCGGCTCGTAGAGCGTTATCTCTGTCGCACACTACCTATACGATTGACAAAACGTCATCGACAAAACATTATTCAATGAAAATATTGTCCGAACCCTTAGTATTTCTCTTCGACAAATACGTTAACACATTGTGAACCACTTTTCTTTCACGACTATAAAAAGTTTTTAGCAATTTAATTCACAAAATCAATTGCACACATTTAAAATAAAGTTTGTTTACACTTTGTCGTTGTTCAAGTGCGACAGAGATAACGCTCTACGAAACCGAAATTAGCCGATTGTCTCTTTCTAAAGGTCGATGTGCAATATTTATCGCCGGATATTGTATCTTATTCTCTCTCTATTGTTTTTTGACAATCATTTGATAATAACCTATAGGACGTCATCAGATCTTAAGCAAACAACTGAGTTTATCAAGTAGGAAAAAGACTACGCAAATAGGTTTGCGATATAGACCTATACTACTTTTCTGTCTCTCTCTAATACTCTCTATTGATTTTTGACAAAACTTTACTCCAACAAGACTCCAACTTCGTCATCTAATACATTTTAATTATTGAGTTTGAATCTTATACATCACACTTAAACACTATGTATTCTGTTTTTGCTGCTGCGTTTCCTAATTCATTCTCTTTTTGGCTTTACATGGCTTGTGCGAGCTGCGTTGTAAAATTATAAATATGTCAATTTTGCGAATGATGAGATTATTATACAGGTTATCCCAAAAAGTAGTGTCAAGCCGAAGCCTTAAGTAAAGCATCACTAGGGCTACCCGAATCACCATGTTTTTTTTACAACTCTTCTTAAGAATAGTATTATGCTACCTGATATTTGTATTTGTGTATGTAATTTGTGTTGCTACGAATTTAATTAGGCTTTTCTATTTTAAAAATTAAACTGAAAATTGGAAATTGCTTCGATTCCGATTTGAATTAGTAGAGATACTAGGATAATTAAGTTTCCACCGGTTTTAAATAATAGGTTATTAAATTGTGCCGTCCCCGAGCTTATGCTTTATTCTATGACAGAATTGATATTGGCTGGCATAGTATAGGTATATTATATTATGTATATTAAAAAAAACATTTCCTAAAAATTGGCAGCTTAGCGTGAAAAAAAATCGGATATTTCTTGCTAACATGCTTCATTTAAAAACTTAATATTACCTATTTTGATTGATAAGTACGAGCTTCCACAAAAACATTATAAACATTAATAAAATTCGAATGTTCCTAATTTTTATACTTCCATAACTTCTACTTCCAATGAAAAAGCATTAAATGACAAACGTCCTTCTAATAAGTTTAAAATTAATGTTTTTATTTGTACAAATCATAATAGAAGAAAACTCAGTTGTATAATGTTCATTGCATTTCTTATTTTATTTCTTGACTCAGTTTTAAATTCAAGTTACCCATATTGCGTAATACTGTAGTTATACTCTCTCAATGTTGTACAATTTATTATTTTATATAACAATCTGCAATCTCACATTTATCTCAATATTTTATTATAAGTTAAGCTAATTTGAAACAAGTACACTATCTTTTTTTGAAGTTGTGGAATTGATCGTTGTGTTGAGGATTGTGAATTATAGATTTATAGATGATATTATTAAAGTATCTTACCTATATTTAATAATATGGTAGCTAAATAATGCTGGATTAATAGAACATGGATAACTACGAGCAAAGCACCTGATATAATATAGATAGGGCTTATTTATAGATACGTTGGTATGATAGAAGTTTATTGTTAAATCTGAAATGATTTGGTATAATATCTAGAATTACTATTTGTTAATGCTGTCCCAGTAACAAGTTTGAAACTGACAATATCACTAAACATAGACAAAATATACATTCCATTAAATGTGTGTAGAATTAATTAACTTTAGATAATATTTTTGGATGTCTGTTATCAGATGATTATCTTTTGTTAACTTTTGCCCCAATAGTTGTTAACGTATGAACAAATCTATAACGAGTATTATTATATTATATACGCGAAAATAACCCTATTTGCTTGTTGTTATCACTTAACAGTTAATGAGTTTCATTATGGATATTGATTAGTATTGGGAGGACAATAATATGTTATGGGAAGTCATTTAGTATGGAAATATCATAATTGCATATTTTATTGATTGGTTAGCAATTTTTGATAAATAAAATTTTCAGATATTATCAACATATCTTAGTAACTAAAATGTAAGTTTAACCTTTGATATTCTAAAACTTTGCAATTTAATTCAAGGCAACTTTACTATAATTCGTTTATTTGCTACCTCCATTCACTTTTGACTTGAAATCAATAATAATCTATCGGTCATTAGATTGGAAAAATAAAACCTAAAATAACGTCAAACGTGGGCAAATCATATAAATAATAATGGCGTTTTGACAGCTTTAAAACCTAGTTAAAATTTTAACATTATTTGAACAATTAAGCTTTTTTATGGATCATTGTTCGTAATTTTTTTCTAGACTCATGGCAACAGATATTTTACCTGAATAATAATATTTTGTATGAATCTCGGAATATATTATGACTAATATGATAGGTAGTTTGTAAAAGTGTACAACATATTTTTGGGATGAATTTTATGAAGCGTGGATGACTGGTTGAATGTGTAAGGAAGTTTTAGGTTTACCTTTTATAATGCTGGTCTCAAAGTAACAGGGATGTTCTGATACGGACTGAACCTTTTAAAAAACTAATTCTATACTTTTATAATAAAGAAAATATTGTATATACGGTATCGTTTATAAATATGTTATATACCTACTAAATCTATAAAGAATATCTGCTTTTTAGTTTTATATTTTATAGATATAATTAGTACAATGTTATGTTGCTGGCATGTAACATTGTATCCTTTAATAATGCTATTTATTATTTTAATTCTCTGAAACTTGTAGTATTCTTGTAATAGTACATAAAACTTGTTGTGTGTAGCTAATGGATATATTTGTATGAAAAAGCAAAGAACAACATCACCATATGCTATAATTTTAACATCACAATGTTATATACAATTACCTATCTTTTAAGTAAAGCATTGAGTATTTTAATGTTTAGTGGATGATATCTTGTTTATTTCTAAATATGCCAATATTATTAGGTAGGCCCGAAATGTTCATATACCTATTTAAAAAGATGGATTGTTTATATTGATGTTGTAGTTTTAAGTAAATATAGAAATAAAGTGGTTAAAAGAAACAATACTTTTCATTCTTAAAAATAAGGGTGTTACATAAATGAAACAATAATATATTGATATGTTAATCAACATTTATTTTAACATTTAAAATTACATAAAAAGAAGGCATTTTGCCTTAAAAGTCTTTGATTATTTATTATGTACCTACAGAATTGATTTCATTTATAGAGTGATCAGTGATAAAGTAGAAGCATAAGTGCAGACGTGCTACCACTGCAGTGTTTGCGAATTCAGCAAAATGCAATTGAGATGAAGTACTATTTTTGCAGTATGGAATGCATTTAATGGTTAATTTTCCGATTTCTCAATGAAATTAGTTCGGATAGCACGTTACATCTCCATGCTAGAAAAAAGACAGTGAAAGACATAAAATAAAAAGTCGATATGTTTGACGTATTCAATGAAATTATGAAACCCTTCCCATTCTTATCATGCATTTTTATAAGATGCAAAACATCTTCATGTTTCACAATAAATTTTACGATGCTCAAAAATTTGCTCAAAGATAATATTTTAGTTACAATAGGGAACACATGTGGATAAATACATGTTTTATGTAGTGACTATAATTTTAGTGATTCATGAACCATCATTGGCAATTTATAATTATGTGAGCAAACGTTTAGAATTTTGGCGGTTCATATAGGCTTTGCCGTTAAATGAAACTACTAATAGAAGAATATTGTCTTCACACGAACTTGCCAAAAACATGACCGCGGCCGAGAGCCGAGGCTCTCGGAGTGCAGTCAGAATAGCCAATGCCGTGGCGAATTTCGATTGTTTGTATCATTGGTCCCAACACTTATAAAGGGGTCATTTTGTAGGCCAATCCTCGAACTCCGCGGCACATCTCTAACCATACTCCATCATAACCTAGCTTTGGTCTACACAGGCCCACTAAAACACCCCTTATCGTTTATTATCACGCCAAAAAGTTAAAACCAGTAGAAATACAGATAGAGTAAATAACTTTTTAACAAGAACTTTAAGATGAAATTCATACATGAGGTTTAGAACGAGTTATGATGATATGATATTACGATAAAAGGATCAATTAACCAGCCGGTTTACTCGACTTTTAGTAGAAATGAGTGTGCTTCAGCGAGATTCCGTGGCTAAATATTGTAGTCGTCTACTTGTGCAGTGGTTCAAACGTTGGTTCAAACACGAGTCGAGTGAACGTACGCGGTGTAAGAGATCTTTATGGAAATTACACTACGTTTAACAATATCTTAATTAACAAAGTGACACCACTCTTAAATTAGTCAAAATTAGGACATAAGATGTATATTATAAAAGTTAATATTAAAATGTAATATTACTAATGAAATCGAAGCGACAGTGAATTGGGCAATATGAGATTAATAACACATATTTGATTAAAAGAACATTAAACACAGATTATTATATTGATTGCATCGTGCACGTATTTCGAAAACTGGGCCGTATCAGAGCGAGAGGGTGGGCCTGGCCCGTGCGTGCGAGTGAGACAGCGTACAATTATCCCGGATCCAGTTTTCGAGTTACACGACAACGAATGCAATCTTTGAATTAAGTACCTTTACAAAACATGTAAACATTCGTTGTACACAAACCTCATAATAAAAATTAGTGATTCGTTCGACCATACACAATAATTTTAAAATACAAATGTTATTTTAATTAATACATTTTTAACTCTATAAAATGAAATACATTCTTGCAGGACTTACTTAATCTACGGTTTCCTTAGCTAACCTGTTTTCTTTTAATATTATTAATTATGCCTTGAGGGTTTGGAGCGAGCTAGGGGTGCCAGAGAGGAGTGAGTGACGTCATGCACACTTCGTGACGCGATTGCCACTTGTCTCAGCTTAACTTACGGCGTA